GGGGGCAGGGCAGAGTCGGGGCCAGGTCGAGTCAGGGTCGAGCCAGGGTCGGAGCCAGGGTCAGAGCCGATACGGGGACCCTTCGGATGGGTTCCGGGCGACCCGAGATGGAACGAGAATCGTTACAAGGACTGCATAGAAGTACCTCTTATAACGCACAACCTTTACTGCCTACAGCTGTAGATTAGTGCTAGTAGGTAAAACAACATTAATATTATAAAATAGTAAAGCTGCTACATGCTACTTCTTAGCTTGTCTATAATTAGCATTTTATATAAGAAGAAAGCAAAAGAGCTAAAAGATTTATATATTTATGCTAAGATGCTAAATAAACTACTAATTAGTAGTAGAACTAGTTAAAAGGGTAACATAAATGCGCCCTAGGCTGCTAGACTGCACAAGGATGTTAAAGACGCCCGCACTAACAGCGCTAGAGGTAGAGGAGGAAGGCTGGAGAGACATCTCTCTCTGTGTGTGTGTGTGTGTGTGTGTGTGTGCAGGCGGGAGTATCTGTTACTGTTAGCACTGTACAAAAAGAGAAAAGAGCTAGGGAATAGTACAGTAGAGCTTAGAAAGTAAAAAATAAAGAAAAGAAGGTAAAAAAGAAAAGAAGACCTTATTATATACACCTCTCTACGCACCTGCCTACGTAAAGATCCTACACTATTCTAGCATAAAACCCTACATAAAATAGTTTGTACACTGCTAAATTACTTATAAGGTAAGCGCATAAAGGCTAGATAATAATAGCCTAAAACACTTTACACTATTTATAAAGCTATCTACATAGCGCAACTAGCCTATTTTAACATATAGCATTACTAAGGCAAGTCTTAATAAATAGGGTAAAGTAAAGGCAGAACATAATTAAATAGACCTACATAGATAGAAAAGAGGTAACGCGTACAGAAGGCAACTCTTTAGATAAAAAGAAAAGTTGCTAGTGTCTGTACGCAGCAGCAGTGTTATAATCTAGATACAAGCAATTGCGCATAAGCAGGACCATGTATCTATGTTACATAATGCTTGTGCGTAAACCTCTGTGCGCGAACATCTAGATATCCCCCTTTTCCTCTGTACAGAGGAAAGAAAAGAGTAATAGAACTAGAAATATATTACTCTTACCTTACCTACTTTATACGCTGTGCACACTGTACACCACTCTTACTCTTGCTACTTAAGTGCTTATACTATAAGCAGCTAGCTGTTGGAGCCTATTTAACAGAGAAAGTATTAAGTCTATAGGTAATTTATATAGAGACATTCTCTATAGCGTTAGAACTAGTGCTAGTAGTAATAGTTTAGTATAGTAGTTTAATAAAATAGTAAAAGAATATTTTTTATAAGTTTATATAGTGTAATAGCTTTTATTTTATCTTTCTTAAAACTAATAACGTACCTAACAGGTTGGCTGGCCACACAGGTTGGCTAGCTACTTTTGCTAAGCCTCTACCACACTCTACTTATCTACATAATGCCTTAACAACAACACTAGATTAAATCTTCTAAAGAATGTTAAATATAGCTTACTCTTTAAGCTTTTAAATAAAACTTAAAACTTTTCTTATAACACGCTGCAGCTATTTATAATGTTTTTTATACAACACTAAGTAATTAACACGCTAGACAGCCTTTAAAAGTAAAATGCTAGCCTAAATTAAGAAATCTAACTAAGCTTAAAAAAAAAGTAGTTATTAAGTACATACTTAAGCTTATTACACGCAGATTTTTTCTTAGGCTTATAGCTATAGCTAATATAGCTAATTCCTTGCGCGCAGAGTGTAATCTAGGCTAGGTTAGCTTAAACTAGCCTAGTATATAAGTTAAGTACTACTTTAAGTTTATAATAAAGTTTAATTATAAGTATAATTATAAAAAAGTGCTTTCTAAAGATCTAAAGGTTATCTAGGGCTAGTTTTGCCTAGTAGCTAACATAAAAGCTAAGTATAGTATCTAAGATAAAGACATATATAACATTAATAAGTTAGGCTTTATAATAAGCTAAATATTAACTAAAGCAGTTATTATAGCTTTAGAAAAATAAGAACAGCTAAAAGTAATATAGTAAAGTAATAGAAAGTAGATAATAGTTATCTAAGGTATTAATATAACAAGGTAAGCTATTTTACTTTTTATTATTTTTAAAAGCTACTATTACCTCTTTACTTAGTATAAAAAAAATCTACTTTAAAACTAGGTTATTATAGTCTCTAAAAACAGCTAGATAATAAATAAGCTTAAGCTACAGTAGTTAAAGCACTTTAATAAGCATATAAAAAAAGTTATAAGCGCTTATTAGCTTTTTATTATTAATAGCTATAAAAGCTATAACTTACTTAATTTTTAGTAGTACTATAAAAAAAATAAGATTATTATTATTTACATGCCTTTACACTTATTGCACCTTTTATAGCCTTTTAATATAGGTTATTTTACCCTTTTTAAAAAGGTGTATAAGCGCTAAGCTAAAAATCTTATGTGTAACTAAATTACTTATATTATAAAACTTAAGTTTTTACTATGCTTCTTACACACTTATAATGTAGTAATTACTTTTAGTAATATCTAAAAAAAGGTTTTAAAGTGCTAGTTTAGTCTTATTTAACTTAGAATAAGTTAAAATAGCTTTTAATATCTAGTTATATACTCTATTACTACTACTACCTATTAATAACAAGCTCTAGCAGTTGTAAACTCTAAGTAATACTTTTAAATTTAAGTTGTAATTAATACTTATAAAGGTAAAAATTTAAAGGTATGTAAATAGCTTACTAATGTCTATATTAAAGGCCTTTAAAAAAGTTTTAAAAGGGGCAGCAATTATTGCGCATAAGCTAGTGTTAGTGTAAAAAGAGATTATAAAGCTTTAAGTAGTAAATAAGGCTGCTATATAACATAAATTGCATAAAAGAAAGTAAATTTAGGCAAAAAAGACTTTAATAGTTAAGAATAGAGCTTGTTTAACTGCTCTAAAGAAGTTTAGAGCATATAGTAATAGAAAGAAGCTAAAAACACAGGTGCGCGCTAAAGAAAGTAAGCTAAGTTAAAGGCAATACAGGCAGTGTAATTAGACTAGGCATAACTTACATATGTGTAAGAAAGTAGTAGAAGTAGACTCTAAATAATATCTTATGTTGTATTGCCCTATATAGGGCTAAAGTAGGCTGTTTTGCGCTAGAATAGGGTGGTTTTAGTAGGGGCTTGGCAAAAGTGGCCGGCCAACCCGTGTGGCCGGCCAACCTGTTAGGTACGTTACCTTTATTTTATAAAGTAGTAATTAGTTTTTATAAAAATAGTTAGCTAAAATTTTTAAAGTGTATAAGCTTCTACTTTATAAAGTTATTTTAAAAGTTCTTAAAAGTTTATACATTTATTATGCTTAATGCGCAGAGTTTTATAATTAAGTTAGCTATATAAATTAAGCTTTTTTTTAAGTGTGTTATTTAATAGTTTAATTTTATTTACTTAATTTTTAATATTTATCTACTTTACTAGAGTCTTTGTGTCAGATATGCGCACCTACTGTCAAGACAGGAGGAACGTTTGACGAAAGCTGCTACATAGTACGAGCAATAAGCTCGAACAGTATGTTGCTGCAAATTGCAGCATGTTACAGCATTCTGCAGCATTTTGCAGCATTTTGCAGCATGTTGCAAGCTGGTCGCGCATAGGGCAAGTGCGCGAGGGACTCGGATCGGCAAAACGAAAAGCCGAGCAACACGAGTAGAGCAGAAAAAGGATCGATAAATCAATACAATCAATCATCATCCCATACATCATATCTAAACCCATCATTCATCTCAGGAAGCCTAGAAACAGTGCTTCAATCTAACACTTTGCTAAGATGCCTACTAAAAGTATATATTAGTTATATGTTAATATGTTATGTTAGCTAGTTAAAGATAAAGCTAGTGTTACTTATTACTTTATAGTAGTTAGTTATATATTATTGCGCGCTATCTTACTTCTTATTATACACTACCTTTAAACAGCCTTATATAAAAAGATAAAACAGACCTTTTAGCGTTAAATAAGCACTACTATTTATATAATACCTTTAAATAGTAGTATATAGACAGGTTTTCTACTTTTTATTAAGTAACTAAATAAAGATTTATAGCTACTTATAAATAAATTTGACTCTGTCTTTACTCTTACTAATTTATACTTAAATTAGTAAAGAAAAAGATTTCTTTTATACATAATTTTTTAAATAGAAAAGTATAAAAAGAGGTTTTTATTTTACAGCATTTAAACTACTAATTAGTGTTAAATAGGCTCTATGCTAGCTATGCAAAGCAAAGAGGTTTGCATAGTGTACACATCGCGCAGGGGAGGGGTTGCAGGTAACTAGTGTTAATTCTTCTTGTTCTAAGTCTGTGCAAAGGAAAGAGGTATTTATCTGTCTATGCGTACAACTGTGACACAAGACTATGTCACGTGACGCCCAACCGCGTATTCAAATACTGCTATTTAGACAGCTTATATGTTTAGGTTAAAAGTAGCAGGAAAAACCTAGATGCATCTTATGCAGCTATTAGCGTTATGCTACGTCTAGCTATTTTTATTATTCTTCTAAATTGCAATGTCTATATTTTTATATAATAAAATAAAAAAAAGATACTTTTTATAATGCTTTATATAAAGTAAAGCTTAATATATATATCTATATATTTTATTATTTAAATTTTAAGCTATTCACTACTTTTATTATAAGTTAAAGTAAATAAATTTTTATTATCCTAAGCTAAATTTTTATTAAGTGCTTGTTATATAACTTATTAAAAGTATAATAGTATAAAAAATTAAGTAAAAGACTTATTATTTAAAATAGTTGCCTATTTAGCCTTAGCGCTAAATTAATTCATAGATCTGATCTAGATCTAGGATAGCGCCACGTGATTCCGGATAATCGATTCGGACCGATTCCCGCCAGCACTGTAAGCGAGCTAAGGGTGGAACTTAGAAAACTCAGCTCCCACTCTCATCGCACCCTCGCCCCAGATTCGAGTAGATACATACATACATCCCAACAATACACGATTGCCGCGTACGGTATGAAGCAATGCCTCGTTACCATTTTGAGGGTGGGTTCCAAGAAATCCAGTGCCCACTTCTAATTGCTAACCTTCTTGCAGATCAAGGACCCCTAAAAATTTGCGACGGAAGGCACGAAATCACCGAGATAGGCGGGAAGAACAAGAAGGCATCAACTCAACAACTATCTCTCTCATCTCTCCAACATTCGCCGCCACAAAGCACATCATCCTCTTTCCCCTTCTTTGATCTTCCCCGTGAGCTCCGAGACCAGATCTATCACTACGTATGGCTGGGAAAATGCATGATACTCACAGAAAGCCATGTGAAATTTCATGTTGACTACATGCGGAAGCAACCACGAGACATATCAACCTCAACATGCCATAACTCCAATGCGCTGGGCTGGATCCGTGCCAGCAAGCAGCTTCGATGCGAATCTTTCTGCCAGTTCTACAAGTATGCTCATTGCACCAGTTTCAGCCAGTTTCCCGGAAACAACAACATCGTAGGGCTCATTCCAATATACTGGTTTGGTAAGGTACAGAGAATGGATTTATTCATGAAAGTGACTTTCCATTTCGACAACATCGAAGGGGAGCGCGATCGGAAGCGCTTCACAATCCGCCCAAAGCTGGACTTACTTATATCCCACCTCCAAACCCTCCGGTTACAGTCCCAGCCTTTACCGTTCAAAGAAGTCAACCTAAAGGTCTCACTGCGAAACATTCCATCATTCTACGTGCCAGGAACCATGAATTTGGAACCCGGATGCTGTGTCGATTTCTCTAGCCTCCTGGTTTTTGGGACAGGGATGGAGCGGGTTGGAATTGTTATTGGGTATCCGGGCTTGCACATGATGATTCCACGATATAATAGGACGATTATTACGATTAATTGGGGGAATGAGACAAGTGGGAGGGTTACTGTGAGGAATACGGTTGTGCCGAGACTGCAGTTGGAGTTGGCTAGAGTCGGGAAGTTAATGGTTGGAGGGGAGGATGAGGATGTGGAAGAGATGTCGCAGATGGGCTGGACGGAGGAAGAGAGAGAGGATGTTTGGAGTTGGTACTTGGAGGTGCGCCGAGACGTTCTAATACAACCAACAATAGTTGCTCCAAGAGCTTAACAGGCCAAACTACGTAGACTTAATTTGCAATGATATGACTGCAATGAGATATTCGACACCCAGCAACCAGAAATACTTCACAGAGGGTTGAAGATTGAAGCCTATAAATTGGCGCGAGATCCAGAAGAGGCTGGCCCGCTACAACGTATCCTAGATCGCGTTTCCCCGTCGCCTTTCATGATGACAATGCCCTGTCCCTTTTTGCTTAAAGGCAGTAAAGCGCCGCAATTCTCGTCACAAAGCATTGCCCACTATGAGGATGCCAGACGCAAAACACAATAGACTTTATTCATTCACTGCAATCGCAATCGACAAATTTGTGCACGTATAACCTACTCTACTCACATACTGGAACATCACTAGAACATATAGCATCAATTAGCCTAGTCATAACGCGAAATAACCGCTTTCCTAACCACTCTAATCCGGCACGGCTACACCTTCTTCCTCAAAGGTTACCCTTATAAATCCCTCTATTACTGCTGCCTAACCCACGAAGCGTACCCCACCCTCTACATCATTACATACAAAAAAACAGCTCTCTGCGTGTGTGTCCCAAAATCCACATCATTCCATGTCCTATCTCTCACCAAAATCTCAACGCGTTGTCTTGCAATCGAGAAACGCGACGCAGCTTGATCCGCGAAGACAATGTCAAGTTAGAAAGGCAGTTCCCAAAGACATCAAAGCAAGAGACGGAGGTGGTGTGGAAACTTAGGTTTAGAAAGTACTCGAGGAGAACAGGAAAGACGAGGAAGAGGAAGGTTGTGTTGGCTGTTATTGCCCATGTTAGGCATAAACTTACGCAGTATGATAAACTGCTAAGAGGTGAGATGGAAAGAGATACTGCAAGAAGGGTAAAGTAGAAAAAGATAGAGGGTGTGTTTAGGGGGTTAGGTGCAATGGGGGTACGCATTCAAGGTATTGACGTTGGAATTATGCTTCCACTAACCATTGAAACTCAAGACCCCCTTAGCATCTTAGTTATTAAGATGAGCATATCAAAAACTAGGCCTAGGTGTGTCGGTTTTTAATCTAATCCCGGTACACGTGGAAGATATACCGGTTACTCCAGCATCGCGAGGAATGCCCTATACCAATGCGTTGCCCAATAATAAATATACCTCCAAATATCTTATTCACGCCACCACGCTGCGGCGCTTCTATAAAGTTGGGGCTCATAGATGTAAGTGACGAATGTTAATAGATCAATATTTCCCTGCGTCTAAGTCACAGGAGAGATTTAAATCTCATGTGTAAGATATTTCCCTCACTGTCCATCCAATTTTGTTATGCGGTCGACCGTTTCATCACTATCCTCGAAAACCCAAAGCTCACGAAGCTGAGAATGGGTCGCGTCATAAGCTAGCCTAACTACATAAGGCCGAGGGTCTAAGATGGGGAACTAAATTCGAGGCGCTGAACAAGATCGGGCCTGCGTTCATGCCGAATGTGTCAGAAGGTGCCTTCGCAGTACCAACCATGTTATCGAACGAAGAATTGAAAGATACAGACATACAACTTCTCAACAGCGTTCAGCATTCGTTCCGTTGGATAGAGTTGTAGCAAGCTCCACTCGCGTTAGGGCCTCTCCGATGAGAGCAAGGCATTTGGATAAGCTGACAATCGCATTCTTGTGGGTTATTAATGCCTGTATCTTACCATCAGCAAAGTCTCAAAGTTGCTCTCCACGGAAAATACTGACTACAAACAGGAATTTCATGGCTCCTCACACAAGTGCAACATACTCCGGATGATGTTGAGCAAGCACGTTGAATATGTTCCCGTAATATATGATGCTCCTTGTCGCTCGGTCAAGTCATTTCCTCAATTTCTGGTTTCGAGATTGTTCGAAATTCCTTTGCGCCTGAAATACAATCATTTCTACGGCCTGCATGTGCGTAGCTGGCGCCACCATCGCGACTTTACGATTGTCGTGCGTGACTTCACGGGAAAAACGATACATTGCATTGCGATAGACTTCCTTGAACAGTATTTCTTTTTGCCTGTCATTATTGTTCAGCAGAGGAGACATAGACAGCAAACTTGAAGTACCTCTCGCTACGCTTTTCACCTACCCATTCCTGTTCTAGTGAGCTCATGGTTAGAAGCGCATGTAAAAGAAGTCCTCAATCTGCTGTATAATAAAGAAAATATGAATTGAGGGTGATAGGGCTTAGCTTTTCGACGTGTCCAAGGTGGAGATAAAGGAGCGGGTGGGCGGTGCACGACTGTTGCGTTTCTTTGGCGAAGATGCATGAGATCCCAGCCTCAGCCTTTCTCACAAAACCTTCACATGTTCTATCGCCTTCATACTTCTTAATGATATACCGATGGACCTTTTCGTACGATGAGACTATTCACTACAGCTAGTGACCATCGATAGTCTCTCCATCCATGCTCACCCGCCTCCCTGCGAGCTCAGATTCCCGGTCTCCTGACGTCAGCCATCACAGCCTACCATTCGAAATTAAATGGATGCTGGGCGTTATTCGCGAACCGCAATCTGGTGCGCGTCCGATCATATCTCTCCTCACGATTCACAGAGCGCAAGTAGTTTGGATAGAGATCGCGAAGAGAGCTCCAGCCTCGTGAACGAAGCTGAAAGCGCGTATTCGGGCGGCGACGAACACTCTGATCAGTCCCAACCAGCGGGGACATCGATTTACAATACTGGAGGTGGGACGGACAGTAAACCCAAGGGAGAAGAAGAACAATTAGAGGAAGCATTCGGTCCTCCTCAATCGAAATCGGTATCGGAGAGATCGGGCGAGGCGTGAGTAACAACAATCTCGAACAGCCAGAAGAAAGCGAAGCCTCCCCGAACGAGGAACTTCTTCTTTCCGGCTTCTCTGTTGCAAGGCACATCACGATATCGCGCGACCAGACTGCGGCCAGCAACCACTTGAGAGAGCAACTCGCAGCTGTATATAATTCAGATCTCGACCAAGAGAAGCCCCCAGTGGAGCAAATTGGGCTTGGATCAGATACGTTTAACTTGGGGGTACCTGACGACTCTTTGGATAATTTCGACTTCGATTCATTTCTCCATGTTGGTGGAGAAGAAAATCCAAGCAGTTTTGGAATTCCTGACGTCACTATTGGCGATCCAGAAGTCGACGTTCTACCGCTACTTTCAACCACAACCAGACCCTCTAATCTACTAAACACACCAAATTCTGCGACGTCTAGATTGCCAACACTTCACCACCCGGCCAGTGGGGCCCCTGAGCAAATTGGGCGCGTCTCCAAAAGAAAGGCCAACGATGAGGATGCTGCTGTGAAGCATGCCAACGCTCGGTCAGAGATGTTGAGAGGGAGACACAACGGGACTCGCTCCAGACCTACTCTGTTGACCAAAGACGATGATGAAGCAAGAGGACAAGGAATCACTTCAAGTGTACAGGGGCCACCGACATTCAAGAAGAGGGCTAACAACTCGTTGCAGCCAGGCCGTCAAGAACCATCGACTATGGTCAAGGAACTCGCCACGCGGATAGCCGTACTCGAAACCGAGAATGAAAGACTCAAAAACAAACAAGTTCCTCCTAAAAGGAAACCCAGGATCCAGATACTCCATGCTTTCACCGAGCGTCAAGACCAGATTATCTGCCTCCAAGAACCGAGCTGGACATTCGACAAGAATGATTGTCTGAAACTCAAAGCAGAATCACCCCTTTTCAATCCACAACAGTATTTCCAAAAAAATGGAGATATTGTATTAGTAGTGTACAAGTGGTACTCCGCGCCGGGGCTCTCACGTGCGGGGGTTGCGAAGCGACTGGGTGCAGATACTTTGCCTGCTCCAACATCGGCCTCTGAGAGCATTGAGATCAAGTCAAAAGAAATTCGCAGTGCTTTGGAGATAATCCTTAAAGCACAGCCTTCTTTCCAACGAGACTTCCCAGAACTCTCCCTAGACAAGCCATTAATGGCCCCTTACTCATTTTGGTTTCGGTACAGACACAACGCCTCTGTGTGGTCATCACTACAGTCAAACCATCAAATGCTGCTCAAGATCCTGATTGGTTTGATAGAAAAGAATTATAGAAGCCTGTACGAGGGGGCATCTAAGCAGCACTCCAGAGGTCATGTTTCACATGATTCCATGGAATTCCTATTTCAACCTGGAGACGTTGTCGTATGGAAGGATGGCGAACAGGTCAAAGGGGCTCTCACCACAGGAGTTCCTGTACTGAAGGAAATTTCCTATTACAGAACGCACAGAAAAGAGGCTTTCGTAAATTTCCAATCAGAGGTGGATGCCGAAGCTAGCAAGAAAAAAATCGCATGGCACTGGGAAGTACCGTGTTGGCGTCTCGGATATAACGGAGACTTTCATAAAGTAACAGCATCCCCGCACCTTGAGTTGCTTGCTGAAGGATTCGCGGATGTGATCAAGATACAAGATCTCAATTTGTACCCGGTGCGGTTTGCTAGTAAGGAGGTGCAACAACAGTTGATGGAAAGAGGGAAGACTTTCTGGTCCTGTAGGACGAAGAGATTTGTGGCGTATCGGGGTACCGACGAAGATACACTCAACGCTGTAAGTGTCGTGTTGAATCTGCGTTGAGAGTAAACTAACGCTGAACCCTTTAATTAGGACGGTGAGCGATATATGGTCGACTTTGCATCGTACAAGACCCTTCACCTCGACAAGCAATCATCAAAGAAGTCTGGAGCAAGAACCGATCAAAACACAATTCCGGTAATCGTTTCTGAGCAGAATGGATTGCCTTCAATACCGGAACTATATCTGTTCCCAAACACTATCCCTGGTTTTTCGTTGCGGCGTAAAAGATGGAGCAAGTACTGCCTTGCGTCATGAAATAGCAAAGCTAACAAGTCATAGATGATCTTATTGTGGACCGAATACGTGAAGTGGCATGGAACAAGGAAGTCTTCAAGCATCTCGTCGCAGATGATAAGACTAAAGAGTTTGTCCAGGCTCTTGTGGCGAATCGCATCTCGGCTGAAAGGAATACCGACTTGATACAAGGGAAAGGGAACGGGCTTATTATGCTCTTACATGGCGGCCCTGGCACGGGCAAGACTTTCACAGCCGAGAGTGTTGCAGAAATGGCAGAAAAGCCTCTATATCCCGTCACTTGTGGCGACATTGGCACAGAGCCTGAGCAAGTCGAGAAATATCTGGAATCTGTATTGCACATGGGCAAGATATGGGATTGCGTTGTTCTACTCGATGAAGCTGATGTCTTCTTGGAAGAGAGAAGCATGACCGATTTAACACGTAATGCTTTGGTATCGGTTTTCCTCCGCGTACTTGAGTACTACGACGGCATTCTGACCCTCACATCTAATCGCGTAGGGACCTTTGATGAAGCCTTCAAATCGAGGATCCAGCTCGCCTTACACTATCCAAGTCTCACCAAATCGCAATGGTGTTGCATCTGGAAGAATTTCATCGAGCGGTTGAAGTCACTGGCGGAGCCAGATATCGACTTCGACGATATCGAATGCGGCGTCATGGAACTGGCTAACGAAGAGCTCAATGGGCGACAGATACGCAATTCAATCACGATCGGGCGACGGCTGGCCAGGTTCCAAGGAAAAGCACTATCACATCAGCATTTAAGTCATGTCATCAAAGTCTCAGGGCAGTTCGAGACCTACCTAAAAAATACGAAGGAAGGCTTGAGCGATGATCGGATTGCAAGGGCAAATGGAATTCGTTTTTGAAGGCACAAGCAACGAGCAAGTAGTCTTAGAGGATGGGAGTCTAGTCATGCACTGCATTTGATAATTCTGAGTGAAACACCCGCTATTATCTGAAGAGTTCTTACAGTAATATTACTGTAGCTGTAGTGGTTGCAGGACAGCCTAACCTGGTTGGTCGCATGTGGTTAGGTATGCAAGGCAGCACACCTGCACACTTTTACAATCTATATATTCAATGCAGGTTATCTGCCCAACTTGCTAATCGACTGCTCCTTCAAATGACTTAGCTGTTACAGTTATGAGCCGAGACATCGACTCCAACTACTGCATTCAATTCTACTGTTATTGGCCAATTATTACCCGCATTAATCGATAGATTGTTAATACTACCAGCCTGACGTCACCAGTCACCGATTATGACACTTTCTATACGCATATGTCTACGAGCCCTTTTTTTACGCCCCCTTTTATTCCAGCGCTAAACAATATGTAGGGCCTTCGCTCTAGCCGAATAATCAGCAACCTTTATAGTCTATTGAAGGGTAGCAGGAAATGACCATCCAAAGTGTCAGGCTTCGCGTGGAAACCTTGTTACTCTAGATAAAGAGCATAGTGAGGTTGGAGTCCCTAGTGACAGGACATTTTCAAACTTTTGTCTATCAACTTCTAAGTTATTGTTTGCTAGGTGCATGGGATGACCCCTACATGGAAGGTTGTCGTTAAATTTCATGCGCGGGAGCACTAGGAATGCAAACCCCTAAGGGCAGCGACTATATTTACAGATCCATGCTAGTAATACAAACGAACCTTTGAATGCATACGAGAGTTTTATGAGTTACCCTCGATAAACCCCAACGGTTTCAAAAACTGCCTCCACACTGCCACAAATTCTTTTCGATCTTTCTTACTCTGAAATTCGATCTTGAGCTCTGAGTACCCGAATCGATTGAGATTATTGGAGCGATTCGAACATCCAAATACCTCTGATTTCGATGATCTTATAGAGAACGCCGAGGATGATGCAACAGAGGTTGCAGTGTTCATCCTAGCCAGTGCCCCAAGTTCTACACCGCCTCCCTCGAAACCTTTAGAACTTTTCCTTCTCTTGAATAGTTTGTCTCGTGTCCACTTCCCAGGGTCCTTCGAGAAGACTAGTTGTAACTTCTCGCTGTTTTTTTTGTAGGTCGCATCGTCCAGCCATTCAAACCCGTAATGAGGTTCCTCGACCCAGTGAGCATGGTCTTGGGGTAAAGCGCTAGTATAGAAGAGTAGAACGAGGACGTCTACTGAGATAACCCCGTCAAAATCTTCGTGCTTTTCTCTTCGTCGCCAAAGCCTAATATTCTTTCCACGACACTCGGGTTTGTTTTTGTTTGACGATATTGTGATAATAGGTCGATCAAACAGCAAGTCCGCTTGGTCCTTGCCGTTGTTCGTATACAGGAGGGTTTGAAGCTTCTTGGATGACTCGTGGTCGCCGAAAGTGTACTTGATATCTGTACATCTCTTGTCAAGCCGCCCGAAGGAGCTCCTTGGGAAGTCAATCGATACGTCTCCATCAGCATAGCTCGTGCTCAGTGGGATAGAAGGACCAGTGGCGGGAAAATGATGCGCAATCCAAACCTGTACTTTTTTCGTCCTCTCATCGCGATACACCGACCGTATACTCAGCCCGTGGTCCTCTCGGTACCGCCAATGAACATCACACTCCCTACTTTCTACAGTCTTGCTCGTGCTACGTTCAACTTGCACCTTCCTACACAACTTATTCCACTCGAGTGCGCCGTCTCCCAGAGCTATGGTCGCGAGACTCGATACGGAAAACTTAGCTCTTAAGGGACGGTCATCGGGGGTTGTACCGACCGTACTCGTACTTGAGACACCTGGGCGGGAGTCGGGGCTCGTGGCACTGAAGCTGCTACGGTTGGTAGAGACTGAAGAGGCCCGGCTGGGGTCAGAAGAGAGGTTTCCCCAATCTATCGCAGCGAATGGCCCTTGCTCAATTTGCGGACTGCCTCGGGGAGAGACATTAGGTGATATAATGGAAGTGGGTCGGATTGTGGCGGAGGAATCCGCCACTGACCGGCCGTCGAAAGCAGTTAGTGACATGTCGCTGTCAAGTGTGAACGTTCGCTGGGGTATCTGTGGCATATCTCTAACTTCCTGGCGGATCGCATCGCTTGGCGAAAGGTTGGACCGCTTTTCAACCGCCACTCGCTTCGCTCGGTTCTCTTCAACCATAATTGCATCCTCGAGCTCCCTCCGTAGATGATATAGAACCGCTGCCGTCTCAGCATCCCCACTCGGAGTAATCGCGGGAGTTGCGCCATACGATAGCGGTCGCGTGAGATTATCACCTTCACGAGCGATTCTCTCGTCTTCATTTCGAAGCCATCGGTTGAAGACAAGCCAGTCCTTGTACAGCTGGTCGGCTTCAGAAGGTGCCGGAAGAGCATTTCTGTTAGCCGCTGAACCACTTCCAAGGGCGTAAGTGGAGTACATCTGGCCACCGAAGCTCATGGAACGAAATGGAGCCGAGTCGAGGAGCCGCTGGGTTTGTTTAGTGGCTTCTAGGTGAAGTCGTCTGCTAAAAGTTAGTGAAGGAAGGAGCCAGTGTTGCTGGGTGTAGTATCCATACAATTGCAAGAAGCTTATGCACATCTGCAGCGCTTGATAGTGTCCGGTGATTTGCTTTCGAAGCCGATCAAGCTCTGTCTCCTTTCCAATATACCTGATTGTGTAGGTGAACTTCTTCACAGTCATTCTCTTGTGGTCGACAAGATTGTCCGCGTAGGGCTTGAGGGTCGTTTGACATTTCTGGAGTGTTTCCTTGAAATCAAGGTAAGGAAAAGGTAATGGTTTGCCGTATTCCCTCATCAACTCGTCAAGCTGGACGAGGCAGTGGTGAAAGGTCGAGAACTCCTTGATGAGAGCCTCGACCTGGGCCTCGGAATTGTCGTTTGCATCTATGGCTGTGTGAGCAGTGATATGTTGGCTGATGGATGAGAGCTCCGACCCTTGAAAGCGATATAGATACGGGTAGAGAATTCCACCAACTTGATCACATCCGAGGGGCTAACTCCAAAGGACATGACTGGCACTCGAGACCGCGCTCATGCGCAGCAAATACTGCAGTGCATGCAAGAATCCTGTGACAGCGACAGAAGGGAAGGTCGCATGCTCGGCCCCAAAGATGTGATTGTAAAGGTGAACGACCCCAAAGCCCCACTGGGGAGATCCCTCGTCCTTCTGACGCACCGGGTCTGGGGTGGCTGAGCATTATGCCTGGCGCCCTCTGCACGGATTGTAATAAAGGCTTATATGTCGGTTCCAACGTAGGCGTGTTGATGAGGAGATGCCTCCTCGTGTTTGATGCGCGTGGCGCCAGCCAGCCGTGTTGGCTTCCTGAGCATGGGGCGGAGCTCTACGCAATCAGAGCTTCAGACACCAACACGTGGGGCTGTCGGTTCGTCTGAACCCATGCGTCCCTTTTCGAAATTCGATTCAGAACATTTCCAAATCACCGAGTGCGATTTCTTTCGCTCCTGTGGCGGTGCTGTCAAGAGTATTTTGAACAGATTGCTCGAATCAGGGCACCGAGCACGTCCTCTCTCATGCACCTTGACCAGCTCTCCATCTCCCCTGCGCCTCATCTGTCTGCTTCTCTTGCCCTGGGTAAATGTCTCCCGTCAAACCCCATCTTGCGTTGCGAACTGTGTAACAACCCGGGATCAGTCAGTCTATTTTCAATGCCTCCATCTCCACCATAACGAGGCTTGCACAGCTGTTCCACCACATCCAATACTCCAAAGACAGACACGAGGCTACCACACCTTGCCTAATATCGTTCACCGGACGCAGCCACCCTTAGGAATGCCTTGCCGCGGTCATGGCTCCGAAATGCCCCCCCTGACCTGTGGCTTTTCACTTAGGGCTGAGTCCATTGGGCTAACAATAATATGAAGGATTACCTCCCATGGTGATGCTCTGCGGGACCATTCACAACTAACATTTCCGTGCATTTTGGCCGAAAGATTTGGGCAAAGCGGCCTTCGATTTCAGTTGTACCTTGCGCTTATTCTTAAATCTCATCTTTCTCTCAATTTATACAGTCGCAATGGGTCTTCGGAAATGGGTGAACCGTCCAATGAGGGGCTATCACATGGGTGTGGAAGATCTGACCAGAGGAGATGAAGGGATTCCAGTAAGTAGTATTGCTGCTCTCTGTTTCGTGTACGCGGGCCTGGTGCTGATATTCCCTAGGTGTCAAAACGACGAAAATGGGCCCTCCAAACTATTGATGCCGCCCCGTTTCAAGTCTGGGTCGTCGTCGTCGCCGGCATAGGTTTTTTGACAGATGCATTTGATATCTTCGCGTTGAACGTGGTCACTCCCATGATCGGCTACGTCTATTGGCCAGACAACAAGGATCATGATGGAGTTCCTACTGTCCCGGAAAGCATTGCAACCAGTATGCTATGCGCCACACTTGCCGGAACCATGTTTGGCCAGATCGCATTTGGATTTGCGGCAGATATACTTGGTCGTCGGAAAATGTACGGGCTTGAACTTCTCATCGTCATCGTTGCTACCATCCTCATGGTCATGAGCTCCAATGGAGAAAAGAATAGTATGGCTATTGGTGGCTGGCTAATCACATGGCGTGCAGTAATGGGATTAGGAATAGGGGCAGATTATCCTCTATCGGCGGTAATTACGAGTGAATTTGCTCCACGGAAGTATCGGGCCCGGATGTTGTCCTGGGTGTTTTTTGCGCAACCTGTCGGACAGCTCCTGGCCAACGTCCTGTCTCTTGCGGCTGTATCTGGTTTCCATTCCCAGATTACCAACACCGAATTATCCTGTGGGGACGATTTCAAATGCTACAGAGCCGTTGATCGACTTTGGAGGCTTGTCGTTGGAATCGGAGCCGTTCCCGCGATCATCGCGCTTGCATTTCGGTTCACCATACCGGAGAGTCCCAGATACAAGCTTGATGTTCTCCGGAATGTTAACACGGTCTTTGAAGACACCAAAGACTATTTTGGAGCTCCAGAACTTAACCCCGAAGGTGGTGAAATGGACACGCTGACAGAAGTACGAGACAGCAGGTCTCCAGCAACACGAGGAGAGAATAGCGGCAGGCTGTCCAGCAGCTCCTCTGATATCGGCGCAGATGAAGTTATTGATGACGACAGTGAAGATGACCAGCCTCAAAATGAAGAAGAACAGCATCGCCCGGCTGCTCCATCTGTTCAACTTCCCCCTGGAGATCCAAACTTCGTCCCACCACTAGCATCGCGCAAGGACGCCAAGAAATTCTTCCTCGAGGAAGGAAACTGGCGCTATCTGCTCGGAACGTCCTTAAGTTGGCTATTCCTCGACTTCGCCTTCTATGGATTAGGCCTTTCATCTCCAACCATTGTCCGTCACATCTGGCAGGATCCAAAGGCCGGGAGAGACCACGTATATTCCTCTTTGAAAGGCAACAGTCTCCACACCCTCGTCATGGTCTCTATTGGCGCTATCATTGGTGGAGCTGTTATGATTAAGGTGATCAAGTACGCCTCGCCGAAAGTTATCCAATTCTGGGGTTTCCTGGTCCTTTTCGCTCTCTTCATCGTGACCGGTAGTGCATGGACAAAGTTACTCGAATCCAGTCGATCGGGACTTATTGTTCTCTACGTACTGTGCCAGATTGCGTTCAATCTTGGACCGAATGTGACTACATTCATTGTATGTTCCGCACAATTTTCCTTCGCGTCGCTTGTACTCATATTTCTCAGATTCCGGCCGAAATCTTCCCCACAAGATATCGCTGTACAAGTCACGGCATCGCTGCCGCATCGGGCAAGCTTGGTTCATGGCTTGCGCAGATATTCCTCGCCTTCGCATTCAACTCGGATACCCAGAAGGAGCAGTTTGGTTCGGAAAGAGATAATTTTGGCCACGTGCTTCAAGTCATGAGCGCCTTCATGATCGCCGGTGCGATCACAACATACTTTTTGGTTCCAGAAACCAGAGATCACGATAATAAAAGTCGTACGCTCGAGGTTCTCGCGTGTGGGCGCAAAGTGTTGAAAGAGTTGAATCAGCAAAGGCAAAGCGAAGACGAGTGATGGCGTACGAGATCTTATACCAGAATGTGCGAGGTACGTGCTTTTTCTTGTAGATAATTTTGCAAAAGAATCTTCAAAGATTCCCCTACCTCGTCACTGCTCGAATGTGGGCATTTATTCTCCTCGGCTCTAGGAAGTCAGGGAGGCAAAGCGAGCCATCCAAGATTGTTGAGGTAATAGTGTTCCAAATGCCAGGGATAGTAATTGCCCAGCCCGAACAAAAAAAACTCAGGAAAATGACCCAACACGGCCTATGTTTGTCGGGCACGTGTAGCTTTCGAACCCCCTACTCTATAATGGTGAGCAAGTCCTTAGAACTATTTGCTTAGGTCTTCTTTGCACTCGTACTAGCTCTTATAATCGGGGCTGGCAAACCCAGCATTGGTCGGATCTTCGATCGAAAATCTGCAATTTGGAGTAAGATCTGGACCTAGATTGGAAGATCGGACACTGCATGGAGTAATCGCTACAAACACTCTGTGTCCCGTTCTGACAGGTCATGTGGCCTGATACTTGTAGCCTGAGGTCTAGACTCATTTTCTTCTATGTTAAAATATGCTTCAGATAGCCATATCCATATGCTGCTGTCTCCCTTCAATGTTTGAATGGGATTGTCGATGAACATGACCTTAGAGGATCCGGCTCCATGTTAGTAAAACAGCCTATCGATGTCAGTGCGCAATAGGCGGCCATCCCTTCATTTAGCCTTCCATGGGTCGAAGAACAGGGCCAAACATAGCGCCAAAATAAGACGGCCGTCTTTGGTCGACGGGTCGGCGCTCTCTAAGGGCGACTTTTTACAACGATTATTCTCAACCATGCCGACATGCTCGTTGAAATGCCAGCCTCGTCCAACCCCAAAAATATACATATCCACTACCAGCGAGCGGAGAATTTGGTAGATCTTTCCGGAAAGAATCTCATGTTCATAAGTAGCCTATCGTTACGAAAGGGGGCTTCCCGCCTCTCAAATTGCGGGACGGTCTCAATCGCAGCGATTCAATCCGGAAAGAGATATGCGCGAGATGCTGGAACCGTATTTCGTCCCGGTATTAATAAAACTCCATACCGTGCTGTATGTAGTGATATGATGACATCTGATTATCCCATATGGTTGCGAAAAAAGGCTTTAGAAAAGTGTTGGGTAGCAGGTTGGAAGAAGAGGGATTTTTCACTCTTGTTAATTGAAATCTAATGGCAATTAACACACCTAGCCTTATTCTAAAACCACCGTTAATGGCAGGCTTGAACTAGGGAGGGGAGTGCTCGGGTAGAGGGTAAGTTCAAGCGGTCCACAACACATTTGCAACAAGCCAACCACAGGTGTATATGGGCATGGTATGTCGACGACTTGTCGAATCCCTTGCCTTGAAGCGGACCGCACACATGAGGATCATCTGAGACTCTCCCAATCTCGCTAGATTCGGTCGTTTCGTCGATGGCTGCGCTGTGCATAACTTCACCAAATGTTGCATTGTTTAGTAGTATTGGTACTATGATCTTGACCACGTATACAGCAATCCTAGTACGTGGACGACAGCCGTAAGTCAATTTCCCTGAGCAATCAGTTCCGTGTATAAAACTCAAGGTCGGTCACTCCTGGCCAATTTGTGCTTTTTGCAGTACTTCTACCTGGTCAGAAAGGTCCTGACGACCAACCGTTATCCAGATCCTAGCGCAATATCTCGACAATCATGGAAATTGGGTGTATAATCTAGAACGATGGTTCGGAACGCGTCGGCAAAGAGCATGATGGCATGGGTGACTGATCGGACAATTCTCAAGAAGACGTGCATTCAGCAGTATGTGCACAATCTTAGACGATATTGAAGTGGGGAGAAATTAACTCCAATGCACCCTCTCCTGTCCCGCACAGTCTCTACCTTAGGCTGCATATGTGCGCCTCGCCTCGTCTGCCTTTCTTCCTCCAAGTCGAACATCTGCCACCGCCCATGGCTCTTTCATCGGGTCTAATGCGAAGCCCGACCAAATTCTAGGTTTCTTTCAAATCCAAGGAGTAAGCCGTGCGCGCCAGTGGACCTTCTGAGTGGGTAGCTGTTTCGACATCTGCCTCCTCCCTTTTAACGAACTTCGCCGGCCGTTTCCGGGAGATGGAGTCTTTATCGCCAATGACGATAAGGGGGGGGTTCTCGCGATAATAAGCATCAACATCTTCTAAAGTTCGGTCGGCTAGAGGCGTGTTAAACGAATATTCTCGTAATGCACTGGATAAGGCTTACCGGTTTCTGGGTAAAAGAAGTAGATGATCGGCATGAATGCCGCATTGAGGACGGTCCAGACAATATAGAACCTCCACCCCAGATTTTGCAATCCGCGCGGTGTAACTTCAACGACGATGAAATTTGTAATCCAATTAGTGGCCGTAGCAACAGCAGCACCTTTCGTCCGCATCGGCAAGGAGTTAATCTCCGTAGGGTATAGCCAGGGTATTCCGAGCATGCCGAGTCCGAACCCAATATAGTAGATAAAGAACCATACCACGGAGGCCTTGCCGAAAATCTGGTGATCAGGTCTATTTAGATCGTTGGCGAAGTAGAGCAGAATGGTCATGAGGAGGAAGCAGAAAAACTGTATAGCAGTCGACACCATCATCATAATCCTGCGTCCGTACCGCTCGACAAGAGGCGCCGCAATCCCCGATGCGATGAGATAGACAACGGCAGAGGTAGCTGCAATAAGGCGCGCCATACTGTCACTAAGGTCGACGGATGAGATCAAGAGCGTTGGCAGATAATAGGACATAATGTTGATGCCGCCAAACTGTTGCATGGCCTGAGTGCCAGCACCCAGAAGGAGTCGTCGAACCGTTTTAGTGCCGGCTTGAGTGCGACCCCGAAGTAAGTCTCGCCATCGAATCGCATGTTCGCGTTCATACTCCACGCCAAAGCGGATCTCCTCATACTGGGCTTTGACGTAGGGATCTTCAGTCGATTTATTCTCGAGACTGGCAAGAATTGGGATTGCTTCGTCATCACGACCGTGGGCAATGAGCCACCTGGGGGACTCCGGCAACCAGGGTACAGTTGCCCATAGGACGAAGATGAAGACATATTGGAGAGCCAAGGGAAGACGCCAGGCAATGGCCCCTCCGACGAATGAAAGGCCGTAGTTTATCCAGTTCACTGTCATGAAACCTAAAATATTCATCATCATCTCGAGAACCACAAGCTTTCCTCGCCACTTAGCCTGCGACGTCTCAGTCTGCCAGACAGGCGCTGTGGCTGTGTTAATACCATTCCCGACACTTACCGGTCGTTAGCATGAGGACGCGACGGTGGATTTGGGGACAGCCTACCCGCTGACAATGCGACCAACGATCATGTGTCCGACGCTGTAGGAAGATATTTGCAGCGCTGCACCGACGGCCATGATACTTGTCCCGATGAAAATGGTCCTCTTCCTTCCAATCTTCTCCCCAATCCAGAATGCTACGATAGCCCCAAGAAAACAACCGATGTCATAGATGGCCGTCACAATTGCAAGGGTATCAGTCTTGTCAGGTCCATTGAGGTTGTGAACATTGAGATAATCTTTCGAGATGACCACACCACCTGGCTAGTGAGAACATGTCCATCAGCGGGAGGCGAGCAGCATACTGAAGACACCTTGATCGTATCCAAACAAGCTCATGTCAGTCGCGCAAGCAATCTGCCAAGATAAGCTTAGAGTTCCAATACAAGTCAAGCTTATGTAAACGTACCGTTATCCAGAGAGTAAGCCATCCTCCTTTCAACCCAAAGTATGGCTGCTTCGGTTTGAACATCTTGCTAGCATAAATAGTCCAATTCACGTTAATTAAGATCATGGAACCTATCTAGCTTTATACTCTCTCATGCACCGCGGCTCCGCACAGCCCTGCAAGGGAGACGTACTTGGCTGATGCTGCCGGAATAAAGATAGGCGAAAACACAGCAAGAACCCGAGCAATTAGCTCGGAAAAAGATCGGAAATTGTGCGAGAGGAGGATGCTCTCCACGTGGTTGACAAGCCTGGGGTGCTTATGTGGGGCGTATGATGGCATCCCTATGGACCTAAAGAACCCACAGGGACGGTTAGAAATAGGTGACATCTTATTGCCCGGAGTAGAGCCTACCGAAGCCACCACCATCACCACCTCCTTCCCTATCTTTCACAATATTGGACCATTTTAAAGACAATCTTTATTGATCTCGCAGCAGGACTAATACCCCACCAGTCGAGTTGTTGTGTGCAGAGTAATCGAAAAGCGCGGCAATTGATCTTTTCATTTTCACCCACATCTTTGAGTTCTTTTGAGCCAGGCCGTGGTGGTTCGAGGGGCAGGCAACGGTAAACCAAACGATACATACTAAACGGAAAATCGGCTTTTATTGCATGGCCCTTCGCAGTTGTATATGGGTGTTGTTCGCGTCCATCGGTTGATGTCTTGTGGTCGGACACGTGAGACTGTGTGATTGATGGAAATTCTACATGCTGACTAAATCCACTAAATCACGTGCTTTCTACCATCAAATTCCCTCAAGATGTGACAGAGCTAGAAAAACGAGCATCTAGGTCTCTTCTCTGCGTATTTACAGGTGGCCTTGAAACATTCATCCAAACATCTGATCCTTTCAGCCTCTCCAAATGCTTCCGACTCCTCATTTTCGCACTAGCGCTTGGAAGATGCAGCGTGAGAAGAATCCTTCTGACTTGGCCTTCAGCTTATCTTCTTCCCCAACTTCCATCACGATAAGTCCCTCCTAGCTTCAATTTCACCATCATTTGCCGCATATCACCAGAATGGTACTCAACCAAGCCTTTCTCATCTTTTGTGCTTTTCCGGTCGTGTTCATCGCTTGGTCCGCATACTCGCTCGCGGAAAACTATGTGAAAGCCAAATCCACAGGGCTTCCCATTACTCTCCGCTTTGTCTCACCTGGGTCCCCACTATGGATGATGTTATCGCCCCTAATTATGCGCATCTGCTCATATTTACCCTTCACGAGCACGTTCATTGCAACCTATCGGCGTGGCTGGGAAGGGCGGCAACGGTGTCGGCCCCATGTAGAAATGGGTGACATGTTCATGATCGTGACCCCAGGTGGCAATTGGCTAAAAGTGTGTAATGATAGACTTGTTAGTGAGATCCTAAAACGAAGAGACGATTTTTATCGCGACTTGGCTGCCTTTGAGGTCTTAAACATATATGGCAAGAATCTGGCAAGCACCGGGGGTGCAGAGTGGAATCGGCATCGCAAGGTAGCGGCGGTAACTTTCACGGAGAAGAACAATGAGTTGGTGTGGAGAGAGAGCTTGAAGCAGGCTGGGGAGATGCTGCAATACTGGCTACACCGGTCCCCGCAGCCGATTCGAACATTGGCCGAAGACACGCGGGTGTTTACTCTGAATGTGCTAGCTGCCGCATTGTTCGACAAGACTTATCCATTTGAGAGCCGTGCCGAGAGTAAGCTACGGCAGAAGAATGGCAAGAAGGACTCCGCATTTGGCTATCGGGATAGTCTATCGACGATTCTTCGAATGATCATCCCGATTCTCATTTTTGGAGAGAAGAAGCTGAAGGAAGCATGGTGGTTGCCGGAATCTTTCAGGAAGGCAGGATTCGCTGTGTCCGACTTCCGCACCTACGTTACGGACCTAATAAATGAAGAGCGTGTTCTCATTTCACAAGGCAAACAGAACACGCCAAACCTCGTCACCAATCTTGTCCGAGCATGTGAAGAAGAGAGCGACGGCAGCCTCAGTACGGGTGACTCGAGGCCTGGTCGCACAATTCTCACGAAAGACGAAATTATCAGCGATCTCTTCGTCTTTGCCTTTGCGGGGAATGATACCACCGCGATCACTCTCGCGCATATTCTGGGAGAGATGGCGGCCCATCCTGAGATTCAGGACTGGATATCAGAGGAGATACATTTCGTGCTTCAAAGCACGGATATCAAGACCTGGAATTATTCCACATGCTCCCAACTAAAACGATGCTGGGCGGTCGTAGTAAGTGTCATTCTCTCACCTAATGGTTGGGAACACTCACAGTGTAATAGTACGAAACCCTACGGCTGTGCCACCCTCTAGGTCAGCTCGTGAAAACAACAGGCAACTTACCACGAACTCTTAATTTCGACTCTAGAATCATCACGATTCCGCCACATACTACAGTGGAAATCAATCTCCCCGCCCTTCAAACACATCCTCGATACTGGGGTGCTGATTCACTTACCTGGAACCCTAAGCGTTTCATTTCCGGAGATTCCATTAACCACGAAATTCTTCCACCTGATACTACCGAGGTATTCCTCCCTTGGTCAACGGGGAAGAATGTATGTCCCGGGAAGCGATTTTCTCAGGTCGAGCTTGTGGCGGCATTAGTTACATTGTTCCGCGACTACAGGTTGGAACCGGTGATGGAGCCTAGGGAGACAATTGAAGATGCCAAACTGAGAACTCGGAGACTTGCTGAAGATGTTGAGATGAGGTTGCTGCATGAGATCCGGGAACCGGAAAAGATAGGTCTACGGTGGTCAAAGAAGAGTACATAGAATCACGGAACGACCAGAACTATCCACTGGATTCACTGAGAACGACATTTTCTGAGTGAGTAGATATGCAATCTCTTTCCACGCATCGTGTGCCCTCTTGCCTACTGCATTTGAGGGACTTGCGCATTAGCATTCCCTAAGCAAAGATAGGCGAGAATTGTTCCGCCATGCGTGATTAAACGTCAAGAGAACTAACATGAAGTCAAACCATTATCGTGTTACTAATTGTCAAGGACTAGGTACCTGACGAGAGCTACCAAATTCGTCCTAGCCCTGTAGCTCTTAACTCTGTACTCATCTGCTTATCGACACAATGTCATCCAGTCTAACCGTCAATCCAGAATACCACTTTTAGGACATAACCATCGCTCCCTTCGTCGAAGTGCGCCTCTCACTCAACACTTTTGAGATTCTCCTTACCCTTCACCGCAACTTTAACATCCCAACCCAGTCTCATTAATCCACTTCCTAGGCGCGCTTTCTTAGTGTTTAACTCCCTCCATTCATCTTCACCAGCTGTAATATCGAACCGAATGACGCACATCGCAGCAAAAGTAACGATGACAGAGCTTACGAATTAGCACCCAGGACAAAGGGTAGCACCGCCTCCAGATTTACGACTCGCAGGCGATTTCTTCCGTTTCTCTTCAGTTTGGGATGCTATAGGCCCAATTCTAGGCGTCGGGGCCCCTGAGAGATGAACCGAAGTGTAACACCAGTCAGAGAATTATGACCATTTCGCCATTCTTCAGTTGATATTCGCCCGTAAGAACCATATTGTTAGTCACAGTGCGAGCTGTGACCGTGGCAGGGTTCGTGCGAAGCACTTCATGGAAGACTGCATGAAGCGTTGCACAATTATTCTTCAACTTTTGGACATTAAAGAGACGCTTCTTTCCCATTTTTGTACTTGGTGGTAGGTCCAAGATGTACATTCCAACCTCTTCCCTACACATATTCAGGATATCCAGGTCGGAATAGAGACGGCACAGTACCTAGAAGACACTAGGCAAGTCGCCGGAAAGCAGGGCCGCCATTGATGTCATAATCTCTAAGTGTGCGACTTCCCAGATCGGAACGTCATAGCTGGTACTAACATCGAGCACAGACTAGACCTGAAACGAGTCGCACTTGTTGTCTCCACTGGAATATAAACACTCAAATGCTTTGGTAACGGCCTGGCGTGCACGGAGAGCCCGGTGTGGTGTGAGAACTTCTGGCAAGACGCCAAAGATTAAACTACCGAATCCGCCTATCTCAAAGTCTCTTCGCAATTGTTGGATCAAACAGAGGACATGGACCAGATGACTTACCGATAGGTGCCAATGATGGCAGCGTCGCGGAGTGAGTTTTCAGGCCCGTACATCGCGTTGGCCATTGGCATTACTAGGGCTTTTCGAACCTAGTCGTACAACCCAACTACACCCTCTTTCAGTATAGTTGTGCCCTTAATAATAATAACCTCTATGGCAACCTTAGTTCGATCCCCCACACTAGTACCCTGCGAAATATCTCTATGGAGACTCTGAAATAATGGTTTGGTCAGCCACCAGGCGCCTGGTTCCTGATTCGAATGTAGGAAGGAACGGCCTCGAGGACTGACACCACCAAAGCGGATTAAAACACAAATGCTGAAGTTATGGATCAGAAGTTCTTGACTTGCCATTCGATCATAGTTGCGAGCAACGGAGGGCTACAACTTGGATGCGTGCGAATGAAATGTGTAAGGTGAAGATGGGCAAGCAATGCTTATCTCTGGGAACGGATCAGATTGCATTATTCATATAGTGTAGAAAGTCACCGTGACGTACCACAGCCGCATGACGCAGCAGCCTTTCTGTGGAAGGGCCAATGAGGGGCCTAATGAAGTAGAAGGCTGTAGCTGCCGCTTGAGGGGCATTCACACCCTGGGCCCTGTGGAGAAGGATTCGGATGGCAATATACGCAGTTACAATGAACAGCACTGTCGTGGCTCGAAGTTTCCATGGTTTCCTCTAAAATTGGATAGTAGGGTGTGGAGAGTTGACAAGGTCGGGAGCATTGATGGGCTCCAAGCTTGTAGAAGTTTCTTGGTACAAATAACCTCTCACCCCTTCACTGCATTCGCCTCCCTCACCAGGTCCCAGTGCCGCTCCTACCCGCCACAATCTTACCCCACCTTCTCTCCTTTCACCCCGTCAAATAGGTTTCATGATTGAATACGATTGCTCTTCTTTTCTGATTCATGACTTCAATTTATCTTCCCTAGGCAGCCAAACTCAGGACCTTTTGGGGGCAAAATGATTCCATTTCACTCATATGCCACTTCTTTGTTCCTTTTTTCTTGTCGTACACCACCATCATGGTGTGAGCCAATCTACTTTACTAAAGACCGGTCCACCTTGAACTATTACTACAGCCATAAGCAAACCATCTCCCCAATGTGCGCTGTAACGTCACCCATTAGCAGGTAGGCTATGCATCACCTCTGCTAAAGTTCAATGAACTCATCCTGTGCAAGCTAGCGGTACCTCGCGAGGGAGCGGGCAGTCCCACCACCTAACTACTCACACAATAGAACCCCTCCAAACAGGCGGCCCAGGTATCAGCCATTCTGTCTTGCTCGCCGTCGGCTCTTGGTAAATTGTCAAATTCAGCGATGGGTCTGATGTAGATTCGTCAGTGCTCATTGTACAGGGAGGAAGGAAGCCTACCATTTGCCTTCCACACCCCTGGTATAGCAGCTAGATACTCTTCACCAGGCCTTTCCCATCCACTCCCTGACACATATAAGTGCGCACATTCTGGGTAGAACTCAGGTGAGAAAGGAACATGTATCGCAATGATCTCATGGCGAATCAGGTAAGCACCGCTATGGAGCGAAGTCGGAATGGTTGTAGTCCAAGTGTAGTTAGAAGCGAGGAGGTCTTTTAATGCCCATTGCCCATTGCGAATGGTCCCGTTCTCCAGGCCAACTTCCTGAATCTTGAACCAATTTTTTCCACTGCCGTCGAAAGAAAAACATGCATCGGGCTGTGAACCACAGTAAGTCATCCAAACAATAATTGCCCCAACATCGTGTGGCCATCCCGGATAGTAGGCCTTAATTTCTCCCCCGGGGGATACGTTCGCATACTTCTCGGCGCCAGATCCTGGGTTGTTGCAAACTAGGTAGGGTGAAGAGACATCGTAGATAGGCCGGAAGTCGGCCCAGTGACGCTGAATCGAAGATTGGTGCTCGGCTGGATAGTACGGGAAGAATCTGCAGTCCGTCAGGCCACAGTGAAGCCAGAAGGAGGGGACAAAGGGACCCTGGTTGCCATATACCGGCAATCGAGTAGTTCCATATGCCTCCATGGGCACACACTCTTAAAGAGTGGATAAAGAGGAGACGTGTAAGAAAAAAAGCCCTCATTTTACTGTCTGACGTCTACGACGAGCGTAGAGGTGGTTTTTGCTAACCTACAGCATCGTTGTTCATATATACGACTGAGAGAGCGGACCTGCATGGCGACATGCAACGTGCCTACTGTCTAGCATGCCTGCTAGATTAGTTAGATCAAGTTGGACCGAGCACAAATTTCGCGCAATATAAGCTCATATTGTATGAGGAAGGGTCTGCTGTAAAGCGTGCTGTTCCGGGCCTATGGCACTTATTGTGTATTATCTGCAACTACGGTGATTTGGCTTGCAATTTCCTATCAACCATGGGCTTGGCGTCCCACAATACTATATATATCGTATATCTCCGATGACCCTCAAGCCACAAGGCCTCACTTCGCTCATAACTCATGCCTCTGTAAGACGCATTGCTTCTATCCGGTTTCACTGCATATCTATCACAGCCTTGGTTTAATACGTTCAGGCAATTATTTGTTCTATCCATTGTATAATACAAAAAAATTGGTGACCTGAGAACCGGGTATGCAATGGCGTCGTTCCGCTAGCGAGATTCTTAAATTGTGCCGTCGTCGTATTTCGTGTTTAGAATGCGCTGAGCTAAAGTACGAGCAATTCATCCAAGGCCTCAAGCTCGGCCTCCGATCGTGCCAGAGATCACAGTTAGCCATTTTAAATGTTCAAGAACGACTGTCAAGCTAGGAGGAGCACCAGAGGCATGACGAACTGGATTGATTGCTAAAGGAGGGCAACTACGGGTTTATATAGTACTAGATGAACCCGTCATGTGACTTAAGGCCACCGATAGCTCTAGGCCGCAGCAGGTGGCGTAGCTAGGCAGCCGTAGGTCAAAGGAGTGGAGGTGGCTAGAGCCTGGAGAGCTCTGTAACTGCAAACAATGACCCTGGCTATAACGAAGGCGTGCCAATCAAGCATGGTCAGACCTCCTACTCTGGGGTTGTATTGGAGGATAAACCGTTGCTCTTTTCTTTTGTTTTGGGAATTGTTTCCCTCCTCAACTGTAGATTTGGCGCATCGCTACGGCCTTACCCAACCAAATATTACGCGATTATCTCCCCACCTCTATCGCATCACTACTACAACACCCACAACGCAGCCCTGCAACCTCCCAGGCCCGATGCCGGAGCTACGGCTGGCCATTACGACAACATAGCTGCCAGCTGCAAGGGCATTGCCACAAGCATCTGCACTATTGTGAACAACCTACCTCAAGATGTCTAGCGCTAGTTGCTGGGGTCTGCCAAAAAGCAAGCAGCCTCGACGCCAACTCGATGCTCCCTTTCTAAGCTTCGTTGAACAGGGTTTTCTATTGCACCGTCTGCCGAGTCAAAGTTAGGAATTCCAAGTAATCGGTCCCACGCTAGGTCTAATGGTAAAATAGAATATGCTAAAGGCTTATTTCGTCGTAATTATTAAAGCCTTAGGCAAGGTCTACTTGCATTAACTAGAATAATACAAGTTGTTAGCAGCAATGGCGTCGATACATGAAAGGCTTACAAGTATTTCTATCTGTATCTCTATTACTTCTTACAAAAAATATCTTCTTTAGAATACCTATGCTTAACCAGCCTGACTTGTTTTACTTCTCACTCAGTTAAGAATCAAGACAACCTACTCCAGGAAATTCCAGCAGGAGCCACCGGATATGTGGGATTGGGGTCAGTGTGGCATGCTGGGCTCGGATCATATGGAGGCGGACAATCCTCTTCTGCTCTGCTCATGGGAGTTGTTAAAGAAGAGATCTGATTTCTTGCTCGGCTCTCCTGGACTCACAGATTCGCCCTTCTTTGTTGTCCAACTTGAAACTTGCCATGGAGGTCACTTGTTGTTGTGTTTTCCTCCCCGTCTGGGGCCCATTTATCTCTTCGATCTCATCCTCTAGCAGGAGATCAACGCCATTACCTGTCGCACGTGAAACTGGTTCACGTGACCCAGCGCAGGGTGAATGTGGGTCCTTCACCTCTCACCCTTTTCCTGTTTAGGACTAGCGCTCTTCTAGCTACTATATATTTACCTCTGAGCTCTCTCGAGCTCCAGAGACCTCACACCTCACCTCAATCTACCTAGGTCGTCTCTCATTACCTAATTGACCGCTCCATGGACTCTACTATCAATCAGCTCTAACCCTGCGATATTATCGAGCAGCAGATTCTTGTTTTGGTTTTAGTTCGCACCCTGTTGGAATGCTGGCCGTGCTTTCCTCCATGGATTTTTTTCAGCGTTTAGCCCATTGATAGATGCCTTATCATTCTGCGAACCCGCGGTGTGCGCGGTGAAGGATGTCTGACGCACAGTTCGGGAGGGAGGCAGTATGTACCAAACGTAGTTTTAGCCTCATTTACAGCCCACGTCCTGTCTAGTAATGTTTGGGTCGGGTGTAGCGTGGGTTTTCGCGAAACGTTTTCGTATAAGCCTTACGCGAAGCTTGTGGAGGAGCTTTAGTAGGCGCAAAGATGAAGAACTGGGTTGATTGCTAAAAGAGTGTATCTAATGGTCTATATTTGCAAAGCAGTGAGCTAGGTAGCAAGTGACTAAGCCGCAGGTAAATAGGTAGCATAGCAGGTAGTGTATCAGGGGGTGGAAGTATGTCATCATGATTAGACCTCGGGGGTCTCTGTGACTGCAAGCACCTTACCCACGTCCTTGGCGATATCGCGGAGAGTCTCGCCGTAATGCTTCATGCTGTAAAATTTCCGGACAAGGTTGTAGACACCAATTCCATCTAGAAAATCACTCGCTGTCCCTTTCTGTCAGGCCTCGAAAAAGGCATCAAGGAATTCCTTATACTGTGTTCGTTCTTTCTGCTAGGCTTCCAGCTGTGCATGGCCCTGTCCAGGTTGGACTTTCACCTTCTCTTCTTTGATGAAATAGTCTAAGTATTCTAGTATAGCATCATTTGTTCAGGTGGTGTAGTTTGCTTGTAGGCACAACATGAAGTGGGCAGCTACTTCTTAGAGCTAAATATATTAGCCATCCAATTCTACAAAGTGTCCATAGATTGCGTTTAGTACCGTTTTCTCCGCCTTAATCGCTCCTCCACTACCCTCGAATTCTTTCGCGAAGGTAGGATCCCCTACTAACTCGGAATCCTCGATCCAGACCATAAGGATATGCTAGTATTCACTCCAGTTGTTTTTCAACGAATCCAGTTCCTGCCAGAGAATGCAGCACAACTTTGCAAGCTTGCAGCAGCAGAAATTCCTGGTTGGAACATCTTAAGGCAGCGGGGATCATGGCCTGCAGGATCAAGCGATCGATTTCAGTTTTTGATTTTTGCAAGAGTAGTGAACATACAGAGAGATTTGTTGACTTTGACTTCCCCGCCTTCTTTACGGTTCCATGGTGTATAGTAGAACGTAACCGTTACTGTTAATAGTGTTTTTAAGGCGTTACTAGCAGCAATAGAGTTTTGTTCTTACGTAAAGAGTAAATTAAAACAGCCTTACAGGCAGTAACAGTTACTACTAAGTTAATTAATAGTAAATTTACTGCTTAGTGCAGCTACTGCAGTAACTAGTGTTACTAGAGGCTCTAGAGGGCTTAATTTTAACACAATCTTGCTAATATAGTCGCGTTAAGCTCTTCACACAATACCTAAGGCCCTAGGTTTCAGCTGGAGGTCGCAAGTCTAGATATTGTCCTATTTAATGTTGTTAAGGCGAGAGTCCTTAGGAAACTTATAAGAATAAAAACACTAGAGAATAAGGTAATAAGGCCTTAATTATAAGAGTTCCTAGAGGCAGCCTTTAACTTTTTAAGACAACAAGAGCTTGCGAAGTGTTAAACTGGCTGCGAGCTTTAAGTGCAAGGAGTTACTTCACTGTTCTGTACTAACAATAGATAGTATAGGCAGTTACTGCAGTAACTATAGCCTCATTAACTGTACAGTAACGGAAGGCAATTCACTTTTGTTCTAACTGCCAAGAGATTGTTACTATGAATAATAGTAGGAACAGTACTACGTTCTATTAAACACCATGTACGGTTCGCACGTTTGATAGGAGCGAAGTTACTGCAGGCGGGGTTGGGCGCCTTACTTTCTCGCGCAGTAAAGTTAGTCTTCTGAATCATGTAGCAGAAGATCTAGCTACACATATCCATCCTCCTGTAGGATTACCCTGCTCACCCAAAGGTACTGTTTGTCATACCAAACAAGATTCTTGTTGGTGCGTTCCTTTTGTTTCTCTGACAGATCATCCGCCAACAACATTTGGCCCTGACATTGCGAGATGAATGTTTTCGAGATATACCATTGCAATCTACCATGGCGGTCGTCACTCCATATTGTCCATCTTACAGAACGTTAAATAAAACAGTGTGTTGATTGCTCCCTTCGTCCAATTTCTTCATCGTCGCAGAAGTGAAATGAAAGACGTACTGACTCCACAGTAGCTCGTCGACTGATAGGAATGTGGCAAATCTTTGCAGACGCTTTTTCCTAACCTTCGTCATATACAGAATCTAATTCCCAGTCGTGATGAGATGGTCAGCCTCAATACAGAACTTATGCCTCTCTAGATTAGCGAAGTATGTTGTCAGCGACTTCTCTGCGTTTCCGAGATCGGTGATCAAATTCACCTAGCGCTTCTGGCATTCAGCAGTCAGTTGGCCCATAGGAACTCTCAGCCTAATGGACTCCGAAAAACAAGGAAAACGTAATCGGAAACGGAGGGTACTTAAGTTGAAGTTTCCTCAATCTTGTTTAGAAGGTTAAGAAAATATAGACGTGCGCCCTCAAGATCGTGGAGTTGGATTAAATTCCCAATAGCAAGGCCGAAATGGGCCATGAATTGACCGTTGCGCTCCTAACGGAGAAAATTCCGCACGTGACTTTGTTTCACGTGACACTATATCGAGGGTGAAGGTGGGTCCATAAGTCACACCATAACCCTACTTAGTCCGAGCACCTACTATATTAATACTAGGACAATTTTATCCACCTCCGAGCTGTCGACCTAGTTTGGCTATCACCACCTAATTCACTTCTCGCAACTCCATATACGCTCTACCCATCAGCTTTAATCGTGCGATACAACACTTTCGCGGCAACGCCTTGAGCCGTCTATTGCTGGTGACACTTTTCCTGGTACGTATCTTCGCGACTGAAGCGCTTGCTAGCTTGGTTGAGAAGGGTGATTTCAAGGGCAATAGACGCGACTAAGTCACTACGAGGCAGGACGTCGTCCGTCCAGGCGTTGTAAAGTGAGCCCAATGACGCGCTCTGTCAAAAGGCTGGCGTACAAAGCCAGTTGACTACGTAATATTACTCTTATACCATATAGTCCCGTTCGGAAGGTTTCGTGGTTGGGAGAGGCTAAAGGCTTTAATAATCAATAGAATTACACAGGCAGTAGATTTCGCAATACTAAGAGCTGAAACCATTCACGATGCTGCACTACCTTTGTTTTACGAGATGCGCTATGCATGATTTGTTGTTGCTATTGTCTTCGGATCGGTGGTGGAGGCTGGGTATATCTCTGTGAAGTGGAAGTCAGCTACACGCCTTCTGATTGGCCAATTCGGCGGCTTTGGCGACGTCGGCTCTTCATAGCGAGCTGGCTAGTACCTTCTCCACCACTCGCAACCTCCCAGTATTCGCCTTCCTAGGCTCACCAGGCTCGTCGGGCGTCCCAGGCTCCCAAGGCGGACCGACAGTCGTCTCCACGTCGCCCCATTTATGTACACATGGCCCATCAAAGTATCCACGCTGCCACTGGACATTTCGGGCAGGCTCTACCATCTCTCATCTCTGTATGCTGTATCCATAGTCTCCTTCCCCTAGTCCTTGCCCTCCCCCAACTCTATTTTCTCGAGAGCTTCGCTGGGTGTATTACTGTTTCGTCATGGAGCCCATTTCTGTGGCGGCTTCAGTGCTCACTCTTCGTAAGTCCCTACACCACTTCTCTTACACGAATCTGCTAAACGATATCCAGTTTCCACCAGTCGCGCCGTCGCAGTTGTTTTTCGCAATGTGCTCTCTGTTGTCAGGGGAGCCCCCAAGGGCATTGAGAACTTGCACCAAGAGTACAGCTCGGTGCAAGCTGTCATTGAGAGAGTGGGCCAGGTTGTCAATGGGGCTCAAGATAGCGACCTTATGAATGCCGAGATTGCGACGCAAATACGCTCCATCATTGAGGACTCGCAAACCACACTGGATGAACTAAATGTCCTCATTACCACATTAATCCCATCCAACGCTGCAAAGGGGAAAAGAGCTGCCTTGCAGATGCGATACCGTTACTTCTTTAGCGAGAAGCAAATTCAGGCAATCCTATATCGACTTCAGGCGCAAAAGAAATCTTTGGCACTGATACTCAACGTCTCCGCAAGGTTAGCCTCTTCAACCGGAGCAATGAGACTTATGTTGTCACTAACTCTTGACAGCGCTGATAGCAGTCAAATCAAAAAGGAGCTCCTTGACATCCGGAAGGCTCTAGAGTCATATCTTGTTTCGCTCAGAAGTAGCAATGGTTCCAACGAGATTTCCGAGGCCCCAGTCTCTCCGAGCTCCACCTCCTCCATTGCTAGTCGGGGGCCTAGTGATTCAAGCTCCATTTTCACCCGCAAATTGTCAGTAGCATCAGTATCGGATGTCAGCTCCGAATTGGGCAATGGGCAACCCTCCGTCTCGGACCTGGCCCGTCGATTTGATAAGGCACTAGCTTGTGGCAAGTCCAATGGACCTGCAGGAGACAATATCCAGCATAGAACCCAAATATTGAATGCACAAAATGCTGCCATTGTTGGTTCTAGAGTTACTCAGCGCTCCCCAAGTGTTTCATCGGGTTCTCTAGCGACAGTACCTGGCAGCATTGGTACGCTGATTAAGGACTTATCGGCCAAGGAGGCTGCCGCTTCGGGACTATCAAGTATAGAGAGTGCTATGGCAGCGCAAGCGCTAGGGAAAGCGTATCAAAACGCCGATCAACTAGAGCCTGCACTTGAATACTACCACCAAGCACTGGCAGCGCAGGAAATTCTTCTAGGGCCAACCCATCTCATGACCCTGAACACCCTTGATATCATTGCCAGTGTCTTTGAGATACAGTCACGATGGCAAAACGCTTTGGATTACTATCAGCAGTCACTCGCCGGAAGAGAAAATAACGACGCTCTGGGGCCTAATCATCCATCTATTTTGCCAACCGCCACCAGAATTGCCCGTATGCTTAACAAAACTGGCGAATCGGAGGTAGCCTTACAAGAGTACGGGTCAATCCTCCTGAAATACCGACAAATGCCTAAGGGGGGCTCCACAGCTGCTTTGGCAATCCAAGCCGATATAGCAAAAATTCATCTTCACCTCGGAAATACGGATACAGGGTTGCCCTTAGCTCAATTAGTGTTGTCGGAGTACCTTGCCCTCCTTGATATAAGGGAAACTAAATTAGGCTCTGACCACCGCCTAACCAAGGAGAGTCGGATGGCTATTCAGGATATAAAACGCGCTATTCAGGACACAGAACAAGGCTCAGAGGAATCTATGGATTCTACAAACTTCCAGCCGTCTGCAGATGGCACCCCTCCAGCATCATCGTATCCAGAAATCGACGCGTATGAAATCAAACTAGAAGAGGTCCGCACCATGCACGGTAATCACCACCCCGAAACTCTGAGTGTTATGTGCAAACTTGGTGACGCCTATGAGCGCCACAAGCAACTCGAGCCTGCGATTTCTTGGTTCCTTGAAGCCCTGCATGGGCAGGAAATTATATTTGGGCGGACACACCCCACGTCTCTCCAGACTGTTCATGAATTGGGTGTTTGTTACCTCAAGAGATCGGAGCCAGTAACGGCTCTCCGGTATTTAACCAGGGCGCTGCAAGGCCGCACAATCAAGCTAGGCGAGAACCACCCTCATACCGTCTGCACAATTCTTCAGATCGCAGAAGTCCACGAGGAACTCGCTGATCTGAAAAAGGCGAAGGAATTCGTCCAACGAGGTATCGACGAATGTACCTCCAAGTACGGGCAGAAGCACCCAACCACACTCTCGGCGAAATTTAAACTCGCCACAATTTGTCAAAAGGAAGGTGCGTACGAGGTGGCCACGGAACTGCACGAAGAAGTCTTGCAGGATCGCATCCAAAGGGACGGTCCGAACCACCCTACAGTCTTTAGCTCCAAGGCTCATTTAGCGGCAGTATATCGTGCGCAAGGTGAGACTAAGAAGGCAATTCCTCTACTACGTGAAGCGTTCGAGGGACAGCAGATGAAGTATGGAGAAATTCATAGCACGACAACGGCGACGGCATCGCAGCTTGCAGAGTCGTACTGGGATATAGATGAATGGCGTGAAGCTTTGGACTTCTACTTCATTACGCTCAAGGGGATCCAGAATGAGGAGAAGGGAAATGCGACAGCCGGAACCATTGTTATGAGCAATATCGCCATGTGCTACCAGCAGCTCGACATGTGTGGGAATGCGCTTTCGTGGTTCGAAAAGGTGCTTAAGATTTATGAACGAGAGCTCGGGATGGAGCACGAGAAGACCGTGGAGGCGGCTGTAGATGTCGCCAATGCAAACTTGGCGTTCGAAAGGTTTGACTGTGCCATAGAATACTTTCAGCGCGCTCTAGCGGTCAAGGAGAAAGCACTGCCAGCTACAGATAAATCGATCATTGAGATCATCTTCCAGCTGGGCTTTGTCACGTGGGAAAATGGTCAGAATGAGCGGTCTCTAGTATGGTCCAAAAGACTCATGGACCTTGGAGAGAGCGTCGATACAGAGTCGCGCCTAGTAGCGTTAAGGAGAATGGGTTGCATCAATGCACAGCAAGGCAAGAATCATGAAGCGCTAAATATTCTTCAACAGGTTCAAGATGAGGCCCAGGCTTCTCTCCCTAAAGACCACTTCTTACTTGAGAACACCCCTATCGAGATCCATAATATCTGCATCAAAATCCACCAAGAAACCGACACGCTGAACGACCTTGAGGAGCAGCGCGAACTGATCCGCCAGCTCCTTGACAGAAGTGAGCCCATGGGCGTCCGTCTTCTCATGAAACTAGCGGAGGTTCACCAAAGACAGCACATGCAATACGAAGCGTTGAGCCTTCTTGAAGAAGCCTTAGAGGCTACCCAATGCCTTCCTGAGACGCCTGATCTGCTCAGTATCCGGCACGAAGCGATCTCCGGAATTGGGGACGCACATCTTGAGCTTTACAATAATAAGGCCGCCGTTGCGTATCTGCAGATTCTTGTCGACAGCGAAGATGATGAATCTTGGAAACTTGGCGCCCTAATCCGCATGGGCACGGCACATGAGAACGAGAGCAACTTGGACGCGGCTATCGCCGCGTTTGAACAGGCCCTTCGCGAATACAAACATAGCTCCGAGCTCGATACAATCAGCGCGCTGTGCTGCATGCGCAGGATAGGAAACTTGCATCTCCAGCTAGGCAATTCACAAGAGGCCTTGCGGTGGACGCAACAAGCATTGGCAGGTTTCCAGCGCAGCCCAGATGCTGAGGCAAAAAGGCAAGAGCTGCGTACCATGAGCGTACTGTGCTCGATTAAGCTAGAATTTGGAGAGATTGACACTGCGCTAGAGATACAGAAGGCCTGCGCTGAGGGGTTTGAGGCTAAAATGGGGCCGTTAGATGAGGATACTCTGGCGGCGGCTCTAGATCTTGCAGAGATCTACGATGCTTTAGAGTATGAAGAGTCGGCGCTTTGGTGGTATGAGAAGGCTGTAAGAGGATACAATTCCAATCTAGCAGCAAGGCCCGCAAAGGCTGAAGAGGCTGAAGAAAAGGTCAGACAGCTGAAAAGGAAAGGTGTAATAGTAAAAGAAGTGTAGAAAGAAATACTACAATCTATTCTCTATAACTACTAGTTATTAGAAAACCTTTAAAGGTAGCGGTAAGAGTATACAACACTAGATTTTTCTTTAGCCATTCATTTACTTGTTATTTCTTTTTATTCTTTATTGCTACGTTCTGTTGAAACGTAACTATTTTACCAACGTTTTAATAGCTAAGTTTTCTAACCACTATACGTTTTAAATATGATAGAAATATTAATTATTATTATTTTGGTTTTAGTAGCTGTAAATCCGCTAGCGCGTCCCTAATACAATCTATATTAGGAGAGTTGTAAATAGCTATGATAAAAAAAAATTACGTCCGGCTCAACTTCTGTCGCACGTGTCTCACGCGATACTATACCCATGTACTGCGGTATTCACTTATTAGGGCTAGCTCCTTTTTCGTACAGTATATAGTAGGCCTATGACCCCTACTCAGCTCATGCGAGAACTTCGTCTCAACCTCTGCTCAAGCTGTAAACCGCTACAGCTCACGTTGCTCACCCTCAACTCACCTCAAAGTCCAAATTCTGTTAATCAGTCCCATTTTTTTTAGGAGACTTGCAGCCCATTCTCGCTCGAAATTTTTGATAACAGAGTTCAGAATTCCTGCTATCCTGTGATGCGTGCTTTGTGGCTTTCGGCCTCAATTACGAAGTTAGATGTGTATTATATAGAAAATTGTACGTGTACAGATGATGTGAGTCATAACAGATACAATACGTACACTAATCTCTCCTCCTCCCTGCTGTACAAACATACTCAAAATATCACCTGTACAGGCCTTAAAATCGCCCAATTGTACTACACCTCGTTGGTAGCGCTGAATCCAAGGCGGCGCAATAGCACGTCTCATAGGAAACCCTGCGAGGGCATTCTCGCCAGGAGTTTATACTACAGTCTATAGCACAGGATACACTATGCCGGAATCTGCGGAATCGACACATCCCTCATTTTTTATGTCTGATCGCGATTAAATTCTCTCACAGCAGTCTACTCGCATGAATCTACGCTGCGCTAGCGAGGATTACAAGAGTTCACGCGGCTGAGTGGGGTCTTCTGAAGGGTTTGATCCTGAATCGCGTGCTCTGAAATCTTCGATGTATTTGCCGGTCTGTTGATGCCGTGATAGAACCTCGGGAGACGCTACGTTAGTTCCTGCTAATCTATATCCAGCGTGCCCAACAGTCCGTACTACTGTACGATTAGGAGATTTTGAGGCCTGTACGGACGAGATTGCCTGTACGTACGTACGGTCGTGAGGAGGAGAGGCAGCTGTACAGACAGTAACTGCACTGTTTAAAATAAGCTGTATAGGTAGTACTGTACAATTAATGTACGTTGTAACTATTAATACACTATACTATAAGAGAGGCAGAGTTAAAGGCCTAATAGCTCCCTATAAGGCTATTTTCCCTAGTAACGTGAGCAGCTAGAGCTAGGAGCTTGCTCCTTACTATTTAGTGTTTAATCTAGTGCTTCTGCAGCTGTATAGCCTTAATTATTGCACCTAATAGGTTATTATAATTATTAGTTATAGTATAGCTAGTAGCACTAAAACACCTCTTATACTTACAGCTTGTAGCTAGAATAGTAAAAAAATTAAAAGTAATCTTATAAAAAATAAAATAGCTTAATTTACCTCTAGTAAGCTACTACTATAGAGGATCTCTATATAGTAATAAGTAATTCTTGTAGAGATTAAGGTGTATAGCATTATAGTAAAATTACAGCTTATTTAATAGCCTTTTACACTTATATAAGCACTTATTTATTATAAGAGAGAGGTTAACAGTAAGATAGTTCTTATAATTAATGTTATAATAGTTACTACTAAGTAGTTTATAACACCTTAAAAATAAAGCTTTAGCTTTATTTTTATTTTTATCTTTATTTTTATTTTTAGTATTTATGTACTGTGTAAAAATTATTTTTATTAACTAAGTTACTTTATTAATCTAGGCTTTATAATAGCGCTAGTAGGTTTAAAACTACAGTAATTACAGCTAAGAATAAAGTATAGTTGCTACTATATAATATAAGGCTAAAAGCTTAAGAATTAGCTTACTTTAGTAAGTTATAAGCTTCTAATAGCTAAACTAAATAGCACTTTTAAAGTAAAAAAAGCTAGGCTTATTAGTAAAAGTGTTACCTATCTAATTAAAGTAAATTTAGAGGCACTATAGCTTTATAATTATTTGCTAAAGTAAGCTAGATAAGCTATTACCTTTAAGTTTTTTTATTATTTAATAAAACTTTTTTAAAAAGCCTATAAGGTGCTTAATCTTATTTTAATTATCTTTAGTTATAAGATTTAATAAAGTGTTAAATCTAGCATAGTAAGCTTTATTCTTAGCATTAAAAAAGCTTTTTTATTACTTTTAGAAGTAGCTAATTACCTCTTTAAGCTTAAAGCAGCATAGAAGCATAAGATATACTAAGTGCTAGTGTACTTTACTATTATGTATAAGATTAAGTGTACTAAACTTCTAAATAAGGTCCTCTTTAGCTAGGTCTCTCTGTATAGTGTTAAAAAGCCTTATGCGCTTATGTAAGGCTAGAATGCTGTTTATAAAGTTATAGAGACGCCTAACAACACTGCGCTTTTTATATAGCTTAAATTAATTATAGAGAGTAGCTCTAGTAAGCTCCTGCTTAAATTTAGTAACACCTTTACTATATATAATAGCCTTTATAACTACCTAGATAGTGTGGCTAGCGTAGTAGATTTAGTGCTGCTTATTAAGCTTATACAGCAGATTTAAGTAATTATTAAGGCTTTAGATAAGCTTATTATTATTATTTAACATGTTATTTCTAATAAAGTAACTAAATTTTAATATAATATTATATTTAATAATAGTAGTAGCTACTTTAAAGGCTTATATACTTTTAGTATAGTTACTATAAAAGTTTTTAAATCTAATAAAAAGATCTTATTATTTATGCAAGGCATCTAGCAAAGTTAGTGTTATAGAAAAGTAGTAATAGTAGCCTGTATACACTTACTAATAAAATAAGCTACTACTATAAAAAACAAAAAGTAATTTCTACTACTTTACATATCTACACTTAACATAATTTTTAATAATGCTAAATTTAGTACTATTAAAATCTTCTACTTCTGCTGCATAAATGCATTCTAAATATTAGTAAAAAGCATAGTGTATAATTATAAAAAAGTAGTAAGAAGATCTATGTAATTTTAGCTAATAAGGCCTTAGGTTTTTATAAAAATAGTGTTTTTAAATAATTAATCCTGCACTATAACCTAATCTACTAGGGCACTGCGCAGAGGGCCTTCCTGCTAAGGTGTATAAGATAGCCTATGTAATAAGCTTACTACTTCTACTTTAGCTACCTTTTATAGGTGCTAAAGAGCCTAAGAGCTATTAAGTAAAAGCTTTTTATTAACATTAACTTTATACTCTTTTTATAAATGCTTTACTATATAGTTATAACTATTAACTACCTTTATAGCGCTTTTATAATGTTACTTATAGCACTAATAGTAGAGCTAAAGGTGTATAACTTTACTTTACTTTTTATATAGCATTAAATCTGCTTTATAAAGCTACACTTTTAAGACTTTATAGTTACTTTTTATTATTTTCTTATTTTTTACTTAGTAACCTAATTACATAGCTAGTAAAGTCTTTTTTAAATCTAATAGCTATATATTACTCTAGTTAATTTTAAACTTAGTGCTAGCATTATAATTACACTTCTTTAAGTACTTCTTTAATTACTTATTACTAGCAAGTAGTGTAGCTTTATAAAATAAGCTAGTAAAAGTGTTATAGATTACTTTTAATTTTTTAAGCTTTTAAGACTTTATAAAGTGTATAACAGCAACACTAGATTAACTTAATAAGGCCTGTAAGGCTATAAAGCGTGTAAATAAGCAATTCTATAATAAAAAGTAGTTAGTAATAGGCATTATTCTAATTTTAATAAGCTATACTATCTAGATAGGTAAGTAAAGTCTCTTTTAAGTAGCTAAATTAGTGTTACACATAAAATTTTCTACTAATTAGCCCTTTATAGCAGCTTCTCTAGTAAGAGCTCTTTAAAACACTAAATTAAGCCTTATAAGCTATCCTAAAATGCTAACTGTACACTGTACTATAGACAGTACTTAGGGCAACAGCTATTGTACGCACTGACAGAAGATTGCTGTACGTTTGTACGGTCTAAATCAACCGTACACCGTACTCAGTACTGTCAGTAGTACGGCCTATTGGGCACGCTGTCTATATCCTTCAGCGCATCATCACGCCAGTGAGGAATAACAGTGGTATATCTAAGCTACCAAAATATAGGCTAACTCCTGTTGTAAATCCTCATAGTTCTTGTAAAAACTTTGGATCTGCTATTTATCTAACATCTGTGGCATTCTTCCTTCCTTATATTACTAGTTATGAAAGTGAGAATAATCCTATCCTCTATATTACTGCTGATAAGGAAACGCTAGCATTTTAAGAGAGAGAAATCGAAAGAATTTATGAAAAATTGGATTGTTAGGGCGTATGGGGCTCCCCGTGAACTGCACGAAGTCGAGGCTGAAATTGAAAAAGTGCCAAAAATGGGTGAAGATCCCTGTAGGTTAAGCATAGCATACCTTATCAATATCAATTTGCTGGTTATTTTCAAAGGAAAGTCTAGATGAACTTAAAGGCCTGAATAAGTGACACTGGAGTCAAGAATTGCGCCATGTCCGAAGAACTGAGCCATTGAGAAGTGGAGTGGCCCGAATCTAGGACACCGGTTGTCTTATTTTCGGGCCAACACTTAGCCTACGTGCTTGCTCAGGCCCAAAAGCGGAAATTGATTTCAATGGACTTCGTTTTCCCCTCGGAGTTAATCGCTAATAAAATTTAGTGCCCAAGTTAGCGTTCATGAACATAGTCTGTACACCATGGTACCACATAACGTTGAACGTAATTAAAATGGAGTTGATCTGTTAAGCACCTTGCTAGAATAAAGGAGGGCATTTAGAATGCAAATTTCTGTCTCCAGATACTCTTTTATGTTCTACATGATTCAAATGGTCACAAAATATTTACAGGAGCAGGTGAATTTTGTGAACATAAGTTCGCATCTCTACAGGGCTATAGCCAGCCTCCTCTATCATCATTCTCCGCATTCTTCCGCCTTGCTTTTCTATTCAATTTCTTGAATCTTGACTCTAGAAGAACTGTCTATATCTAACCAAAGGTGGAGTTGATAGGACCGGACTTGATGTTAGAGTAGGTCACCCAAGCAGAAGCAGACTTGGACTCAACGTCGGCAGGAACACCAGAGGTAGTCTCGCACTCACCACGGCCAATTCCGGGAACGCTAGGATCCTTGTCCGTCGGGTAGGTGGAGTCAAGCCAGAGCATGTTAGAGTAGTGGTCATCCCAAAGTGACATAACCAAAACCATGCCTTGCTGGAGAGCCTTGGCCATGTTGGCCATGCCACCCTTGTCCTTGAAGGTGTAGGTGTCGCCAAAGACCTGCTTCTGCTGGTCGCAGAATTTGGTCGTGATGGAGTTGCCGTCGACACCAGCAATCTGGGACATGGAGTTGGGAATAACCTTGCCGTCTTGAACGTAGAAACGCTTGATCTCCATGTTTGCGCCTGAGCCAACGAACTGAGTGACGACGGTAAACTTCTTGCTGGTATCAACTGTCTTGCCTTTACCATAGAAGGTCTTGTCTCCCATGCGGTAGGAGTTAAAATCGCAGCCATCAGGGTCGCAAACACCTGCATAGCGCTCAGCAGAGTAAGTTCCGCCACATTTGTCGCCTTCGCATCGGCTTTGCTCAATGGTGGAGCAGGAGTGAGGAGTAACGGCAGTGGACACGGAGTTGGCCTCCCAAATATCCATCTCCGCGCAGCAGGAGCCGTGGCCGCCGACACCAGCATTCTGGTCGTTGGATGACTTGGTCCATCCTTCGACATTTCCCTATACGTTATGTGAGTCTTTCTGTGGCCCGTTTCAATCTTCAGAAGGATTCATACCTCTCCGTTGATAAACTTAAGATCACGTGGGCACTGGGCGTCGCAGTATCCAGTTCCGTACTTGGCACCTGCCTTGTTCGTAGAGTACTTCTTCATGCCACCATCGGCGTCCATAGAGACAAAGTACAGAGCACCGTTCAGCCCACATGGAAGGTTCGATAGGTCCACGTCAAAAGTAAACTCCTGGTCTGGAGAGAGCTTGAACATCTCATACGTGGAGTCGTCCTTCATTAGGTAGGTGCGGGAACCGATATTGGTGGAGTAGGATCCCTTCGTGACAAACGTCAACTTCAAGGAATTACCGCTCGCGGTGATGCCGTAAGTAGCCTTGTAGTCAGCTCCATCAAGGGCACAGTTGCTCGCGCACGCCTTGTTATCGGCACAGAGGGTTGCGTTCCACTCGTTGCCCGTGTAACAGTTCGTGTACCTAGTGCAAGTTAGGAGTACTCTCACTATGAGTGAGAATCTATAAAACTAACCCAGTCTTGGTGTGAAGCCAGCGCCAGTTGGCGTCCAATACTACCTTGCCGTTCTTGGTGGTGCAGCTACCCTTTGAAGAACATGACTGCCAGGTCATACCTGGGTGGGTTTCCGTCTGCTCTTTGCCAACCAATTGGCCTTGGGCCAGGGCGAGAAGGGAAGAAGCGAAGACGAGTGCTCGATACATGTTGGAATTAGAACGACCAGTTGCTCGATGGAGACAAGAATCTTCACTGGGAGAAAACGAGATCTTATATGCAAACCTGCCACATTGTGGCTGCAGGCAAGCTCAATTGCGGATTGAGTGCGGGGATAGCCGCGACCCAAGCCATGGAGAGCTGTAGAGAAAGCTCACTGGCTCATCGGATCGACGGGAACATTATTTGAAGCGCCCTGGGGTGGTCCTGAACGGTAAAGGAAAGGTGCCCATCCTCTATTATGTCTTAATTGCTGATGATTGCAGAGAGAAGCTGGAATATGGTAGATCGAATCTCGCTCACAGATCTCGACCGGAACCAGTCTCCCTCAAACCGTCTGGATCTGCAAGGGGCAGATGAGCTAGGAAGTCGGGGCGAAATCGCACGAGATTGACCCGGAATAAAGTTGCAGACCTGGTGACTCTGCTTCTGCTCTCAGTCGACGCGATGCCTTGGCGCTTAGCATGACTGGAGAACAATCGATGGAGGAAATGAATCCTAATGAGGGCACGGGCGCTACAGATGGGGCTCAGATATACGATAGACGATGTTGCCTACGACATGATAGGCAAGAGGAAGGAGGCTCATCTCAGCGTGCGTTTGAAGCATGCACTGATCGACGGGAGTTCCGGATAAGGCGGGCAAAGCTCCATGCCAGGACCTAGGCATGGTAGGTCGTTGGGACACCAAGAATCAGAGAGAAATGTGGGGGGTCACTGGCCCCTGCCATCGTTCCATTCTAGGTCCTAGAGAGTTGACAGCATACTGTCCAAACCACACGAATGAAAATTTAAGGCCAATAATTCCCCAGTATTGTTGTGTTCGGCTCTTAGAAACCTCGTCCAGATCCACTGCGAGCTCCCACGGGTGAAATTGGAATTGTTCTAGACGCAGGCGAGTGAGCCTCCTCAAAGAGTAGGTTGGCCATGCGAATGAAGCATGGACGTCGAAGAAGCATTCTGGAAAAAGGACCCTGGTATTGCGCTTTGTTTCGAATCGCGAGGCGAGTGACGGCTTTCATTTACACAACCAGTCAGAGGAATTGCAACCGAGTGACTTGATCTAGAAAACGCTGAGAGAAGTGAACGATTGGTGGGAGGTGAGAGGCTCAGGAAGCCCAAGCCCTTGATTATATTAGCTTTGGTCAAGGTAGATAGCGAGGGTCCGGGTCGATTTAGGCTTACATTGAGCCCATTAGATTTGTGGGGAAGGACAGGGATTCTCCGCATAGTCACCCTGCGTACTATCCCCGCAAAGTATTCCATGTACTGAAATTGAGTCTTCTCCAACTGAATCGACGGAGTGGATACTCTATCGCGATCAACGCTCCATGTGTCGCGGAAAAATAAACGTGGGGTGTTTCCATAACAGTCCGATCGTCCACTCTTGCAAGAGGACATGCGGAGATGATGCAGTAATGGAACGCTGGATTCGGTGGGCTGACATTCTGCTCTCGCGTAATGAGGGTCAGGTGGTTGAATACTTCAAAATACATTGAAGGTGTCGTGAAAAGAGAGGCTTAATTAAGGTGTGGTGACACAAGCAAGGCTGCGCCGTGATCGCGGGGTGATGTCAACGGGCCGTAAACGATGTTGAAGCTTAACCGGCCAATGGTAATCTGTGGTTGAACAAGACTTGAGCGAGTCCTCCATCCAGGCTCCCATGCTTCTAGAAAGAGAGAATCAGTGATCAAGTCGTACAAGACAAGGTGCCGGAGACCTGAAATCCGGAATAAGTGTCGGGGAATTGGGTGTCGATTGGGTGTGGAAGCGGTGTCCCCCCCATGAGAGCAAATTCTCCCCTTGACATTCCGATCGCACCAGGTTTTTGGGTGCGTCGGCGACTTGAGGCTCAATAGCAGCTGGGAGGAGGCTCTTTTTTCGATTCCAGGAAGACGTCTTGAGGCGGTACTTAAGTAAGAGCCTCAACACATTGTGGCCAGCAGACATTTTTTGGGCATTCGCGGAGACCCGGAGCGGGTAAAGGTGAATCACTGGGCGGCCAAGTTGCCCAAGGAGATGCCTTACAAAACGTCGAGCGCTGAGGTACTGAGAGACTCAGCAAGTAAAGGGCCGATAGTAGGAAACCCCAGGTACTGGAACTCGGATTAGATGATGAGGGAAGCAGAAAGATGGTGTTGAGGATCAAAAAGAGATATAGCTCAGATGCATTAAGGTGATCGCAGAGGGTCACACCAATAAGAAAGAGTCCCACTATACCCGCGGGAAGTACAACCACTCAGAGCAGGACGCATGACCTGAAATTTGGGAATCGAAAATTGATGGAAGGCTCTGAAAGGGCTTGGCATGTTCCATGATCTGAGGCATCGCGGCTGGTTAAACCGGGTAAACATGACAAGATGGCTGTGAACTGTTGGCTGAGGCAAAAGGGCTTGAATTGAGGCTCCGGTCCAGAACTAGGAGTCCGAGATTTGCGGATTCATCAATATGGAACGAAGAGTGATTGGGTGATGGGATGGGTCGCGAGCCGGGCGTGGCGCCGAAGGAAAGGCTGGAATTAGTGTCTTCCTGGGCATGTCTCTATGAGCAGGTCACGAGAGACAGAATCGATGATGACCGAGATGAGTCGTTGACGGAGAATGTGAATGTGTGGTGTGGAGCAAGTATGGCAAGGCTTCTGCCAGCGAGACTGTAAAGAATTGCTGATTTCAGTCGCCTGACAACTGGCATTGCAAGCCTTCCAGAATGGGAAGCTATGTCTTATTTTGGGTCTAGTAATATTTCCTTTCAGGTCATGTGTAGTTCTCGCGCACTTTCACACTTGATAGCACGTGACTAGAGCCGCACAGGGGTCCGCAGCAAATGCAGAGTCTCAAACTTCTCCGCGAAACACAATTCAATTGACACCTCAGCCCAGGGGACATGCCTAGAGAACCTTCTCCAATTGTGACTGCAAATCGGACTTCTGAAGCAATAGCGATGCAGAATCCCCCTTTCCCACGGCAGGATGGCTTTTGGATCTTACGGGCTGACAAATCCGTAAAGTCCGCCCCCAATTCCGAGGCTACATGAAGCGGCCTTGCCCATCTCCACAAGTCCATCTCCATCTCCGCCTTGTCCGACAACCTCGCCGCTCGTCTCCCCACAGCTTGTCTCGCCATGTCAACCAAGAGCGCCGAGTCGCGATCCAATTCGCCAGAGGGCGGACCCGAGAAGCGAGTGAGTAAGAAGCGAAAGGTTTTGTCGTGTTATGCATGTCGCAACCGCAAAATGAAGTGCGACCGCGTCTACCCAGTCTGTGGGAGATGTCAAAGGACGGGACGGGCAGATCAATGCACCTATGATCCCCGACTGCTGGACGAGCTGCCTGTAAGTGGCGACGGGCACGTGGATGGTGCAAATTTCATGCACGCCGATAGCTCTACAAACGGCATCACCTCGTCAACAGCCATCCCACCGGACGCCCTATCTTGGAGAGTAAGGGTGCAAGAACGCCGGCTCGAGATCCTGGAGAAGAAATTGACCAAATTTGACGATACCAGGCCTGCCTCGGTCACCACTCCAGCTTCCCATCTGGACGGTTTCGATGGAGAAGAACTATCGATTAGAGAAACCATGATGTTCCGAGGCAAAAGCTTCAAGACTCAATTCTATGGGGCCACAAGCCCCATGAGCTTGATCAACCAGGTAAATAGCTTGCACCCATGTCGTCTTGGCTTCGACATAGTACAGCCTCTAACTTGGACCAACTAGTTCAACCAGCTCCAGTGGTTCACCCGACAGGCGATGTCATTGGATAGCTCAATGCATCGGATTCGGGGCGATTTCAAGGGATTTAGAAATCGACGGAAAGCCTTACTAAAGGAGAGGGGTCCTCTGACTCAAGGTACTGACGCCGAAATTCTTGCTCTAGTGCCGGAGAAGTCTGTCCTTGATGCTCAAGTGTCCTTGTACTTCCAGACGTTCGAGACGTCGCATCGCATCTTGCATGAACCGTCGTTCTGGGACGAGTACCGAGAGTTCTGGGTGCAAGGAAATGGAAAAGACGTCCCAGTCAACTTCGCCACCTGTTTAGTCTTAATCACGGCGATCACCAAGTGCCTCGCCTCGGACCGAGAGACGGTCTTCATTGGCGACAGCTCCACAGAACGGGAGTCTGCATCTACTTTGGTCGATGTTTGTGACAGGTGGCTGGCACGGCAGTCCCGTAAGCACCTGACACTTGGATTCGTTCAGCTTCAATGCCTATCACTGCTGGCGAAGCGGGTGAACTGCGTGAAGATGAAGCAAGACTGGGTGCACTCAGGAGATGTGATTCGTCTTGCTATCTCATCCGGTATGCATCGGAATCCAGCTCTGCTCGCGGGAGGGAGGGTGTCAGAATTCGAAAAGGAGATGAGGCGACGGCTATGGGCGACGATGATGGAGCTCGAGCTTCAGTCGTCGATCGATTGCGGGCTTCAATCGTCCCTGTGCGGACTGTACTTTGATACCCAGCCACCAGCGAATATCTCCGACGAGGCTTTGTCGGCCGACTTGCAACAAGCATTGACGAGCAGTCCAACTACTCACTTTACTTCAACATCGTATCTGAATGTTAGCATGCGATCAATTCCTCTTCGGATCCATCTGACACAGCTGCTCAACAATCCTACCACCAGCCTTCACTACTCAGACGTCCTCCATTACGACGCCCAAATCACCTCACTCCTAGCATCTCTCCCATCTTGGAGCAACTCCCGTGCTACGGTTCCCTCAGCGCTACTGGACCTCCAGCTCCGACAGTTCCTCGTTATTCTACACCAGCCCTACGCTCTGCTTGCGTCTTCAAACCCGCGCTTCAGCTACTCATTCACTGCATGTATAAATGCGGCTAGTGCAGTCCTCTCGCTATATGATGGGATGATCGAAAAGGGCATCTTCGTGCTCAATCATGCCCGAAATGACGTCTTCCGAACAGCCATTACACTCTCGCAAGTCGTCTACCATAATTGCTCTCTATCGTCCCCTCCGCCTCGGAGTACAAGCGCAAATACGCCCGCGAGTAGCACAGCAGCGCCATCGCTGTCGCAGCCGACGGAGCCGACCAGCTCCTCCAAAGTGTCCTCAAACGGTCCGCATCCGCTAGTGGAGATTCCTCGATTCCCACAAGACAACTTCATGATGGCGACACTATGCCGGGCCTCGATAGAACTGCTGGGACGTGCAGTGTCCATATTTGAGAACAAGGTCATGAGACTCGGGACAGGATATATGGAAAACTGGCTCCTGTGCGCCGCGACCGCGATCATGCCGTCCCCAACCTCAGCCTCCACACACCCGACATCAATGACGCAAAGCAGTTACACAGAAGAAATCAATTCCCGTGGCAAGAAAGCAATCGACCGCATCACACGCTTGTGCTTCCGCGTTCTTGCCATGCAAAAGGATCCCAGCAACGACTTCGCGTCGTCTCTTCGATCCACCATGGCGACGGCCTCGCCGCCTGAAGCCCGAACGTCTCTGCCAGTCGGCGTGCCCACACCTGGGACTCTTGGGTCGGGCTCAGATGCGTCGATGCAGGGGATGCCGGGGATGAATGGGATACCTGGGATTGCGGGGATTGCGATGGCGTTGGGGTCGGGGGCTGGGACAGACTATCAGGCGCCGTTTGAAGGGTTGCAGGATATGCAGGTTGATATGGGGGGGTGGACGTTTCCGGATATCTGGGCGTTTGATATGGGTGGGGATTTTTGATGGATGATGGAGGAGATGAGCTGCCAGAGTGTGAGACTATCGACACGGTAATGAGAGGTTTGATGAACTTGGCGAGCACCTGCCCTGCGAGGCTCGTTGAAGTTCTTTTTAGGTTCGTTAAATTCGAGTCTATTATAGTCACTTGTTGTGGTATTTGCTTTTTGAACATTTCCCGGGCTCAATGGGTTCGAACAAGCCGCCAAGGCAGAAAGTGGCGCACCTTGTTCGAAATAGTTCCGACAACGCCCTCGTGTTCCCGTTTTAATCGAAGGATTGGCCATCTCAGTTGTGTGGATAAATCGGTGTAGACACTTACTTGCTGAACGAGTAAAGCGTCATGTAATTCCCGCACTGGTGAAAAGGCAACCACCAACACCGTATCTGTAAACAGGCCAGCCACTATCTTCCGGTGCCTGTACCCCTCTACCTACCAGGACAGCCCTAGAGGCTCCAGCAAGAATATAACACACTTCCGTTGCGCCGAACCCCAGTCATAGAGAATCACCACATTGCTCTGATATACTGTTGATATTTGAAAGCCGGAGGGGCTCAACGATGGGGTGGCCAATCAACCTTGGGCTTGGAGTCTCATCATACTCTATGGATCACATAGTATTCAGGCCCTCAGTCCACAATACATCACTTCACACACATGCTCTTGGCCCCAACCAAGCTTACAAGATTCACATCTCGAGGGCACTAACTGAACGAAGCCGACACAGACTTGCCGGGGGTAAGCTGAGACGCACAGACCCCAAGTTAGTCAGCCTTACTTCACTTTAGCTAGTTATAATACTGCACCGGAAGCATACTGGCATTGACTCACTTCGAACTCCAACCTTCACGATGCCTCACAGCCAAAGATGCCTGCGCGCACCACTACCACTCCGCCTTGAACAATTTCGCATGTCAATATTTGCATTGCGACGTACAGAAAGAACTACGTTATGTCAGTAAGGGGACGAGGAGGCCGCGGGCGCGGACGTCCCAAGACACAGTTGGTACGTAACTCTCAACCCACCCAAGCACTCACTTCCGCCCATTCGCTGCCCAGTTCGCTGCCCACGTACGCATCTGAACGTCCTCCCCCTAAATTTTCTGGAACATATCCCCCACCCCGCCATGGCGCCCAGCACGGGCTGTCACACGCTCTAATACCAATACCAATCAATAGCAATGGCAATGGCAATGGCAATGGCAATAGCAATAATAATAGCAATAGCAATAGCAAAAATGCTGGTACCATGGCTACAACTGACTTTAACGCCTCGCAGTGGCACTTCGATACGGCCTACCGCCCCGGTTCCGACGTCTGGGAAGCCAACTACCGCATCAAGAGCGCCCCGCCGACCGTCACCCGTGGCCCGCGCCGCGCATGTCCCATCGAGGGTGCCGAGACGAGCATCCTCCGCCGCACCCAGACCCGCGACGGGATCCCGCAGATTATATATACAGTCGAGATCCGGCAACTCGTGCAGGCGCACGATGGCACCTACGACGTCCATAGCGTCTCCACCGAGGATGTAGATCTGTCGCGCATCGACCACTACGCTAGCAAGTGGGAGCAGCAGCGCTTCGAGAACGCCGAGTTCAAGGCTGCTCGCAATGCTGCTGAAGTCGCGCGGCGGGCTGGGATAGAGGCGCAGGAGAAGAAGTATTTGGCTGTCAACTTCCGCAACTCACGCGCCCCCAGCAGGATGGATGGGGCTGCCAGTACAGCTACCCTGTCGCACGCCGCTGGAAGGGGACGTGGGCGAAGGCGAGGCTATGGGCTAGGGCGAGGCAGAGAATCCGTCCATGGCCATCGCAGCGGGAGAGGCGACCATGTCAATCTTGTAGACCACACCCCTGACGCGTTTAACGAAGCCGCCATCCTAGACTCGCAGGAGGACGACGATGCGGATGCCGTGAGTCTCAAGCCCCCTCCAGGCCTCCACCATGAAGCCCCATCCAACCGTGCCTCCAACGAGAGCGACGGAGACGTCCCCCCACTATCGCCCAGTCTCATGCGCTCGTCGTTTATCGCCAACAGCGCCCTCGTCGCCTCCCCAACAATACCCCGCATACATCCCGAAGTCTTGGACATCGACGACAACACGTCCTCCATGTCGAGCGCCGCACAGCAGCTCATGTCGGAGAGGCAAGTGAGAAAGCGATTGAGCTCGGATGAGAATGTGGATGAACTTCAGGTTGCCGATGGTGCCGCCTGGCACCACAGCAAACGACGCCGAACTGAAAGCGTTTCATTGTCCCCAAAGCCCGGCCGCCCAAAGAATTCGCTCGCTGAACAGCCCCATTCTTCGTTAGAGGACGAGTCGATATCAGAGAGCTCTTCCGAAGACCGCAGGAATGACCACATTGGCGATATCACACCCCAAGGCCACGGCCATGACCAAGAACAAAATGAGAAGGAACACGAGGGCGAGGACCTGGAAATCTTCACTGTCGAGAATATTGTCTCCCACACCTACCAGAACGACAAGAAGGTATACCTTGTGAAGTGGGAAGGCGTCGACAAAGCCGAGGACTGGCTAACCGAGGAAGAACTGGAGGGTGCGGCTGATATGTTGGCGGAATATAAAGCTAGGATCGAGAGGCCTGTGTTTCGGAAGAATAAGGGGGTTGTGAAGTAAGGGTGGGGCAGGTTTAGTTTGCGTGCGTTAGCGGCTGCGTACAGGATGGACTTGGTGATGACTAAAGACTTTCTACCATCTTGGCAAGATAGGGATTGGCTCTAGGCTTTGCGACACCTGGATGATGAAAACCGTGGCAGCTTGGGGCTATCTTCGGGATGTTTGTGACCACATTTGACGATTTGAACTTAGAAAACATACTCTCTGTCCTCCTAGACGCATGTAGAAGGAGGGAAGGAATCCCCCCACTATAAGAGCTGGCAAGAATCTTAAGGTACCAATATCATCCTAAAGATCTAAATGGTGAGAATTGACTGCATTTCTGGAGATAAGTGTGTGGCTGTTGGCATAGCTCTCCGTCCTCTGAAAAGAACACAGAAAGGGGGGAGGAAATTCCTAGCTGTAGAACCCAGCAGGCATTCCTACATAGTGGTGGTATCCCCACAACTCCCCCAGCAAAGTGTGAGTGCGATCCTGCCCGAACCCGTAGGATTAGAAGCATTACAATTAGATGTTAGTCCACGTAGCGTACCACAAAACCCGCAACTTCCCACACCTACGTATCACGCAGCCTGGCAATGTCATACGTATTACTTAGTGCATGAGATTTGCATTTTTTTCTCTATAGAATAGCCTACATCCAAGGCCTCGGAACTGGATGCAGATCTAAGAGTAAAGCATAGCAGAAAGCAAGCTCCATTATACGAGCGCTCGAAATTCAAACAGGCGTCCTGACAGATTGCCTCCATTCTAGTCGTGCTCTACGATACGCCATACCGTGCTAGAAACCCTTTGGGCGAAATCGCTAGTCCCGTCTTGCTTATGGATACAGGTACAGGAGGCTGTGTTGGTTGTTGGATCAAGGTTTAGAACCCGAGCATGGCAATGGCGTCCATTTTACCGAGCATTTCACAATCGGAGTCTGGATATAGATATTCTGATCTAGTCTCGATTTGTGTGGCATAGATAGCGTAAATAGCGTCTTGTGGTGGGCGGCCCTTAATGCCTAGGTGGTGTGGGTTGGAGGCGTGGAGGGGTGGGAGGTCGCGGGAGTTAGGGCTTGGGTTGCTGGAAGCGAGAGGTTGCTGGAGCAGCCATTTTCCACTTGGAGGCGGGGGCAGAGATGGAGATTGCGCTAGACGTGAGAGTAGGTTTATTGAGATGGGGAGAGCTCTTGGACCCGCGGTAGCCAATACCAGTGCTGGAGTCGAGGGTTGGGTGGTTGGGCAGTGGGGATAGGGGTGTGAGTTTAGATGGAGGTATGCCGGCGGTGATAGAAAAGCTAGAGTTGGAGCTGCAGTTGGAGCTGGAGTGCGCGTCGAAACGTGGTCGAGAGGGACCCTTAATTTGGCGTATCCCGGTGCTCGTGGCATCGTATTGCAGATTTCGCCGCCGATCGAGGTGCCTATTAGAGGCGTTGTGAAATGAAAAGGTTGCATGCTATCGCGCCTCCTGTGTATGGATGTGTGTTCCATCTTACTGGCAGTGGTGACTGTCTTCTTTATTAGTCAAATGTTAGATAGAAGGGGCGCGAGCGTCGAGTTGTCTGCTATGGCTCCTGGCTCACCTACCTCGAGGCAGTATTGAGGCCTAGATAGGTTACTACATGCTCCGAATTTACACTTGAAGATTAAGGGATAACTGGAGGTGCAGGGGGAAGGATGGAGGTCGAAATTAGGAGGCGGTTTTATGTCGTAGGAGAATGTCGAATGCTGAATTTGAAGTAAGCGTACACTGGTCGAACAAATTCGAGGGAGTGCTTAAACATGGTTGAAGTAATTTATCTAGAGTCCCCAGTGTTTCACTCGATTTGGTAAGAAGACGTGTGGTCATTAGTGTGACGATGAAGGATGTTGCGATATATGTTAATACTATGACGAGAGAATCCACGATTTCCACGGTTCACAGCAACACAAACTCTCTAGGCTCCGTTCTCTAGCACACACAGTTATTCAAGCAGGTTGGCTCGCTTCCATACTCCTACTTCTCTCTGATCTCCCCGTCAGCGTCGTCACCCTGGCCAGGAAACTTGGCTGCTCATTCTCTTTCTCCATCTTCGCGTTCCATTCTGCCTCTCGCTTTGCCGCCAATCGCTTCTCCCTCATAGTCTTCCATCTCATGTAGTAGCAGCAGAGAGGGAAAAGCGCGGTGTCGATAGCACACCAGGCGAACAGGATGCCGAAATTGAGGCCAATGCGAGGATGCAGGTCGAACAGGATTTGGCGAGTGACTTCAACCACTACAACGGACAGCATTAGCATATTACTTATCAAATTCGTGTGAGCGGTTATGATAATACTAGATTGAGAATAACGAAAGAGTTGGTCCTACCGTTATGCATCGGCCAAGCATAGCCCCAGCGGTAGAAGCTCGATGCCAGAGGCAGTGCATAAAATCCCGTCGCCACGTTGCTAATCACCCAGAAAATAAGCCACAAGGCTGTCCACGGCGTCCCCAACAACATGGCCATGTTCTCGCTCGCAAGCCCAAATGCCGTCATTCCAACCCAGTTGACCATCCAATACACCACGAAAGTCGCGCGATGGTAGGATGAGGGGTTCCTGGCCGGCCACACATGAGAGGCTGGTGGGTTGCTCATAGGCATGAGAAAGGCGAGGGAGACGAGCGAGTAGATACAGGAAAGGAGGAAGTAGGACGCAACGGTTGCAACATAGCGCCAGATGATGAGATGGTGGAAGTGGAGAGGCGGGTGGCCTTTTGGGGACAGATACTTCATATGGATTGGAAGAAAGAAGGTAAAGCTAAAGAAAGAGAGAATGATGAGGTAGATAAGGCCGATGCTGACTGCTGGGGTAGCTACGGGAGGCCCAAACGGCCGGAGATCGTAGATGGTGAATTCGATGCCCGGAGATATGGCTTGTGGGACGGTGTCGAGATTCAGTTCCGAGGCCGAGGCGTTTTGCAGGAGATGAGAGATCCATTCCCGGCCAAAGTTAGAGACGGCAATCTTTTGAATCATCGTCATCGAGGCGACGATGTAACTCGAGGTCGTTCCCTGATCTCGGGCGGTGTTGTAGATGATTTGGCCTGCCCCTAAAGGGTCGTAAGAGGAGTTTCCCTGGAGCACAGCGGCCTCGATAAGGGCTGTCGCATTTGGGTTGATGATAATAGCGGCCCAGGCGTGGAAGTTCCAGATGCTCTCCCGAACTTTCAAGGGGTCGTTGTCGAAGTCTGCTGGCGATCGGATGGTGAAACCTGGATGCATCCCTTTGGAATTCGCAAGGCTTTGAACAGCTCGAGTCACGAAAGGCCCTACAAAGGGATTTACGTCTTGGTATGGTGGGACCTGCCCGTCAAAATCCACAACCCACACACCAAGGGAAGGAACTAACTTGTCCTGTCTAAACAGTGCTCCCCAGAAAAGACACAAAAACCCCAAAATAGCAACTGAGAGAATAACATCTAGCTCCTGTATTAGGATCGCATGGTGCGAGGGAAATGTAAAACCTACTTGTTCTGAGCCAGAGCTTCAAGACATGGAGTCTTACTCCAGCCTATTTCAACCATCAACATGGGAAATAAAATCGACGGCTCTAACAAGCGTACCATTTGCCAGTGCCAGAATCCTACTGGTTCTAGTGGTGGTTGTTGGCTCCGACTGCTCTTGCGGCGCCCGTGTTGAAGCGTGTTTGGACGTGTTGGCGGCACTCCCCCATCATCGCGCTGTGTCTCTGCCTTTTCAATATTCAAATCGCTTTCACGTTGAGTCTGGGAGTCAGCCTGCTCCGCTTCCTCCTCTTCCGTAATTGTGGATTCCGAATCTGAGGAAGAGTCGTCGTGTTCATAGTCAGGTGCAATTTGGCACCCGATGGTCGGTGCTGGCATGGTTATGGAACGATGGCCGCACTTGACGCCGTACGAAGTGAAGGTTTTAAATATGAGGAATATGCACGCGAAAACCAGTTGCCAGTATGATAACCAATTTCCGGTAAGGGCGGCGCTTTGTTAACTACCATCAGTGCTGACAAAGCTTATTCATCTCTCTCGATGAGGGCTAACACCAAATCCGGTTAGCGGCGCCATATGACTGGAGTATCGGTCGACCCTGACCCTGTCTAGTCGGGACTGAACGATGTAGTGAAAAGTGCAGCTGCCGGGGAGAGCCGCCTTGAAAACCCATGTATCAGACTGGTGTGAGTGGCGAACCGTTGTGTGTGGGGCTTTCGAAGAGATGGGATATCTCCAGTAATTTCACGAGTGCCGTGCTGAACCATCATTTTAGCCACCCCTCTCTTAATTCTGGCCCTCTATTCTCATCCAAAGGCTTCCGTGAAGATGTCCATACCTCTCCTACGCTTTCCCCTAGCATATGCGAGATTAATTCTAGCTACAGCATTCTTCGCCTCTTTAGACAATTCAGGATTGGAGCAAATGCCCACCATCGCCTTGCTAGTATCTGTATCCAGCGAGGAACTCATTAACAGGGAGGAAATGTCGGGACGAACGCCATAGCTGCGAGATACATCCTGTGAAGAAGGAGGATATTCTGTTGCATGAAGACAATTCCGAATAAGTCTGCATGCGCACTTGTCCTTTTGGGAGTTTGTGGGTGACCTCTCGGCGACATAGGCACTTGGTCTACTCCACGATAAACCCGTAGATTGTGCCTGAGGTGCTTCAAGCTCGGGGGGCGATATCTCTTCGCTCTCATCAATCAACGTCGAAGATCCATCGCAATCAAGGCTCGATAGGGTCAGATTTCGCGGTTCGCCTTGGTTACCCAACGCGGGAAGACATCTCCCTGCGAAGGTTCCATGCGGTTGGCGTAGATACGCAAAGGGGTCAAATTCTTGCGTTCTACTATCACCGTCTAATCCGCCAGACTCTGGACAAGTTGCAAAGAATTTTAAGTCAACGTTCACACCCGATCCTTGCAGATAGGAGAAATGCTTCAAGACCATGTCCGACACAGCAGCATCGAGTTGGGGCTCTAAATGTCGTAGAATCCAAATAAATCGGATTGTGAGTGAGTGAAGGTGTTTTGGGGTGTCCAGAGACATTCTAGCAAGGTAATCCATGATAGATAAAGTAAACGAAACTCCGGTTGAGGTAGCAATAAGGATCAGGTTTTCGTACTCTTCCCATTGAGGAGCCACGCCATATGGACCATCAATAAATGAGGTTATGCAAGAAGGCGGCTTTGTTGCATTAGGGCACGGTGATGCCAGCCATTGCGAATAGTACGACTCCAGCCGACGAGTAAGGCCAGAATGAGTGCGAACAATCAGGATCATATCGTCCTCTGATGACTTGCGGGAGCGATGAAGCAGCCGGTCTTGTTCAACGTCTGGGTCTTTGGCTTCAGGAAAATCCCCCGAGGTACTGGAGCTGGAGCATGTCGCAGGCGTGAACGGGTGAAGCTCGAGCAGACCCAGCCTAGGAAGATACAGACGAACGTGCTGGCCTGGTCTCCAAGAAAAGGGAACATTGCAAATACGTATGACAGTGGTCGAGCCAATTTGAAGCGATACTGCGCCATCAAGCGATAGGGAGCTCAAAAGGAAGGGTGGGGGTGTGGTCATCTTAATAGAATGGCCGATCGTAAGAGACTTCCGCCTAGCTCTTGATTTGCTCTGGCCCTTCTTGCGTGATATTGTAGCAGTGTTGTGACGAACGAAGTAATAAATGGTCAGGAATTTGTCAAAAAAGACGAATCCTACAGCCATGTATATAGGGCCGCGTGCATACTTTGGAACGTGCTGAAAAAGGATCCAGAGAAGAGCAAATGTTGACACCAGATGGTTGATGTAAAAGAGACGGTAACTCCACCGACGTAATGGCAGTATACTTGTCAAGACTATCCATGCGAGCATAGTATATGCGCCAACACCATATCGAACAATGATCATGACTTTATCTGGAGACCTGATGATGTCGGACACCGATATAGAGTACATCATAGTAGACATATGGGTAGTAGCAGAAAGAAACATTATCCGGCCAACCCATTTGTGGATCCAGTTGATCCTCTCATATGACAGCGCAGCGAGGAAATTCAGCGGCCCACGCTTGGTGGCGAGGAAGTAAGCGAGTGGTACTTGGGCAAGCGTAATCCAAGCCGCGCGAAAAGCGATATCGTCCAGAAAGTGTGAGGAGAACCATGGGGCGTCCACAGAAAGGATGAGAAGTCCAATTATCAGAGCATATATGCATCTGAGCGATAGCTGGCCTATCGAGGAAAGATCAAGAGAGCCGGATAACCGTGGAAGAGAGAATAATGTGAAAGCCTTGAAGAGAGCTACAACTCTATGAAATATCTCCGAAGGGTATGGATTTTGCCATCGAAATAAGGGATTCCTGAGGTAAATCAGCATCTCAGGGCTTAAACTGTGAGTAAAACAGACCTTGCCCGGCGACCCCACGAGACAAGTCCTCTCTGAGTGACTCTTGCTAACAATAAGGTAACGATGACAAGCCAGAATATACGAGCCAATCGTTTATCAACATCGCTTCGCTGTCGTAGATGATGCTGATGGCGGACCTCGTCCAGCTCGTCAATATCGCTAGCCATTTCTTGTGGGAGAGGCCGGGATTCCCTTCGAGAAAATCAGAGCTCAAAACCTAAATAAAAATCTCTGATTTTTCGTCAAAAAACCCGGGAAAGGACGCCAATGCTACTTGGGTTGAGGCGGGGTAATCAACAATGTGCTTTCATCCGTCGAACATCCCTTTGGATAGCTGTGACGCCGGCAACGAGGGAAATGAAATCTCAAAGATTCCAGAATGGATGCGGTGATTCTATGGGACAAAGCAAAGTTGTAGGCGCTTAAACATGCCAAAAAGCCCAAAACAGCGATCATACCTAGCAAGGGGCCGATGGTGGGGACCGAGCTTTTTTGAAACGATCCTGGTGTTGAGTTCTGGGTAAGGATTTAAGCTGATGAATAACTGAAAGTGGACAAAGACTGGTACATTCGGCCATGTCGTGCGGCGAGAGCTTTGGGGAATTTCGTGCCTAGAGCGGAGGTGAGGCATATCATTAGCATCGTTGCAAACAGCAGGATCGGTCGAGGGAGTGGCTGATGGCGCGATTGTCCGAGACAAACCTCAGGAGCCTGAGGATTGAGCATGTTTCGGACCCGCCAAGATCGCGAAGGTTTCTACCGCTCAAGTCCAAACAACGATGAGATCCTTGGAATTGGTTAAAATTTCCCCAAATGCAAGGAGCATGCACAACACCTCATCATGCACCAGTGCCCGAGAAGTATCACGTGACTTTTCAATTGATTCTCCTGTTATCACTTACTCTATACTACTACCAGGGCTCAGGTGAACTTTGCCTGCCTTCCTAATAAATTGATTGTGTTCTCTTTAATTTTTCCGTCCATTGGGTTTGGTGTACACTTTCTTCTCCTTAAAGGGCACATTGCCACGAGGATCTGACCGAAAATAAGCTAGATCCAAAGAGGCTTTCTCTTTCATAATATTCCCTAATTTGTTTCCCTCATGGGTATTGTACTTCATTTCACCAGCCGCAAAACCTAATCAGCGGCGGTAGTCCATATCATCACCGCCTCAGCAACAACCATTCTTGCCTTGCACTCCTCTTCATTCCGCGGGGTGTAAAACAACCACCACCAGCACTAATAGGCGGACTAGCATTCCTGGAACTTCAAGATGTCTTATAAATACCTGAACTCTATGCGGTCACTACAGGCTAGTGGATGGCGTTCTCTGCGCCTAGCACGGATGATATGACGGACAATCTTAGGATATAGAATCAAGCGGGAGCCAGTGTACTCATGGACGTAGCCGGTTAAAGATACGAAGATCTTCTCTAATTCGTTTAATTATCAGAGAGCAATACCACAGCACCCAGAAAAGGATATGTTCTGATTTCATGCTGATCAATCTGTTGATGGGCTAACATTCCCATGATAGTAAGGCATATGCTGGAAAATTGTGGCAAGGGATTCAAGAACCTATCTGCGAAACTTTGAGCCGGATCTAAAGTCGCTAGAGGTATGAAAAGGCTGATTCCAACCACGTAGAACGTGGTATGGTGTGCCTTCACGTCCACGAGACAAGAAGACCTTACACACGGTGATTCATTTCCAGTACCCAGCCCGAATTCTAGGAAGAGTCCATTTTCCCTATGTCTCTTAGTCTAGGCTTGCTTTTAGCTCTGGAGTAACGATAACGGGAGAAGCCGCCCAGGAAGCCGACTGTGCCAAGGTAGCGAAGAAAGGGGACGAACGGAGTCTTTAGAATTTGTAATTGCACTATGACGAGAGTTATACTCTATGCAGCCGTATGTGTCTTCTCTGTTGCTTGATAGTTCATTTACCCAATTCACCATTTTTCAAACTATTACCGATCTCTTTTCGCATTTTTTCCGCACTTGATCTTGCCCGGCCAATTACTCCCAGGACAGGTTCTCGAGGATCTAGCGCCAGACGGCGAGTCTGGCTATTCCCCACTAGACATTGTTCAATTCATGCGTGCTCATTATTTGCATTATGTCTGTTTTTCAGTCCGCTGCAGTTCGTGCAGTTGGTACAACTAGGAGAGTAAGTCTTGACCATGGCAAATTTGCGGCTGAAATTGAGGGCGGCATACTTTATGCAGTCCGACTAAAGAGAAGCAGTCAAGTCAGTCATAAGATAAATTTATGGGCCTCCATATACTCACGCAGTCAGTACAGTTAGAACACCCTTCGCAGCCTTCACAATCAGTGCAATTGCTCGACTTCGCGCATCCAGTACATTCCGTGCAGTTGTCACATTCGGTGCAATCTTCAGCAAGTCAGTCAGCTGGTTTTCGACTCAAGGAATAAGTGGAATAAGCACCCGCGCAGTTGTTGCAGTTGTTGCATTTCTTACAATTCTTGCAGTTCGTGTTATTTCCTTCCACGCCAGCGGATACGGGAGCAGTCTGAGACATTGTACAGCCCATTGCGCGTAACGAAGGACTTTGTCGTTGGTTGAAGATATGATCAAAATAAAGATCAACGAGCAGGCAGTTGAAAAAAGGAATCTATATTTTCGTTTTAATTGTAGAGGAAGGAGGACATCTGTCTCACCAAGACGTCATCATTCGTAGTCGCAAAGATAAGAAAATGAGGGGTTAGAATTGCCACCAACAATGCGATGTACGACCAAGGTACGCAGAGCCGTCACAAGCCTTAGGAGACTTTAATCGTTGTGACATTGCGGATAATTCGAAGTCTCTTAATCCTCTCCATTCTATTGTGAGTTTAAAAATGACTGTGTCGAAGAGGCTGGATTGTAGATGAGGACTGCATCCTCTTAGTGAATTGCGTTTTACACCGTACGAATGTGATTGACTACCGGTGCTATCTATGAGAGCGGACGCGAGATGCTATAGGCCTTGCGAGATGGTTCATGGGCGTCTTTGCCTGCTAAGAATATATGCAGGTGTGGGGGTTCAGTTACGTTGAGCTTGTTTCTTGTTTGTTCTTCCTCCACTATCACGCTTCCCTGTCTCTTGATACCTGACAAATAAACCATTACCATCAGTCACATAGACATTTAGATAACGGGAATGATCTTACCGCTTCCATAGCTAAACGAAATCGGGATGGCAATCGCGTTCTGCACACACTCCAATGCACCTTCCTATCGACCTCCTGCACTCACTCAAGGCAACACTGTGCACCCTCAATTTGTTATATCTCTAAACTCCCTGTGAATATTTCTTAAGGAAGAGAAGAAGTCGCTACATTAGATCTTCGCATAAGAGCACACCAACTAATGAACAAGGCATTTCCTGGATCACAGCGCATGTGTGGTCTCTGCCATGCTGCTGGTTTACCCGGTACTATATACCCTTGAGCTCGTGGATACGTTGAGATGATACCGACCTCGGGAGGCGTGAAGAAGAGAGCCGGGGGGTACATAGCGCCTCCTTCCTCAAACCAGCTGGAACGCATCACGCTGCCCTTGGCTTCTCAAGTAGTTTCTCTTACTTCAACCCATTGCTGGTGTGTGGTTATGGTCTCGCGGATCTCGGTACCGAAATACCGAAGGGCACATTTCTCCAGTTTACGAAACCTTAATCACAGCTGGCTTCTCCCTACATGAGCTGTGGCGTTCTCTGTGGCGTCTATCTACCCTCTACGAGCTTGACAGGTTGAAACGTAGCAATATCGAGGATTACAAGTGATAAAAGTGTTTCAGCCAGTGAACAAAGTTCCAGGCTACGATTCGACAGGTTTGCTCTTCGATCGCCGTCTTAAAGTAAGAAAACCTAATCATTTTGCCCAGGCCGACTGAAGAGATCCTGGAACATTATGCACAGGTTTGACTACAACTTGAGCAGCCCAAAGACGAATGGCCCCTTTGTACCGTGTCTAGCTTGAACTACCAGGGTCTTCCCAGCCTGCGGCAGGCAAGAACTATATTTGCTGACATCCACAATCCCACACGGGCCGTTCCTCTCTCTCCAAATACTCACCGTTCCGGACCGCAATATGGACCCTTCTCGAGTTAAACTACTTCGATCATAGAGCATACCGTAGGCCAATTCGGGGGCTGGTCGTAGTCACTCTTCCTGGGAACAAATATTTTGGTTTGAAAGTTTGCATAGAGTATGTACGGATACGATGCTTCCAGCGCCGCAATACTCGATAGATGTTTCAGGGAGGGCTGTCAACACCTTGAGACATGACTGATTACCACTACCGTCGAAGGATAACCTTCCTCTAATAGGGATAGAGAACTTGCTTTGCAACGTCTACAACAGTAACATATTCGCGAGGGAACAAGAGAATAGCTTACTCCATTCTGAAGTCTCTGGAAGTCTTAAGAACATGAACGACAAAAATCTAGGGCGATGCAGAGTGATGAGGGACCGACAGAATCTGGGGTGGTGATTTCCACTTCCTCGGCTAAGGCGTTGAGTCCGCCTGCAGCTTCCATTAGTGGCCAACAAATATCGGGCTTCAGGTGCGAAATACTACATTAACGGTCAGTTGGTTGGAGCACTTTGAGCTCCGTGACATAAGCGAGATGTGCGGCAGGTGGCTAAATATACGGTTAATATGAACTCAAGCACACCTCCATGATTACCCAACCTCCAGCAACCGCTCCCTGGTTAAGAACCCCTACCTTTTCTCCGCCCACACCCGCCCCATCATAGCTTGGAGCTACGGTATCAAACGCTGATAGAGATCTCGCTCTTCCAATCATAACCACCACTAGCGCATGTTCACACTAGAGGCACAGGAAAGCTTGGCAACTACCGCGGTCCATCAAACTCTATTCCAGAACCTCGACTCCGCGGCGTTCGAGTTTGCTGCAACCACTCCTGGAACAGGAATATTCTCCACCTACACTCCAAGAAGCAGGTTGCAGGTATCTGATCACACTAGCGATTAACCCTGCTTGATCTACATTCAACTGTCACAGCGTGAACTCGCCATGTCTTGCTGGGCCTGGATGAGGAAAGGGCAGGACTCCAGGTCATCTGGTTTTAATTTCAATGCTTCTCCCAACGATATTGTACTTCGGTGCGCTCGCTTCTAATTGACATATAATTTTTTGTGGACAAGTTCCAAACTATCTCATTGTGCAACCGACAGAAAAAACACTACGATGTCTGCCCCCTTCTCACGAGAATACCTCAACGCCAACAAGGGCCCGCAAGTACTGGCAGTCATTATCGTCTTTCCTATACTCGCAACAATAACTGTCATTCTCCGGCTCTACACACGGTTTAAGATTGTCAACAATCCGTCTCATGAAGATGTTGCGATATTACTTGCTTTGGTGCATATTACGACATATACTTCACAAAAGAATATTAACTTACTGACATTTAAGTCTAGATCTTCAGCATCGCGACTTCAATTTGTCAAGGATTCCGTAACGCAGCCCATAACCCGTTACCTGCCCTCTTAGCTAACCAGAATGTGTAGAGGTGTATAACGGGATGGGTAGACACATCCAGGCATTGACACTCGACCAAGGCGTCAAATCTTTGAAGGTAGGTACTCTATGAACTGCCCATGCGAACCTCACCTAAACCCAACGTAGGCTCTCTTTGCAAGCATCATGATGTACAATTTCGGTCTAACATTTACGAAAGTCTCAATCGTGCTGCAATACCTTCGAATCACGATTGACCGAGGCGTCCGAAGAGCCTGCTGGGCATTGCTTATCTTCACTATTCTAAATGGTGTCCAAACTTTTCTTACTGGTATCCTCAGTTGCTATCCCGTTGCCAAATTTTGGGACGATAGAATTCCTGGAGGATGTGTTAATAAACCAGCATTATGGTATGCGAATGCAGCAATCAACATCACCCAAGACATCTGGCTTATTGTTCTACCAATCTTCATCCTGAAGAAGCTCGCTCTGCCAAAACGTGAGAAGATCAGCTTGATTCTCATCCTGGGACTCGGAGGCTTGTACGCTACTCCGCCGCTTGCTTTTTCATGTTCTTTTTGTTGATATTTGCGCAGCGCAAGTTTAGCATCAGTCCTACGACTCCACGCTCTCTACATCGTCGCGAAGAGCCAGGATATCACTTGGGACAACCCCGGAACTGCCACGTGGTCAACAATGGAATTGGATATCGCCATCATCTGCGCTTCGCTACCGACACTTCGAGCATTCCTCGTCAAATTTTTTCCGAACACATTCTCTTCATCAATATCCAGCAACAGAGCAGGTTATCACAATGCTGCACGACAAAGAGTTATTCAGAATCGCGGGAGCATCGTTGTTAACATGGACTTCGATGTAGAGCAGGCTAAAGCGAACCCCAGCCCTGCAACTACAGCATCGGCACCTGAGGCGGAGATGCAAGAATGGTGACTCCTTCAGCTATGATACTCTTAGGCATCAATCTAACATGAATTTCGATGAATGGGATACCACTTTCAAGCATGGTTACAGCGTGGCATTTTTGCGTTCAACCATTCTTGTACTCGGGCGGTTTGGACTTTGAGGCATTTGCAGGACCCTCGTACATAACTATCATTCAATACCTTCTCCGGCGTTTCTTATCCTTCCTTTAGTATTACCTCTATTTTCTGGGTCTTCCAATTCGGAGATCACTATCCCTGGCCAGGGGCGGTGTGAATATGGTGCTTTGGCTTTCCTGGACAAATAACGCTAGTTGTCCAAATCTTTCCTGGCGCGACACCTTATCTTAGTATTAAGTCATTCGCTATTGATACCATGTTTTTTGTCTATGTTCTTGTAACAAGCTGGCCACAGAAGCAATCAGATGAAGTTCCTTGACTACATATAACTACTTCAGCCTATGCTGAACCATCTAATCGCTTTGCGAGTGAAAGCTTAATGCACTATTGCCAGTCTAGGCCATCGAGTGTAGCCCACCATGATGGGTTGTTGTTGTCCTTAGGTCTTATCGGCCTCTTGGATACCCTCTTCTACCTTTGCTTTTCATTGTATTGGGCTTCATATTGCGACCTCTATAGTTGCTCTCACTCCAATAAAAGGTAGTATATGTTCAAAAGACATGCACTTCATTATTACTCCGAAATCAGCGTCAGCAGCTGTCTTCAGCTACCAGGCCTGATCGATTCAAGTCTTGGTCACGCATCTTCTCGGCTAGGTATTGTGCAGCGCTCAAATCCGAACAACTGTCAATCGTTTGCGGGGTGCAGGTCAAAATGTACCAACCATTCCCGTTCCGACACCGAACTAGGAAGAAAACCTTGTCTGGTCATGAGAACCCCTTAAAAGAGAGTATTATGACTGCCTATCGAAGTAATACGAGATGTGAGGCTTGCGTTGGTCGATTGGATTTGAAACCGCCAAAGCCCCGTTTTCAAGGGGTGCCAACCAATTAGACTGGCCAGTCAAGCGATCAAGCCCTTTTGTCCACAACTGAGGAAAGAAAAGTTTCGCTATCTGGGACTTTGATCATAGCGTGAAGCTTCAAACCATTAAGCTCATGGACCGAACACCATCGTTGAGTGATCATAGTTTGACGACTCAGCTGCGAGGTTCGGACATTTGGACTGACCGCGGTCTCGTCGGGACCCTGCTAACAAAACACCGCGCCCGTGGTGAACGTCACACCAAACCCCATAACCTCGTGGCAAGCCTTCGCCCTATGCGGGATGTGCTAACCTCGACATTATCTCATCTCGTTCAACCTGGTTTGCGATAGCATTTTAATTTCACCACTGCAGGATGAACACGTCTCGTCACGAAGGCCCCCCCCTCACTTTGCCATAGTTTGTAATTCTCCAGCTGCATCATCCGCCACATAAACCCACCAAATGATAGCCGGCATCACGTAGAGGTCCCTAGCCCTTCCCGAATTCTACTAGGCTGCAGGACCCATCAAGCTCCGCGGCGAATCCGTCTAAGCTAGTCTTGGCGGCTTGGGTTCATCAAGTTTCTCATTCTTCAGAATTTTTTCTACTCGCTGAAGTGTTTCCAGATTCTCGGTCGAACAAGGGGGCACGGATGGGGCTTATGTTTTAAACCTTGCAGGGCGTGATGCGACGTGCGTGCATCGTAAGGGTCAGGATCTAGAAGTTTATTGCGGAAGAAAGTGAACCCTGGTCTTCAAGGTGGAAGAACTGACGGCCACGAAAGCGGCGGCGGGAGCTCGTGAACTAGAGGTAAAGAGAGGGGAAGGTGGTGAGAAAAGCAAATCGAACTGAGAGGGTCGGCTCTCCTTGGCCGGTCGCACAATTCGCCTTCAAATATCAACCACCACTTGAATGTGGCAAGCAGTGACAACATGCCCATGCGCGGGTAATATCCGAAGAATGGCTACTGGTTTCGATAAATTCGTATCGTGCCATCGTACCAGGTCGAGCATTCCTTTGCACTGTATTTACACGTTGAGGTGGACGGGATCCCGTGACAATGTCAGTGTGGAAAAGAATCGAGACTTGTCTTCCTCATCCTGCTATAGGCTCTCCGCCTGGCTCATGCTATATCGTATATGAAGATCTGTTGGCCGGAGATGTGAACGAGATGCAAGAAAGGTAAGAATCCACATCGCTATTATTGGTACATTAAGGCGACGGATAACGGTATCGCGGACATTTTCATGCCTGATCGACTGTCGTGTAACCGGAGGCGAAGACCGTTTTCTGTCCTTGAGCCGTCTGTGTAACACGACATGCGTGTCATTGAGCTTGGCCGAGCATCCGTGCGTGGACCATGTGCGCTTGATATGACCCTTCATTTCGAACTTCGGAAACCCACAGGATCGCGATGGTGGTTCTAGCGATTAGGCCGAATATTGAGACGGACAAAAGCACTTAGAGAAGATTTGTGAGGTGAGGGGCGCTTATAAGAATGAACCACGTTCTCTTGTAAAGAGACTGTCGATATTGCGGCTGCGCTTTCTTATGCCGAGGCGGGTCACTAGGTATGCCTAAATTCGTCAGAGAGAGGATATTCTCAAGAGATGGTCAGCTCCAGGAGGAAGGATGTTGCCCACGGCCACGACAACTTCGAGTCCTTCACCAAAATTATGCCACGCCCCAGACGATCCTAAAATACTCTTGGCCTCTGCCTTCCGTTTTTTACTTCTTCCAAATACCAAAGTCGCCAGTTTCGCCCGGCCCGGGAGATCAGCGATAGGGTTGGAGGGTCGAGTCCAAGACGCCGCAGTCTCACCTGGACTGACAAAAGGAATTGAATAGAGGGAGACGTACTTAAGACTGCACGCGAGGTTGCAATGGACACGACTATACTCACGTCTTTCTCAGCGATTCGATCTAACACCCCGATGCGCGCAAATTCTTCCTTGGGCACCAAACACACCTTATACACCAATAAAAATGGGCTCGGCATTCGATCGTCACCACGCACCGTCGAATAGCATATGACTAGGCTCCCCAAAGCCAATCGTGAGGTCAGGGTCAGGCTGGCCAGGGTCTTCACAGGTCCAATTGGCAGGACAAAATGGGAGGAATAAGCTGGTCCCGCAACCCCCAGACTGTCTAGGCTAATATTGGACAACGCAGTTCAAAACTGGCGAGGCTACTTAATGGTTCGGTAGGCAATTGGGATTCGGAGACGTCTGACTGCTCCTGTCCCCGAACATTGGGTGCAGGCTGGAGCTATAGTTAACCACATTCTTCGCCTGGTCAGTGGACAAGTAAGGTAGGGTATGGGCAGAGAAACGACGCAATCCTGAACCTCTTATCCAGAGAACTGTTTGAGCTGATAGAACAAAACAAGGGGAGGAAAAGAGTATGGAACGTAGTGTCAAAGGGCACCATCCAATGCGCGGTCTCACGCTATGCACTATTATGGGCAAATGGCCCCCGTAGCGTATGAAACTCGACAACCTTATATATACTGTATTATATCTACATGTTTTGGTGGAGTACTAAAGATGCCAAAGATCTGAAATCTGGCGAGAAATCAGTCGCGATACCTCGTTGGAAAGTTGAGCTACCTGCCACGCCAGAATGCCCCCAACTTTATCGATGCTGCACTAGCATCCGCAAACCTTTTTGGATCCGGATATTGGTGTAGCAGCTTTCTTTTTGCCTTTCTTAAATGGATTGAGATCGTTTTGTTTCCGTTGCTCAGGTCGCTCAGCAATGGATGCCTCTTCCTCTGTAGCCGGTCTAGCACTCAGCTTCTGCAGTCGATCCTCACTCGCTATCACTGACCTCTGCCTCCTCTCCCCTATCAAGCGCGCTTTCTTAGTCTGTTTTTGGGCTCCAAAATCGTGCGCAGCCTGAATTTTATTAGGTGCACAGAAAACTGCACGACCATCATGTCCTTGTGGTGCTTTGAGCATCAGAGGCTTACTACGCTGGCGGCGCATCTTTTCCTGGATCAGAGCCTCCTTGAGGCGCTCGTTCTCGTGCTGGAGGATAGAATGGCGCGCTGAAATTGAGAGTATCGTCTGGCTCAGTTTCTTCAATTGTGCGTCGTGAACATCGCTGACAATCTGGCGCAGAATGCGTTCAATCTTCTTCCAATCTGAATCGCTGAGCACAGATCTGCTCCTATCGTTTGAAGATGGCCTAGCCTTCTGCTCAACGCGAAATTGATTGAGCACCACGTCAGGATCAAATGGTGATAAACCAGTCACTTTAAAAGCTTGTAAGATAGTGTCTGGCCTGAACGACGCTCGCCAGGCTCTATCAAATATATAGAAGAAGTCTCTTTTCGTAATCCTTGATAGACCTGGGGATCTATTGACGTACTCGGCCAGCTCGGCTGAGTATGCAGATGATAGAGGCTTGAAGAGGCAAACATCGAGAGGCTGAAGCGTATGGATAGAATGAGTTGGATATACAGCAAGGAGGATCTTGTTATCGTCGCAGTACTTAATAAATTCCATAGTGATGTGTGATCCGTAGCCATCCAAGATTAATAGTCGATAGTCTCCTTGTGCTTTCGCCTTCGTCTCGTAGTCGAACACCCGCTCAAGCCATGCGAGCCCTAGCTGGTTGTTCGTCCAGCCTGTAGGTGAAGATCCAAAGAAGGTACCATGCTGCTGTGGATCAAAATCTTGCATCGAGGTGTCTCGTATACCACCAGAAGCAGATTGGTCGATTAGCGCAGGTGGAAGACAGCTTCCGTCGGCGCAAATGCAAGCTACCGTCGTGATCCACTCGCAGCTTCTATCCTGGGTAATCTGCTTGATAGCCCCCTCCTCATACTGGCGCCGGGAGAACACTCGCTCCATTCCGGAGAGTACACCGATTAGGAAGCCCTTCTCATCCATATTGTAGGTATGTCGTGGATCTATATTGTGCTTCTCGATTTTTTGTCGTAGAAGCTCAAAATATAGTGTATATTTGGAGCTTAAATCAGCTCTCTTCCGCGGGGTGTCTATGCCGGTAGTCCATCGAGATACCAGGTCAATGCAGTGTCGTTTCAGGAAGCGTTCAACCCACCCCTTGCCAGCTTGCCTACCACCTATTTCGGAAGCAAAGTTGCGTATCATATGCTTTGAAGGTGGTAGGTCTCTTGAGCACAGCTTATCGATATATTCTATAAGCACTTCCTCCTGCGTACGGTTGAGAAGTTGCTGACTTTTGTGATGCTCCTCACCAGATCCTCCCCCAACACGTTGGTGGCGCCTTGATAATGTGGTCTGATCCATGCCATATTGTTTTGCTATCTGAGAATAACCAGTGGATTCTCCTAATTTCTGCGACTGAAACGCATCAAGGGTGGCCTCAATACCACCCATATGGGATGAGATATGGTTGGCTGAAGTTTTGATAGCTTTTCGTTGAACTGTGAGACCGACAGTAAGCGAAGGGTAGGCAAAGCGATACAAGAGGCACAACTAGAGAGACAGGAGAGCTAATAGTGTTGGTGGTAATTAGGCGTGGATGGTAGAGACGAAGTCGAGAGGCTAGCCGGGTTTTTATTGTGGAAAGGGGGAGGTTCTCGGTGCGGTGGTCCGTGCGGTCTCCCCCTATCTATAACTGAGCACGTTCCACTCTCACTCACGCGGTGAAATAACGGAAAAGCTGGAATGGAGCGACAGACTTAGGAGTCAAAGTGAAATTTTCGCCCACCAAGCAGCACTTTCACCATCGGCATCTCTGCCACCGGCAAACCCTTTTGACACTGTGAATATCACGCAGCGGGTGAGTATAGAGACAACTAAGACTTATGTCTCAAAATATGCAAGAACTTCGAGTGGATATGCCGAAAGATAAGCCGTTAAGCGCGAATCGTAGTGGTTCTTCCCTGGCTCATACCGCGTGTGCTGTAGTTCCCACAGCATAATATCACAAAAAAGAGAACATGTCCAGGATCAAGTCCACTTACTAGACCTCTTTTTCATGCAAAGAAGAACGTCAACAGGACGCTAAATCCAATCCTCAATCGCCTACCTTTTTCATCTTCCCCGTCGGGTGGAAGGATACAATATGTCTGTCACCCCCCAAGGAACCCCCAAGGAACCCCCACTGTTTTCACTGAGACCCTCAACTCCTCCCTCCTCCACTTCGCGACTTCACCCAACCCCAGACAAATCTCAAACCTACCTCCCATCCCCAGTGCCGCCTCCTGTACTGGGTAGTACAATTGCGGAATAGCACTACTCTCCGACCTCACTGGAAAGCCGTTGCTCATGATCTCCGACCACACAATCCCCTTCCCCTACTCTTTGAGTGCCTATTCCACCCATGTATCAGCTGTATCAGAAAACCCTATTCGATCTGGCACTTCTGCCGAAGCACAAGTCGCAGTGGACCCTCAAGTCATTATTCCTTGGTATCATTTCTCTAGACCTCAACTAGCTCGACCACATGAAGTACGAGTATGCCGGCATGGCGAAGTTGATGCGCACCACAAAGACCCTGGCGACCTAAGTCAGTGAGATCGGCTGGAATCGCGAGAAGGGTGATAGAGTATGGGAAACTCCGATAGAAAATCGATGTTCTGCCTCATACCCGCCGCGGAGGTCTCAAACGACATGTCCCTACTTAGAAAGCTGCATGTTATTACCTAGCATGGCACATAACCGGGGATAAGTTAAGAGGGGAGCTGAAATTCTGTTGGTATTCACTTTAATTCCAACAAGAGATTTTATCTTTCAAACCACTCATCAATATTCTTTGAGGTAAGTGCGAGAATGCTGGAGCTGTGGGTGCTTTCCAAGATTAAGTTAGGACAAAAAGATACCAGAATAACTATCAGACAGTTTGATCAAGTCTTATCTACTCGACTAAGTTCGAGATGTTGTCTTAATTCCTTCAATATGAAAGTCATCATCGTTTACTGTCCGCAACTTACCGTTTCGGGTATCTATATCGACCGGCTAGTCGTAGGAGCAGAGAAGAGATCTAAGAGTGACTTCGCAGGCTTTGCAGTAAGTACACACCTTTTAGTTAATCAATATGTAAGGCTTAGCTGACTGTACTTAGAATGAGTTAGCGCAAGTTTTCAGTCTACAGCATCTCATGATATTTTGCTCACCACGGTCGATGAAATATACGAAACATCTTGAGCTATTCCACATCAATACTTGCGGTACGACTATCAGATATTCTAGTTGACAAGAAGCTGCAAATCGAGATGATATCGGTCGTTTCTAGGAAGCAATATTGAAAATTGCGACCAATGGCGTAGGTTTCTCACCACTTCCAAGTTGGGGCGGAGCTGCCATCCAAGGAGGATCCAGAAACCAATCTCTAAAGACGCAGGGCTAGTGTGCTTTGAGGAAAGGCAGAGTCCCATAGACTTAGGCTTGCTGTATTTAAATGATGAACTTATCACAGTCTAAACCGTACCAGACTCTATTTTCCATAACTGTACTATCAACCCCATGGTTATATTGTTACCCTGTTAGCTCCCTGCTCAGATTCAGGTCCATCCGTGGATATTTATGCTGATAATGATGAGTGTATCGTAGCGTAACAGGACGATAAATAGATATTCTTTTACCCTTCCAACCTCTTGCTAGAATATAGCAGGAAGCCAAATAAATTCCATTTTCTGTCCTAGATCTGATCTAAACCGAAAATGGCAAGTGCACGTTGCACGGACCGACACGTCCAACCTCGTTCCATCGAGCTATGCATCTTCCATCACATTTTATCGCTATCATGTCAAACTTCACATTTTGGAAAGGATTTGCTGACGCTGCAGTTGGCGCCATCCTCCTTTTCAAACCGGAAGTTATATATCACAGTGTTATCGCAAAGGTTCTGCATCGCCTCTCCGGATTGCGACTGCCGAATCCATATCCGACAGCTGAGGATGCAATCTCTGCGCAGCATGCTGTTGCGATCATGGTAGGTGGAATTCTTTCAGGGGGGTTCCAAGATCCCGCGTTATTGTAATGGCTACCAACAAAAGCAAGCTAATGCCGAAGTGGAGCAGGTTATCGCCGTGGGGTTATCACATATGCGGGCCTCGTATGAGAGAGCCGCACTGCCCCCTTTTGGTATGTCTCCACTACAACCGATCCCGAATTCAGACAGCAACTTCATTTGTTCACATGACGCAGTGCTTCTGAATGCGCTGTGGTCGCTCTTCGCGCTCTCTACAGTTGTCTTGAAGCCGCACCGAGCGACAAGCGCGCTGCTTATGACCGGCATTAATCATGCCGTATTTGCAGCCGTCATGATTGTCAAGACTAAGGTTGGGTTTCGGGACATGGTTGGGCTGGGAAGTGAGAAGAAGGCAAAGGGCACGTAAGTATGGAGGACAATGTCGAAGATCCTGGCTTGGTACTTTTACACCTTTCTCTCTCGCATCTAGTACTCCTAAAATTAGAAGAACAGCATTGTACAGCTTTCTTCACATGACCCTTTGATCGGGTACCTAATTAAGAAAGACACACATGTCGCCTTCTTTCTTTCCTTTCTTAATCCAGTGCATATAATTTGTTTCCTCTATAGTCCCCAGTTTTCAATATCTCCAAACTGTTGAGCCTCCAGCTGCGCATTGAATGCCACAGCCTCTTACTCAGTAACAAGAGCTTGCTGTTGACACTGAAACTCTCCAGTAGTAGCTGGCTCTGGTTACTTCCTTCTCATTTCAAACACCACTTAGATCATCTAAGAGCAGGTCGTCAAAGCTATATTCGTCGTTGTCACTCTACTCTTCATCTTGTTTGTCAACGAGATTCGCGCGCCTGGAGCTCGAGGATACGGGCCCCTCCGCGGAGCGCATCGGCGGCATGTCGATTCGAGTCTGAAATTGTTTCACGGTTGTAGAACTTATCTGCAGGCGGGTGAGGGCGGGAATTTTCGAGCGGAACGGATTTATTTGCTTGCGATTGCGAAGGGAGTCACACTGGTCTATATCACTCATTGTGCGGGTAGGGGATGAAACCAGTGTGTCCAACCGTTAGTTACGGAGCCTTTTGGAGGCTGTATAGTACAGTTACGGAAGAGGAGGCTGTTACTAACTAACTGTACGGAGGAGATGACGTCAGTGTACAGTTAGGATACAGTAACTGAAGTATATTAAAGTATTATGAAGTAATTGCGCTAAAGCTAAAGACTATACCTAATTAGGAAGTTGTGATACCCCTTATAAGATCTACTGTTGTTGATCTCACTGTTTTAATGTACTCTGTAAGCTCAGTCAGCTCACTAGTAACAGCGTTGTTACGTAACTAATTCTTCTGCAGTTAAAGAGCCTCTATTGTCGACCGCGTCGTTGATTAGGATAGGAATTGGGACATCATAATAGGCAAAAGAATAACGTAGATGGCATAGTTGCTGAATTTGTTAGAAGATTGCTAACAAAACAGGCAATAACGGCATTCTCCGCATTAATCTCCGAACACGAGCCCCCTGGCCCTCAGCAACCTGCCTTCAACCGCCCAAAACCACCAAAAATCCTATATAACTACCGTAAACGGTTAGTACAGCAGCCTCATGTATAGTACAGTATACTGAGTAGATGCCCTGTACGTACGTACGTGACCAAAATCAGTGTACTGCAGTACTGTACTATTAGGTGTACTAACGGTTGGACACACTGGATGAAACCGGGTTTGTTCTGATGCTAGAATCCCTGATCACGTGAGTATCAAAGGAAATGAAGTGAATAAGGCTATATTGTGTTTCCTCATGTTTCCTCATTGCTTCCTACCTACAGGACCGCACCCGGAGGCCTGCCTGGACTATTCTTGAGTAGGGTGCCTACTTGAGCAGTTTTTAACTGCAAGTCACGGCACTTCTACCTCCTGTAAAGTATACCCGTTAGGTCTATCGGGTAGTAAGAAGTAGTGTAGAAACCTGTGAGTACTAAAAATCTAGAAATCTCCCCAGAAGAGTCACATCCACCAAGCCCTGGCTTTATCGGCCAGACAGGAGAATATTGCGCTCTATAAACTACCTAACGTAGGTTCCTTGTGGGATGAAGTATGTATTAGTTGCACTTTGACTTGCTGAAAGTGATCGTAGATGCGAGATAAAAGAGTGGTTTTATGGAGCGTACCCCACCTGATGTTAACCACGACAGTGGGGGTGGCCCGATCTAAGTATGAGTTCCCCAAATTCCCAAACTAGGGCTGCAAAGGACATCCAAAGGCAACAAGCACAAGATTACCGTCATTTTACTGCATCATCTTATCACAACCATCGTGGGCAAGTGTCAGAGAAGCATTTCGTGAAGTAGAACGAGGAACGACGGTAGAAAGATTGCGTTAATTATAGTTGTATCGTCGCACAGGAAGCGCTTACAGGTATCCTTAGTGCGAACTTAAATTCTGACAACTCCTTTGAAGAACCGTACATGCTCCTCCCATCCTTGCATCTCTACGAAGGTAATGGTATGTAGAAGCATTCACGCCGTAGAAAGGAATTCCATGTCGTGTGAGACGTTCCTCTCATTCTTGTTCTGGCGACCACATAGTTGGACAGATTCACCGGGCTACCCTCCTTACGAGTTATGACGACTTCATCCTTCTTGCATCCTGAAGCTACTTTCTCACGGTCAACGAGGCCTTTTCGTGGGCTTTGGGGTCCTGGTTTCGCGTCAGACTGTGTCTTTGGCCGTTGCGTGTCTCGAACTCTATGCTCTGCATCCCGCATTCATGCCGTCTTTTAGAGATGGCGCTGGGTTTTTGCAGCTTGCTTAGGGTGAATCTTTGTGTGGTCACGATGCTGACGCCTGCCTTGCTTGTCACTGCCGCTTAATCAACATGTTGGCTCCTGAAAGAGGTTTGGATCCCATGGACATGAAAGATGAACTTCCGCGAGTCCCGCGGGTATAAAATGCGCCAGAAAAAAAAGGAGAGCGACACTTCACAAGCATCACAAGCCGCCCCAAGTGCAGCAAAAGTGATATTTTTTAAACTAACTACTGCCTCCACAATTGGCATGTCCGTCATCCATATGTACCTCAAACCACGAGTCTCGGTTTTGAAGCCTTTGGAGATGACAGCGGTTCTGAGCTTCAACGATCCCGGAGGAAAGGTGGTCAAACCAGTTGCTCTTCGACCTCAAGCATGCCTGGATAACCACTCCGTAGTGAGCGGCCTGGCTACCCTCCCCAAGCCACTAAACAGGCATTGGGCGACATTGGTTCGAGATCGTGTTCAGGAAGAGAAGTGAGCGCGGTGGCGGGAGTATTTATGGAGGGTGATGTGGCCTGTGCGTGTCGGCACGTGATCGGGTCGAGGTTGTAACTATCCCAGGTTGGAGGTTCTGGGTGTGCTGGGTTATGGTATGCCTTATGTATTGTATGCAGCAACAATCTGGCTATGCTCGGCGTCATTTTACCAACTACACCTCTCGTGAAGCTCCTACTACCTGCCGGTGTCGATCACATCTAGGTTTGTAGAGATATGGAAAGGGCAGCTACTCCTTCCTAGATGCCAGGCACCAACGTTACAGCAGGCAATGACCTTCTCGGGCTCTGCACTTGCCGGTAACAGCAGGATTCCACAGTCCATGCGAGACACACAGGTTGCCATGTCTGAGCAGCCTTGGCTTGATGACCTCGTCCTGTTATTGCTTCTGGCACGCCTCCCAACAGCCACCGCTGAGGGGCCGGGCTCAACTGCAGCCTCCGAAGCATCGGAAGGAGAAGGCAGAGGTGGCGGTGTGCCTTTCCATTTGTGATCCTGCCCCGTTGTAGCGATTCACAAGGGAGCAACTGTTAAGTCAGACTACATGACCAGCAGCACACGTCGAGTCGAGAGGTGCAGATCTGGGGCTGGCGGAGGAGAAAGAGGAGTGAAGGAGGTGAGGATTCGAGACGTGGCGGGGAAGGATGCTGTAGCTGGCAATGTTAGCTGTTCTTTAGCACTCGAAAAAGCTGGTTCAGGAAGAGGCTCTCAAGTTGCTAATCTGGCCGCTGGGCGACCGCGACCAAGGCCAAATACAGGGCTAAGCATAGTCCTGCTATGGAAGCTGGCAAAGAGATGGCGATGAGAGCACATTCTCGTCAGGTTGAAGTTTCGGATGAGATGAGCTGGAGAGAGAATGGCAGCGATGTTGGCGAGCTTCCGATCCGCCAAGCCACTTTCCGAGACGTGCATAGCGCGATAACCCAACACTACTCCTTCCTACGCCATCGCATGGCAAATAAGAGCATCCTCCTCGGGTCTGTAGCTCTGAGTTCCCCAATCAACCGAAATCCAGGTCAAAGGCGGCTGCGCTGTTGTCTATCTGATCGTTGGCGCGTCCCAGTGGATCCCTGACCCCCTGTTGTTCGACGGAAGATTTCATCGGCCTCATCTATTCCACGGCACGTTTCCCCTAGCATCAACGGCATCGCGAGACCCCCCTCGATATTATCCGGAGCATGTCTTCCCCGGGTTTCCACCCTTCTAGCCTTTCGCCATGTCTTGCCGCTCCAGAAATGCGAACTATCTCCGTCAAGACCATGTCAAATACATGCTTAAGCCCGTTTTCTCTCAGTGGTTATATGCCAGATCATCGACCAGGGCCACTGGCGCCTTCAATAGTGGCTCCACTAATAGGTTGATATTTCGACCAATTTATAAATGTTTCCTTCCCTACCTCGAATGCTACTCGTCGCTCTCTTGACCTTGAAAATTCCAACGCCAACATAGTAATGATGGTCACCGCGTTGATTATTCTTCTTGCGGCTGCTGGGGTCTGCGCTTCACCATTGGAGTAAGTTTGACCATGCTCTCCATTTTCTCTGCTTGCTAAGGGGTGTCGTAGTCGTCGTGCCGAAGATGGATTGAACACCCGGGCTATGGCCGCCGGAAAGGCATATTTTGGAAGTGCAACGGATAATCCCGAGCTGGCTGATACCGTCTATGTCAATGGCTTGAGTAACACTGCAGATTTCGGTCAAATCACTCCCGGCAACGCTATGAAGGTGGGCTTTGGGAATCCTCAGAGGAGTAGAGCGCGAACTGATGACCTCGCAGTGGGACACTATCGAGCCGTCTCGTGGCACATTCTCGTACACCAACGGAGATGCCATTGTCAGCTTGGCCCAAAAGAATGGCCAGAAGCTCAGGTGTCATACGCTGGTATGGTACAGCCAATTGCCAAATTGGGGTATGCTCCATGTATTCTGTAACCTTAATCAAGGGGTTGACAAGAGAACAGTCAAAAGCGGAGGGTTTGATAACGCAACCTTAATCTCCATCATGAAGAACCATATCACCAACGAAGTCACTCACTACAAGGGCAAATGCCTCCACTGGGATGTTGCAAATGAAGGTCAGTTCCTTGCCTTTTGTGCGTTGTGAATTCATTAATTGAATGTAACAGCCCTGAATGAGGATGGAACATACCGCTCTAATGTCTTCTACGACACAATTGGACCCGCTTACCTTCCTATTGCATTCGCCACAGCAGCTGCCGCAGACCCTGAAGCGAGGCTCTACTACAACGATTACAACATCGAGTCTGCAGGCTCGAAATCTACCGGTGCACAAAATATCGTCAAGCTTATCAAACAATACGGCGCTAAAATTGACGGTGTCGGGTTCCAGTCGCACTTTATTGTAGGATCCACCCCATCGGAATCCGCTCAAACTTCCAATATGAATGCCTTCGTGAGTCTCGGGGTTGAGGTGGCTATTACAGAACTCGACATTCGCACTACGACCCCATCCACCGCCTCTGCAATTGCGCAGCAAGCAAAGGACTACGCTGCCACTATTGGTGCTTGCAAAGCTGTTTCTAAGTGCGTCGGCGTCACGATTTGGGATTACACCGACAAGTATTCGTGGATTCCAAGCGTCTTCTCTGGACAGGGCGCTGCGCTCCCTTGGGACGAGAACATACAGAAGAAACTCGACATCTACAATGCCATCCTCAATGCTTGGGGCTCCGCTCCCTCTGGAGCTACGACTACGGCCAATGTCGCCACTTCAGCCGCTGCTACTACTTCTGCCAAACCTACTACAACCTCTACGTCCGGTACCGTCGCCAAATGGGGTCAATGTGGAGGAATTGGATGGTTGGGAGGGACGGTTTGCGAGAGCGGAAGCACTTGCACCAAATCCAACGATTACTATTCGCAGTGCATCTAAATCCTTTCCACGTTTACAAACGCAATTTCAGAATATCTTTACGTACACTTACTATTTCTTCCTGTTAGTTGTAATAGAATCTCCATGTCCACAAGACTCTTCAAGCCCTTTGTTGCACAATCCCGGTTTCTTCGGCCCGTTCAACCTCGACTAGTAAACCACCAATTTCCTTCGGAAGAAGCACTTCCACGAGTTTTCTAGAAGCTGCTGATCTGATCTTTTGCAGGGGTCCAATCATGACTTGCATTAATCAAGTACCGACGCGGAATTAATTGCATGTTCCTGATTCGATTTAGCCTCATCTTCGGATACCAAGGACACCTTGACTTTTCGACCTCATAAGATGAGAACCAAATCCAAGTGTGAGGTGAGAGCACACATTCGACTGTCGACGTTCCACTTTCTCTGCAACCGAAAGTGTGAATTGCGTGAACATCTCCCATAAAAACAATTTCCGAGATCGCGTTCGCGGGTGTGCAACTGTACTGTGCTCCCAACATTGTGCATCGCCTTTTGGAACATCTTCACATCCTGAAACATCTTTCTTAAACACTTAACGCACTCCGAGCCTGCCGCGTTGCCATGATTCTCCCTAAGAATTTCCGCAACACCTACGAAGAAATCCCCGAGCAACTCAAGGAGCTTGCCAACAATGACTTCGGCGAGAAGGGATCTCGGCCGCGCTCAAAGCCCTCACGAGTATCTCTCCTCAAAAACCACCGAGGCCATCTCAAACTTCTAACCGACGGACCTCTTCCGACTAAGAGTTTGACTCTGCCGCTGCCATATTTGCCTTCACGTATTTCGATTCGTGATGTATCTTCCCGTAAGGTAAGTACCACAGGTTCTAAACACCACAAATGCTGTATGATCTGATACTTATTCAGGTGCACCTCGGAGACTTGCGCATTGATTCAAGAGACCCCAGCACATTAATTTTGGTTAAATCTATAACACCGCCCTACATCTACTCCTCCACTATCATCATCGTGGAAGATGAGGCTGGTGATGTGGCGAGACTCACGGTTTGTAATTTGGAACACACGATGATTGACCCCCTTATTTCCGAAGGCGACATCCTTGCTATCAAGCAACCATGCTGGAGTCGACTCCTTGACGGAGGCTATCACATCCGCGTTGATCACCCTTCTGACCTTGTTCAACTTCAGCCAAACGATGACCTAGTGAATGAGGGCTGGAGGATATCGGAAGATATGGAGTTAGGTAAGGATGCTACTGAGTGGAAGAAAGAGGGTGACATGATGTTCTTGAAAAAGCGATTTCGGAAAGCTCTTAAATGGTGAAATGGCCCTTTCTTCTCCCTAAACCGTTCCGTTTCCATCACGATGAAGCCTTCAGTATATATGTGTTTGATTTCATGGCACTAACGTACAACTCAGCTACGACCACGGCCTCCGATACCTCTCCACGCACCCCAGCTCCGCCTCGTCAATCGATCTCTACCGCAAAAAATGCGGTGTGAACATTGTCCTCCTGCGTCTCGACGCCGCCGCCGAAGACCTCTCTCTTGCCATCTCCCTCTACGCTCTCTCCAACCCATCCCTAACCACATCTCCCCTCGTCAACCCTTCCATCATCGAATCCTGGTTACACAGCCATTCCACCTCCGACCCATTAAACATCTCCGCCCTGGTCTCCCACCCTCTCCGCTCTCTTGCCGCCCGTATCAAATTCGATCTCGGGATCTTCCAAACAACAGCAACCTATAACCTCCCTCTCATTTCCTCTTATGTCGGTCCCCTAACACTGCACGTGGACGCAGCGACATATATCTCAGACACCGAGGTCCGGAAAACCGCATTACATGGCCGGGGGCTGTTCGCTAAACGCGCCTTCCAAACGGGAGAGTTAATCTGTGTGGAGAAAGGCTTTGTGCTTCCTGGATATTTTATTAATGATAGGAGCAGCGATTGTCTGTTGTATAATCTAGGAAATGGAACGGCGGCTCCAAGGCCGGGCGCGTTGCTGTTTAAGGAGCTGGTGCAGAAGTTGAAATGGAATCGGAGTTTGAGGAGGGAGTTTTTTGAGCTGGATGATGGGGGTTACGGGGATGAGCAGGGAGTGGGAAACGGGGAGGGAGATGAAGATTGGATGGTTGATGTGTAAGTATTTCTTTCTTTTCGTTTATTAACACCTCCCTTTCTGCCTCTCTTCCATTTCTAGTTGTTCTCAATGCCGCATTTCTTCCCTAATCATTGTATCTTCCTCGGTCTTATTAGTATCGCCTTGAAAAACGAGAGCCCATGAAGTCTAACACCCCCAGCTTCCGTATCGAACGCATCCGCACCCTAAACTGCTTCTCCGTACCCACCCGCTCTCTGGATCTGCTCTCCCCTACGTACAATCCCCACTCCAACCCTGAAATGCGAAACGGCTTCTGGATCCACGCCTCCTACATCAACCACTCCTGCCTCCCCAACAGCGTCCGCACCTTCATTGGCGATGTGCACATCCTACGCGCCACAAAACCCATTGCTCCGGGGGAGGAGATCACACATCAGTATATCAGCCCAGACATCGATATCATGGAACGCCAGGAGAAATTCAAAGTGACGTGGGGGTTTGAGTGCGATTGTAGGCTTTGCGAGATAGATGGTGGGATTGGAGAAGAGGTGAGAAGGCAGAGGGTGTTGTTGTTTGAGGAACTGAAAGCTGCTGTCATGAAGTTGGGGGGCCAGGGACCGCTAACGATCACAGCAGTTAAGAAGATTGCAAGGATGACGGGGAGGTTGGAGGCGTTGTATCTTCCTGAGAAGGATAGTACTGACAGTAGCGATGGGGAGAAGGATTTATATGCTACCCTGCCTCGACTCGCGCTTGTGCATCCCACGTTGTTTCTCACGGAGGCATGGCGCGGGGTTAAGAATGTCGACAAAATGATCGAGTCTTCGAGGAAACTGCTCAGGAATTTCGGGCTCTTGACGGTGGTTGAGGGAGACAGGTTCGAGGTTTCGTCGAATGCTGGGTTGGTTAATGTGGAGGCTGTAAGAGCGCTCAAGTATTTGGCGGAGGGTTATACGGCAAAGGGGCAGCCAACACTAGCTGAGAAGTGTCGCGAGATTGCAAGGCTGTGGTTTTTGGTTATTACAGGTGCGGAAGTGGGGATGGAGGAGTTTATGAAACAGTAAAATAGCTGTATCTTCTCTCCCCTCATGACTTCACTGGCATGTTTAGTATCCTCTCGTGGGATGCAGCAATCATAACGAAAATTCTTTCTTCTCCAAGATTATTATAGTCGTGTCAAGTCCCCTGGCTCCCAATAATATGGTCAGGAGTAGTAGCAGCTCCGATTTGCTGTAACTGATGCTGTTGGGGTTGTGGCTGCCGCTGCCACCACTGCTGAGCAGTGTTCGGTGAGCTTGAGCTTAAGCTTGAGCTTGATGAGGTAACGGCTACACTATTTAGACAGAGTTATAGTGTACGTACTCTTGTAAGCATAGTTGCAGTAAATGCCATCCTCTTATGCTTGACCTTCATAAGTCATATTATTCCTCGCCTTTAATCTATCTGGTTCTTCTTATTCTATTATCCTATTTGGTTTATCACTTTGAAGTTTATTTCTTCCTTGTCTACTCTAGCCAGCCTTCGTAGGTCTAACACTCTAGGCTTCCAGACTTCTTTAGCGTCCTCTCTTGGATTGTAATATAAAATGTACTACGCATCTTACTACAGCTTAAGGTCGACTAATTGGGCTTCTTGGTAACCCAGCCACGACACTGAAGCCAAGATCAAATAACCCTACTTCTAGTTCTTCGGCGAGAGCTGTGGAATGAGATGCAGAGAAAACACTGTGAAGCAGTACTGTGACTACCTCAGCTCCACAGAAAGTGGCGACGCTGGGAAGAACCTTGACTTCGGCACTGCTTCGCCTGCATAGGGTGCGTGGTTTTCCGTGCCCGAACGTCCTTGATAGGTAAAAATGAAGCAATATAACACTAAATCTCCCAAGTACAATTCCATTTTTTCAGTGTTCTTTCTTGTTCTTTCTGTTCTTCCCCTTCCCCCTCTCCCGGGCATAATTCTCCCATGGTCTTGCTTCATTGCTCGCTTATTTTATTCAGGCCCTAGTTAAGAAACTCCTCCTGCATCTTCACTAACAAGCAATCGTACCTCTACTTATCTGCAAGGGGAATGAATGCTATTTGCTGTGAGGGAGGGCCAGGTTAAATTTTTCATTTGGGGTGTCTACGATGGGGAGACGCCCGTTCGTACCCCAATTTCAGCTCTGCTTAGCATACATGAAATTGGAGAGCTGTTGATGTGATTCTTGATAACGTCGTTGAAGGAAAGGATGTTAGGCTGGTGGCCGTTTCAAGAGATATGTACTCTAAGAATGGCTAATGTGCCCGCACCAGTAAGGAAATCTGTGGGCATATTAGGAGAGCCAGACCCATGAGGAATTGAGTTACTTGCTAAAGGGGTGTACACAGGGGTATTTATACAAGGAAAAGGGGTAAGTCTTGGCAACATGTGACTATCGTGTGAGTCGTGCGTGACTACTACAAGCAAACTTAAACGTACCTTTGTCAGATTTATGCAGCGAAACCGAGTGCACTGGGGTACTTCAGTTGCAAGTTTTGCGACTATCGAGACGACCGAGGGTTGGAACTTTTGAGTCAGGTTTGAATCACCAATGCTCGCATGCAATAACTGAACAAGTTTGGGAAAATTGAGAAGTTGGGTAAGTTGGCGAATGTTGATAGCCACGTGAAAAGCTCGTGATTAGAACCTTCTAAGGTAGACCGCCAACTTTTACAGAATGAGAAGATCGCTCTTGATGCCAATTTTGAAGGGAAAATAAACTTGAGAAAGGCGCGTATATCCATTATTCATTCCCAGATCCAGAACTGACGAATATCTTACGTGTGGGTCTGTCGGACCAAGCAGCTATCCACACCGGCGGTTCCGCTTGCTCCTCTTGCACCTAAACCCAAAACTAACCTCACATCGTCCTTGCAGTATTTCATTACCTCACACACCCATTCATCGTCAAACCTTCGCCAAAGCATGTGCATCTCGTGGCCGTATCGGCCGTTCGACTCGGTGTATGCTCCGAGCAGATAAGAAGCCGAGTGGTGCGGCAGCTAGAGTGGCTGACGCCCAAGTCGCGATCCCGCATGCATTTCCCCACAACGGCATGGCGCGCTGCAACATGAACCCATCGAGGCTGTCATTCTTATCATGGGACGACGTCTTCGCGTGGAACCAAGAAGATACGGACGGCCAGCGTACAGGCGTATATCAGCTGGAAATCCATCCAGATCCCTAGGATTCAAATTTCTAACTACTTCCCATCGGCACTTCTTGTGCTTTGCTTGTTATATCCATCGCACGACTTATATTGTGGATTAAAGTGCTTATCGCGTCACTAACAGGGTTCGCATTACTCGGCAGAAGCTTACGGAGACGTAGACATGTCGATTCGACGGAGGGGCAGCGTGCAACACCACGAAAGCGATTTGGAAGTTCTTCATCATGACGAAGACAAGTTGGCCGAGCTGGGATACAAACAGGAGTTGAATCGGAGCTGGAGTGTGCTGCATAATTTTGGCGTATCTTTCTCTATTATTGTGAGTTCGTCATCTTTCTTGTTAGCGAGCACCTGCACTGTGTAGGAGAAAGATCGGGATGGGTGTGCTGCTGAAAATCGTCGGTTGCTGACGGTGCTAATAGAGTGTCGTTACTGGTATCACGACATTGTTCCAATACGGTTTAACTGGTAAGTGTTCCTGAATGCCCGGTCAACAGATGTGTGCTGATCTTCATAGTTGGTGGCCCCGGGGTGATGAGTGTCGTAAGTTGAGATATCTTGTTCTGTAAAAGTACCCTTCTCATCGTTTCCTCCCTAGGGATGGATCGTCGTGACTTTCATGACCATTTTTGTTGGCCTCTCGATGGCCGAAATTGTCTCCGCTATTCCAACCTCAGGAGGCCCTTACTTCTGGGCCGCTACGCTCGCACCCAAGTCGCAGGCACCTTTCTGGTCCTGGATGACTGGCTGGTTCAACCTGCTCGGCCAGGTGGCTGTGACGACTGGTATCACCTTTGGCTGTGCTAACTTGATCTCCACTTTGGGTACGGTAAACGGGAGCTATACCCCTTCAGCTGCCCGCACCATTGGAATCTACGCCGCTCTCCTGGTATCCCACGGCGTGGTGAACACTTTTGGCGTCAACATCCTCAGGTATCTCAACAACACGTCGATCGTTCTCCACAGCTTAGGTGTGTCTGCTATAGCCATAGCCGTTCTAGCAAAGGCCCCTAAACACCAATCCGCTCGATTTGTATTCGCGAAGTTTAATGATGCGACCGGCGAGGAAGGCTCGACTTGGGGCGTTCGAGCATCTCCAGCCTACGTCGCGGTATGCGGGATCCTCATGTCACAGTACACTATTACTGGGTAGGCTGAGTCCTCGTGTTTCCCGATTTGCTCACCTTGTTGACCTTATGTAGTTTCGATGCATCCGCCCATCTGTCTGAGGAAACCAAGAAGGCTGAATGGTCCGCTCCGATTGGTGTTCTGACGTCCATCATCGTTTCCGGCATCTTTGGGTTTTTCTATCTGTTGTCCCTCCTGTTCTCCATCCAAGATTTCGAACGTACTGTCGGCTCCGACTTTGGACAGCCCGTCCTGCAGATCTTCGTTGACGTGTTTGGTACTAACGGGGCCATTGTCCTCATGACTCTTATCATCATCTGTGTATGGCACTGTGGCTTGTTCTCGTTGACTTCCAATTCGCGCATGATGTTCGGCTTCTCGAGAGATGGCGGCCTGCCAGCGATCTTCCACAAGGTGGATGTGCGTTTCAAATGCCCGATCAACACGGTCTGGCTGGCGGCATTCTTAGCCTTCTTGCTCGCCCTCCCGAGTCTGGGTTCTTCCGTTGCCTTTGCGGCTGCGACTAGTATTGCGACGATTGGGTTGTATATTTCGTATGGCCTTCCTATCTTGATTGGCCTGATGCATCCGCGTCTCTTTGAGAAGGGTCCTTTTAACCTTGGAATGGCATCCCGCCCGGTCGCTGCGATTGCCTGTCTCTGGATTGCCTTCATTAGTATCGTATTCTGTCTTCCAACTGCGAATCCAGTGACAAGCCAGACCTTGAACTATACTGTTGTAGCTGTTGGCATCATTCTATCCTTTGCGCTGGGATCATGGTTTGTTTGGGCGAGGAAGTGGTTCACAGGGCCGATTCGGCAGGTCGAAGGACAGGCTGTTGTTATTAGTCAAGAGGACCCTATTTTGATTGCTGAAGCAAAGTTGTAGAATACTGATCAGCATAATTTAATGGCTACGCTTCACGCTAAGACCGCTCTAGTAAAATAGCCTTCGCAAGAGGAGCCTTCTTTTCTTTGCTACTGAGACCGCGTATTCTATGAGTCTCGTCCCATCCCGAGCTACTGAACACTTTCGATTCCAACAACCTCAATATCACCGCCATGTAACCTGCCTCCCACACCAACACTAGCTTACTTGTCGTTTTCGCAATGGGCATTCTTCCTCTTCCGCATTTTGACCCAGACGTGGTCTTCGACGAATGGCCCTAGTATTCCATTGCTTCAGCTTTCAGTGTCTTCATCAAGCTACTATAGTTTACTCAACATTAGAACTATTAGGAATCCTAGCATCGCCCTTGTATGCAACATCTAGCTAACAGATGCTATGCCTGTGGCTGAGAGTAGGGCGAGAGGACCATCCCAGAAGAGAATTCTAGAAATGGAAGACTAGATGTGAATCAATCAACCTATACCACCGCCTGCGTAGCAATGATTTGAGGGCCGGGTTGTGTGCCAGAATGCATACGCAGGAACAAAGAAGAGAGGCTGGGAATTATCCAGAGAAACGGTGGCAATCGCGTCAACAAGACCAAAGTGTTGTCGCGAAGTATCAACTCCTCGGGACAACAAGTTCGTTTCAAACTTAATGAAGATGTCTGAGAGCATCCCCTCTACCATCATCAAAGGCCGAGAGGCGCTGATGGCAGGGTTTACATACCATTCTACGTCATTTCTGTAGCGTGGGCTAGACATTAGTCCCGCACTGCCACAGGGTACAAATTCTGAATGCTCTTCTTAAACTCGCCATCGGAAAGCGACATTATTTTCTCCTTTTTAGCCGAGATGGTCTGATTGTGCTATAAAGAAGCGGAAGCGCGGGTACGCATCTCGGCCTTAGAGCCAAGGAGGGGGAAAGTTCATTGGGAGTGCGGACCCTCCGTAGGGCTAAGGAGGATAGTAACAGGGGGAATGGGGAATTTTAAGTAATTGGATGGAATGTGTCAGTGGGAACTCTTAATAGGGCTCCCAGGATGTGAATGCACGCCATCTACCCTAAGCGATGTCTTAACCTAGCAATAGCTCCGCATAGTATCGTATACCCAAACCCGCAAATGCTAACAGCCCAAAACACCCCCCCAAGGAACTCCAACTCGCTCTCGTGCGAGTCTGCAATTACATTCATCCTCTTAAATAAATAAGTAAGACATTAATATGTGTTTAGGACATGACCAGATGTTTATATATTAGAGCAGCGTATCAGGCTAAACTCTTTGCAGGCTTGGTTGCGGCGCGAGATTTCAAAATCGTGAGAGAGACGGTGTATTTAAGTATAACGAAGCCTCTTCATAGAGTAGCCCTGTGAGAAAAGGTTCATTTGAGACTGGTGAAAAATGATGAAGTTCATTGCAACCGTTGCGGTGTTGCTCCTACTTGAGACTAACGCGTCCATAATTCCAACCATAACAAGATTGACGAACCGAAGAGAACAGAACCTCAACGCCTGCGAAGCCTCGGTATTCCTAAATGCCAGCACCAATATCTGGAAGAACTACACACTCCACCCGAGCATTGACTGGCGAACGAAAATCGAGGCCGCGACGGCTGCCATCAACGTTACCAACGCCGACTTAAAAAACAAAGCGTTACAAGTTGCAACCTATGGAACATTCGTATGGATGTAAGCTCCCAGAAAACCACACCCATAATTCTCAGAGAGAAGCTAACAGCAACTGCATTTAGCGAGGGTCAATCCCAGATTCCAAAAATCGAGCAAGCGGTCAAAGACGTCCCATGCAAGAACGTCCTCGGCCTCGTCATTTCAGGCCTTCCTTACCACGAATGCCTGCCTATTGAGGTTAAGCCACCAATGGAACCATATTCTTATTCTGCGGATTATATTGATCGTAAGAAGTTCCCTCTGGCCCCCCTAATTATGAAGTTACGTGTGCTGATATGCAATATCTAGCAATCGTCAAGATCTTAAAATCCTATCCAAACACGGCTTTCGCTTTAATCATCGAGCCAGGTGTCGTTGGAAATGTCGTACCGAATGTAAACACAAGCTCATGCAAGCACGTTGTAGACTCTTATCGCCAAAATGTGCCGTACGCGCTCCGCAACCTCAATTTGCCAAACGTCGTTATGTATCTTGACGGTGCACACGGCGGCTTGCTCGGCTGGCGTTACATACTTAAATCGGCTGCTCAAGAACTCGCGGACACGTATAAAGCTGCTGGTAGTCCTTCGCAGTTCCGAGGCTTGGCTACGAATGTTGCTGGCTATAATTCTTGGTAACGTTTTTCTTTCTGAATTTTATTGACAGTTTGAGACCTGCGGAGGCTGATAGTATAATAGGGATCTTTCTCCAGGTGAATACTTCGCGGATCCGGATGCAGAGCCTACGAACGAAGCCCACAACGAGAAAAGATACATCCTCTTGCTAGGTAAGGAGCTCCAGAAAACTGGCATGCCTAGACATTCTATCACCGACACGAGTCGGTCGGGCGTACAAGGTATCCGTAAGGAATGGGGAGATTGGTGTAATGTCAATGGAGCAGGATTCGGTCGTCGGCCAGGGACGGATACGTGTGATGAATGGGCGGATGCCTTTGTGTGGGTGAAATGGGGTGGAGAGAGTGATGGGACGAGTGATGCGACATCGAGGACTTATGAGAGTTTCTGTGGGAAAGTGGATGCATTTCAGCCGAGTCCAGAGAAGGGGGAGTGGAACCAGGCGTATTTTGAGATGTTACTGCGGAACGCCAAACTCGGGACAAAGTATCAACCTTGTTGACAAAATTTGACTTGTTGTGTATTGCATATTTTAGAGTACCCCTAGCTCAATTACGTCCTAATTCTCTTGAAATAAAGTGAATTCCGTCTTGATAGTACGTATGAAGTATTCAGATCGTTTTAATTGATACATATTACCTATTAGAAGTCATAGAAGGGCGCTCCTGATACTCTTAGGCCTTTGCATACAGGACGGAAGGATATTAATCGCCTGACAGTGATGTATATAGTATTGAGGAATCTGGAAATGAAAATCGCGCTATAAGATGATCAAAAGAAATCAAGGAAACAAAATGTGGTACTTGGACTATCCGAGAACCATCCGTCTTTGTCGAGCCCCTGATCCGCTCATAGGGCTATGCTGATTGCTCATCTCTTTGATGAGTTGTCAAGTCTTAATCTCAGTCCCGTCTGCCTCCCAGGCCCTCCCACCTCTCCTATTCTCTTTCCCGAAAATCTCTTCCATCCGTACAAACATATCGCCCAGTCGGTTGATGTCGTCGTCTGGCACTAATCTCAAGATCATGCTCCAAGTCAGGCTAAGTCCTTCGATGTTATGTAGAGCAGATTCGATCCGTTGCAAAAAGTCCCACTTGGCATTGTCATGCTTTTGATCAGTGATGTACATGTCGATTTCCAAATGGAAGTGTCGCAAGTGATTCGCTTCTCGTAGAAATCGGAAGAAACCTTCAGCCTGACCGAGGTTCAAGTCAACGAAGACGGATAGCATAAGAGTAATATTCGCCAGGTTCATTCTACCGACTGGGCCAATGTAACGAAGGAAGGTTTCGGCACACGGAGCATTGATGATCCGGAACTTCTTCGTGCCACAAAGGAAAGAGAAGGCTTCAGCTCGGATCTGTCGATTGACACGGAATATCGGTGAGCGAAGTAGCGATCGGAAGATATCTCTTGGACTGGTTTGGAAGACAACCAAAAGCATGTTGTGGTGCGGATAGATGAGAAAGCAATAAATATCATTTCGTAGCTCGCCAGGTAGATTCAGGAAAGAGACCTTGGTTCCTTGTACAGATTCCGGTCGGGCGGCAAGCTCGCAGTGAAAGAAGCCGGCGTATTTCTGGGGTAGTTTCTCAGGGCTTGGTATCTACAAGACATGGTCAGCACAGCAACTACAAAGCTTTAACTACACTGTATTCACATCGTTGTTGGACCTGCCCTCATTCCTGGCCGGGAAACGACTGCGAGTCCAGCTTCGAAGGCGTCTGCCTACCACCTGCCAATCGAGGAATGCAGCATTGTTTCCACTTTGAGATGAGCCGCAAGGGTCGTATATGTCAAATTCGTCCATGTCCTGTTGGAAGGACATTATTGCACGGTTGATTCGTGCCACGACGGTCAGCGGTGAAAGGGAAGTGGTGAATCCAGCTCGTTGAGGTTCACTTGACTTTGTGGCGCTAGTCCATTTTAGTTCTAACGCGGCTGCTTCCTACCACTGCCTCACTACTATAGCTGCATCCCCAGATCATATCCTCAATTGGAAGATCAAGATACCAAGCACAATATCGCTTCCTAAAACCGATCGAAGGGAGTGTAGGAGAGTGTACGTGCATTCTTGTTTATAGAGAACCTGAATTTCTCGTCAAAAGAGCAGAGTTCGTTATTTACGAACTAGGCACCATTAACCGGTCGATATCCGGGCCCCAACTCCCAGCCATACTAACCTTCACAGTATTCGTCCCACTCTTCAAATCCGCATGAAAACTACTACTGTCAGGATCGTTCCCACTATCCGGCAAGAACGCCACTCTCTGTGCTGCACCCCCATTCACACTAACATCCGCAAACCGCTGACTCTTATCACCATTCCTATACTTTATCCGGATCGTGCTTCTAGTAGTAGCGGAACTACTCACACTCGCAAAATATGCCGTCCCAGTCTCAGACCCTCCAATATAGCCGGCTGCATTTTTGCCAGAGCATGTCGAACACGATACTGTCTTTGCGCCCCCACTGAGCTCTGCAGACTCGCCTTCATAGGAATTTTCTGAAGGCCCAGATGTCATAGACCCGGAGGAGGCGTTTGGGACCCAGTTCACAGCATTCTTCATACTCGCTGTAGTGCCCGAGATCTGCAGCGGCAGCCACACGTATGTACTCCGCATGAGATTCGAGCTGACCCATCGATCACCCATGTAAATGGCATCATCGCCCATAGGCAAGATGTAGTTCGTCTGGCTTGTGTACGTCTTAGAGCCAGAGTCTGCAAAACTCTTCCATGAGGACCAGGGCCCGGAGATCTTCGAAGCGGTGCTGTAGACGTTGTCGTTGGGATCCCAGCCGGTGAGTTTGGAGCCGAACATGAAGTAGACACCGTTTTTCTTGAGCATAGCGGGGGCTTCGATGGAGTCTTTCCACAAGTAGGTGTTGGACTTAACGGTGAGGTAATCGTCGGAGAGGAGGTCAATGCGGAGACCGTTTTTGCGCTGCGGGGTGTTTAGCGTGAGGGGTGGCCTATGTATTTTGCGAATACATGGGGAAGGGAGAGACAAGAACTCACGTCCTCAGTAAGCAAATAAGCCTTCTCATCATCATCGACGAACAAGCCCATATCTCGGCTTTCAAAGCCTAGCGGCTTGACGCTACCCTTGTATGAATACGTGCCGCAGACTGAGCTTCCTGTCGCGACACCGGCTTTCGCTTCTCCATAGTTTGAGCTATCAATATGCATCCACGCCACATACTGTTTTGTGCTCTTGTTGTAGATGACTTTTGGTCGTTCGATTACACGACTTGGTCCAAGATCGCCGGATCCTTGCCGGGTAAGTATCGCACCTTCGTATTTCCACTCAACAAGGTTAGTGGATGAGTAGCAGTTGACGTTTTGAAAGGCGGATCCATCGGTCTTGTCCTCGCCGACCCTGAGAATGTAAGTGCTTGGGGTAGGGAAGTATTATACAGAAGGATTTTACCAGTAGTAGGTGTTATCAACCTTGATTATGCCACCGCCATGTGCTTGAATATGCTTCCCGGTATTAGTCTAGCGGGCCAAGTCAGCTAAGTGTACAATTTTCAAGTCTGAATACTTACCGCAGTCCATGTTGCACCTGGGATGATCTGGAGGGTTGCATCCGCTGCTGAAGCCAGCAGCCCAAGCGCCGCACATGTTTGAAGGAACCGCATGATGTTCAAGAGGTCGCACAAACGTTTCGAAACGCATCTGGGCTACTGAACCAGGTTTATAAAAGGTCCATGCCATGGTTCTCGGAAGAATTGCGCCCAACGACGATTCAATGTTTGGATCGGGGGACCGTAGCCCGAATATTATATTGGAGGAAATGGTCATTGTCGCGGGTATAGCCATGAGATGTGAATGCCAAGAGGCATAGATTGATTTGTGCAGGGATTTTGACAAGCATTGACTGGAGCTGTTGCAACGAGGGTGGGGTTATCCTATCCTGACGTAATGGGAGTTTCATTCCACATGCACCAGTATGGGAAAACGCTCCATGCATTCCAGCCCGGGAAGTCAACGGTAAAGGCATCCATTGATATTTCGTTGAGGTTATCACGTGATATCGTGAGGGTTTCGTGTTTCCAGACGACAGGGTGAATGCTACGCGGATTGTGAAAAGCGAGAATTGCAGAGCAGACAAATTGAAGAGTGCGAGGTTTTACTATCTCTGAGACAAGTCAATGAGTGGAAATACTGTTGATGAAAGGACGAAATGAAAACTGGGAAGGTACTGAGATGGCCATGCCTACTTGCCGTACAAGCACCATTTACGGGAGGCAAACCGACTCTTGCATCTTTGTGGATATCCTTACTTAGCACTGATCTATATGCCTTCCATGCTATCGAGTGAAGGGCGTTTCCACCCTAGCCGGTGCTTGCACCCTGGCTTACCCCATGTTTGAAATCTCCGCCGGTGTTGTAGTGTGCTCCGTCTCAAATACAAGTATTCTCCCATTACCAGACTTGTGATTATATGCTTCCTTCGTTTCGGGGAAAAGGCTTTCATAGGCGACCCTGGGTTCCTGCTCGCAGGCGCTGGTTCGTTCTCTGGGCTGTGCAACGGTCTGGAAAGCTGGACAACCCAATCTGCCATGCCCAGAGCCTCTATCTCAGCTAGATATATGCCCCACAGCTCCAATTGTTTGTGGGGCTTGCGAGAGGTGCATATCCGCCTGTTATTCGTCGTACTTGTGCGTCTAGTGCTCTAGCGTAGCTCTAGGCGTGAGGCTTGCGACCCATGAGACTCAGGTGTAGGTCTAGGGTGTCTAGGGTCTGTGCATCGCTCGTTTTGATGACCTAAGAAGGTAGCGGAGCATGTTGGTGGGATAAGAGAGGTGTTTGCTCGCCCAGAGAGCAACGGGCGGTAGTAGATCAGTCTTAAGACTCCTGTCGGCCGGGCAAGCCTCCTCCACACCCTAGACATGGTCTAGGAGAATGAGAAGATGTGGCAAGATCGTTGCAGGCCGTTGCAGGCCGTTGCAGCGGCTCCGGCCGAGCTGTGGCGGTGGTGTGGGCGGGGCGATCCAGGTGTGGTAGGTACCCTGTCGTAGGTTCACTCTAACCCCAACCCCCTTCTGCTCTCTGGCTATTAGCTCGAGAGGGTAAAATGAGGCCATTGAGGAATATCCATATATTCCGAAGACCAGAAGAATAGTCTACAGGAGGTAATAAGCTTGCGGGTGAAGAAGGGATGTTTGTTGGCTGAGAGGCTTGGCACGCTCCTCCAATATCGTGGACGCGTCCCTCCCCAACTTCAACCCATGGCCCACCCTCCCGTCGCCCACTCCACCCACCTGCCGACATCCCAAGGACCGTAGAATCTTCATCATGTCGACGAGATGACCTGTAGTCAATTTGGGGACCTTCCGGCCTCCTGTGGCGACGGGCCGCCTCCTGAGTCCATGTGTGCTCTTCCCCACTCTCCCACTCCTTCCCCACTCACACCATCACTCCCCAGCAGTTCTGATTGAAGCAGCCGCGAAGCATCCTGAGACCAATCTCAAGCTTCTCGGTGAGGCCCTGGAGCCCCTAAAACCCCAATCGTCTTGCCGCCAGCGTTGATGAGGGTGAAGGCTGCGCCAGATGTCGAGGACCGGCGACAGCCAGCGAGGACCGCCCCATCAGGCCCTTCCCTCCCTCAACGGCAACTCGGGTAAGCTCACCAATCCCATCGCAAGGTCTAGCGTCGCCCCTGAAGCTCGGCGTGAAAAGAAAGCTCGTGCTGAAGGCTGCTTGGTGTTAGCAAGTCCTTCCTTCCGCCTCTCATTCCCCAACACCACGACAACCGAGCAAACGGAAATAGATTCTCTTGCTCTGCGATATGAGCCTTCTGGAGAGCAACCTCACGCGTCTCGAAGGTCCCCTCTAAGAATGCAACAAGTCTTCAGCTGACCACGAAACTCGCCCAAAAGCCTTCACCCGTCCAGGCATCTAAGCAATGTCGCTTACTTGGAACCCTTGGATCACACGCCCTCTTCACAACCTAGTACGCGATCGTCCTACAAGGACCTGGACTTCTCTTGACGCAACGCCTGGCTGTCCACGTGCCCTCAACACCATGCAAAGCATTGTCGGCAATACTTCGGCAGAATCCGGCCTTTGGTGAATTGCGATCCCAGGACAGTCTTCGTGAAGCGAGCACCATTCAAGCTAAGTGCAAACGGCTGAGCCGATAGTGCTCTTCTCAATGCTGAGGGCGACTGTAGATTTTTCCTCTCGAAAATGGACCACCTGACCACCTGATGCAGCATCTGTTCACCTTCGTCATCGCCAGCATCAATATCGCAAGTCTCCACTACACCAGACGCCGCCCTCGAGGTCGATTTGACCATGTCCACTAGTACAATCGGAAGCTCTGGGTGTACGCCTCCTAGCTAGCTAGGTATTCTACCGGACGGTAAGGTTCTGGTTTGTTATTGCTAGTCCCTACTTCTTCCCCTTTGCATCACTCAAACCGTCGTTCACCGTTCCGTCCGTTGCCGTCGTTCTACATCGTTTTATGCTGATTATTCTTGCTTTCCTCGTTTTGCTCTCAGCGCTCTGCTCTTGTCGTCCTCTCCCTCAGCTCCTGTTCTCGTATCCGTCCTCTTGTTTTTCTCGTGCGAATCTGCTCCTCTCCATTCATCCTGCTTTTTTCATCCCCCCATTCTACTTAGCTCTTTTCTTTCTCATTTACTTCTTACAGTCTATCTTCTCTGAGCAATCATCATTCTCCTATCCATTGATCCCCCCATTCTCACCTTTCTAGGCAGACTTTTTCCAAGACTTTTTCTAGTAATCCTTCTTTTTCGTTTTCCGTAGTCATTCTCGTGTTGGTATACCATGTCCGTTTTCCGCTCCTCTTCTCCGACTCCTACAAGCTAACTTTGACCCCTCATCGAACTTCCTTTAGTCATCGATGATCTCGATATCCATTACCCTCTACCATCAAGCTTGGACTCTTCTTTTTGGCTCTTTTTGCTAATAAAAAACAACCCCTTGATCACTTGTCAACCGCATGTTGGCCTTCCAGACTTGGGCTAACCGTCTAGTTGAACCTAGGTCGATTTCGAGCATTTACTTTCTAGCTAGTTAGTGTCGTTGCGCTCCACATAGTTCACTGCTCGTCGATCGTCGCTTTCTTTACCCTTGTTTTCGTTGCTTCGGTCTCGTCGTCCCTGTCTTCGTCGTTTCTTTTCGGCTCGAGCTCGCTTTAATCGTTCGTTCTTGCTATCCTCGTCGCTTTTCGGTCTCCCTCATGCCATCAGCGGTTGTTAGCTGTCGATCTTCCTCCGTCGCATCAGCTCTTTCCACCATTTGATGCATTCCCTCCTCGCGTCATTTCATCGTATTTAGTTCGGTAATATCTTCTCAACTCTATCCAGTCCTTTGAGCCATCAGACGTAGGTAAGTTGAGTTGGTCGTTTTGCGGCATTTGATTCTTTTGGCGCATTTAGTGCTCTCTCTCGTTAGCCCTTTCAAACTACCCGTCTTCCTAGCAGGTGAATTCCCAGATCCAGTTGGAGTTTGCAAGCATTCAGTCTTTCTGAGCAAGTGAGTTCCTCTAAACTAAGCTTGTGTTTGCGCGTGTTCAGTCGTTTCCGACATCCACTCTTTTCTAGCAGGTGAGTTCCTCCAGCTCGTGTCGGTGTTTTCAAGTATCTAGTCTTTCATGCGTCTTCTCCCTAGTCTTTGGGTCGCTCAGTATCTGGCAAAATGCTGTTTTTTCACCCGTAATTGACTTGGAGCTTCCAGTCTCTGGTCTTCCGCTTGTGTTGTCTTACCGCTCGAGTCCACTATTCCCTTCACTCTTCCCTCGTTCCTGCCATCCAGCTATTTCCAGTATCTTCCATCCTATATTTCTTTCGCTCTTCTCAACCGCATTCCCCGCCCGCGAGCCATTTTCAATCTCTTTTTTCTTTTTGGATCCCTTTGTTTTTTACGAGTCTCTTCGTCCTTCTCAAGTTCGCCTAGTTCAAACGCATAGACACTTTAGCCTCCCTCTAATTTTGCCATCCCATTCGTTTCTGCCAGCCTTCTTGGTTTCTGCGGGTCGATCAAGCCTTAGCCAATTCATTCAGAATTAGGTTTAGCATGGTCGGCCGTCTGGATTTCGGATTGGTAAGGAAAGCCGTTTAGTCGTTGAATCTACATTGTAAGTCAGTTGGTCTTCGGAATCGCCCGAGGAGTCATTTGGTCTTGTGCATCTCATAGTGAGTCCCTTCATCCTTAGTCCCGTTCCGCCTTTACGAGCTCTTCCTATCATCCCGCGCCTTTTCTGCTTTCCATTTGTCTTGACCTCCTTGCTCAGATTGCGCCTAGTCTTCCGCTTCTATGCTTTCCCATTGCTCGTGAATCTTCATTGTCCAATGCCTATGGCGTTGCGTATCCTTCACTATCGTGTTACTCGTCATCATTACCGTGTCTTCTACTTCCTTGATGCCTCGTGTGACTTGTTGCACTTCATTGTCCAATATCCATAGGATTGTGTATCATCCTACACCCTGGTTTTGCTCGCCAACTTCGTCTTCAACCGTCCGTCTCACTTGCGTTCCTCTCATCATCATTCCTAGGCTCCCCTCCCTACTTTTGCGTTGGTGTCATCCGGTCAACCTTACAGTTACATTTTCGTCGGTAGGCGGCTTGGAGTATCGCCTTATCCTACTTGATGGTTCCTCGTCATTTCAGAACACACCTCTTGTCTGTCGCGTTCGGCCGTCTTCTCAGTCATCTTCTCAATCGTTCTCATCATCCTCGCCCCCATTCTTCTCGCCAATCCATTCAACCCTACCATAATTTCCTCTGCCAAAGTTAGCGCTGCCCTTTGCACTCCCTAGAAATGTTAGCATACGTCTCTTCAGCACACATCTCATCTTCAATTCCTCGATCGTGTCGTCATCGTCATTTCTCTTGTACTCGTCCAATTGCTCGTATCTCTAGTGTCTTTGATTCATTTCCGTAACAGTGGGTCAGGTTATGGAAGCTTCTTGGTCCCTGTCGTCGTCAATTCTTAGTTCCCTCGTGTGGCTCAGTCGCTTTCGTGCTTCCAGGGCGAACCCTTTCCATTATCTTGGGTGGTGAGTCGTTAGTTGTGCAGTTTCCTGTCGCCTCCAATGTATTCAAGTAGTTGGCAACCTCAATCTTTTTCAGCGTGGGCTTCAAGTCCCGTATCGACAGAGGGGGCATTATCGAAAATCCACCTTTAGCTTCCCATCACATCACAAAACCCTCCCTGAACCACCGCGGTGTACGGAGAATTCTCGCGCAACCATTCTCGACCATGTCTGCCAGATTTGTTAGCTAAAAGGCACGCTCTTGAAGTTTAAATCTAAGGCCTTGCCCCACTGCATGTCTGCGAGGCTAGCAGCTGAGGAGACCCGCTCATAGAGTTTGCTCTTATTACGCCTTCGATGACACGGATCGGTGAGAGGGGGTATTCGAGATGAGATCCTGCTGCTTGAGGCCTGGGTGAGATGGCGGGAGCGAACATGGGGTGGGAGGCTCAGTGGTGGATGTTGGGAGACGGGGTGTGAGAGGGTAAGGGGTGAGATGTTTGTGGGTTGAATGGAGTCAGCCTGTATGGGGTACTGGTGGAGAGTTTCGCTGTAATTTGGAGTGTTCGTTTGAGGCCGGGATGTTTGGTAAGTTCCTCTGGCGATTTGGACTCCGACATCTAGCTAACATCCCTTGGACAGAGTTCGAGTAGTAGTGGAGAATTAGTCGGCAGAGCAACCAAAACATATGCCTCCAGGCACGGGGGCCGCGAAGGTAAGGCCGAGGTGAATGTTAGTGACTTCATAACCTAATGCAGAACTCGCAGGCTGGCAATAGCGTGGGTGAGTTTTGCCAGGGTATGGCTGGTGGTGCGATGGTGGCTGCCTCCGGGGTGGAGGGTTGCGGAGCTCTGTTGATGACGAGTGAGCAACTCCCGATGCCCCAAAGACTCCACTTGGGAGGAACTGACACACTATGCAGTCCAGCGTGGACGTATGCGCCCTTCCATGTTTTGAATCGAACGACTTCGATTATAAACTCCCAACATCCCTGGCAAATTCTTAGCCCAAGCTCCCCAATCGATATGTTCAGCCGCACTCATTATTGTGCCCGAGTGACTCTTTGCCATCGATCTTGAACTTGATGTTACTGACCAAACTCAAGGGCCCGAGTGCACGTGTCAGAATCTTCTGCGGATCCTCGAGCTGAACGTCTGCCGTGATGTTCTCGTCGCCCGCAATGAGGTCTTCATAAGTAATACCCTTTGGTCCTTGATTCTGGTTGCCGACGCCGGTATAGTCGGCTTTAGCACCTGCGGTGATGTTCGTTTCGATGGCCACTAGTCTGGCCACTAGTCTCGACTCCGTTCCTTATACCGGCGAGCGTGTAGATTGGGCGAGGTGCCGACATCTTCGGATATGTGGTTCTTCGCGTATCCCAGCAACCCCCTGCCTCATCTGTGATGTGGTCTTGCTGACAGTGGTGTAGCTTGGAGATGCGGGTGGTTCTCGCAAACGTCGTCGACTCTGCCTCAAGATGTTACCTCCAACTACAATTGACGCCAACGATGAATCGTGATGTGTACCATTTGCCCTGTAGGTGTTGTCTTTGTGCCCCTGTCGAACGGTATGTGGGTAGCGCCTCTCAGCCCATTCTTGACATTAGCTTTTTGACTTGCTGACCTTGACGTAGCTGGGACACGAGCCATGGAATGGCCTTTCTGATGAACGAGGTGTAAAGCGTTTTGTCTTCCTGGAGTTGAGTGTGAACCTTGCCGCAGTTCTCTGTTCGGTGATACTGACATCCATCTACAGATAGCTTACTTATAGTGTAAGGAAATACCGTTCTCTCCCCGGACATCCCATTCCTTAAATCAGGCGGGCTTCATCGACCTTAGCTGTCATCTGCCTTTACTAGGCTCAGGGTCGCTGAGCCGACTCGGGTAGATGATTTCTCAATACCATGCCGTGAATCGCTAGCGTGTTACAGATGTTCAGACATAACGCCAGCGGCACCCCCATGTCGTGGATGGAACTCAAGGTTCGTTGGATATGGGCGATGATGGCGAGGTCTCGATAGCATCTTCCGGTGCTGGCTTCCTCATAGTTGTTGCATAAACCCAAATGATCCGTCTCCTTCGATGGGCGTTCCGGACTGATTTCATCTCAGTGCTAGCCTCAACTGCCGGAACAAGATGATGGTTTTCTCTAGGATGTCCCATCTTCTAGCTTACCAATATCTAACGTTGTCCGGTCACTAGTCCTAGACACCTAACCGTTCAAGTTACGCTGCAATACGCTCGAGTGAGTTCTGCTCTTAATATTTTACCCTTGGTCTTGGTAGTTGATGAGCACATGCTAGATATTATCTTGTACCAATCCTTAGCCGTCCCCGTCCAGTTTTCTCGGCACTTTACCGCCCCAGTTTTAGAATCCGGTGTATCGGATCTGGAGCGATGTATCATGTGTTGCAGACCTAATTGCTGGAGCACAGGGGGTGTGACTGTGGGGTTTCTCGAGTATTTCATCCCTCGAGATGCTGTTGGGCGAGACCATGAACATCGAGTGTATCCCCAATCCCGCCGAACGGCACGAGTATCGCCCTCTCAACTGGAACTAGTATTCCAAGGTTTTTCCATCCACTCAAGGATTGGCAGGGCCTCAATCTCCGCGCTACCCAGTCCCACATGCGGGCGGGGTTTCTCTTGTCCACCATATCCTCGATGAAATATCGGAGTCCAGATCAACAATTCTCGACGTGAATCTAGGGCGGTGTCATGGCTGCCTTGAACGGTGGGGCAAACTGAGGCTTGTTCCATGGTAATGAGTTATCCCCTCCACAACACCGTGCTAGTGGAAAATCTTCCTCATAGAGAGCAGCGCCAATACGCAGAGAATCGGCACCTCATACAGGCCGTCTTTTGTTACGAGCTGGGTGGAATCTTCCGTCGAGTGTGATTGTGGACAACTGGTTGGTCTTAGTTCACCTGTGGCCTCGCTGTGAGTCAAATCCGTACGATCTCGCCGCCTCTTGCTCGATCGTTACTTCTCAGTGTCTTCCTGTCGTGTGGACGGTTTTTATATTCGGCGAAAATGCCTCGCCTTCGATATCTTGCCGTTAAAGCCGTTGCCACATACGTAAGTCGTCTTGGAGTTGCACGCAAAAGGTGTCCTAGTCCTCGCGTCCCCTTGTCATATGGTTCTACAGCGGCTAAGGCCACTGCTGGCAGAGTGGCAGATTGGATGGAGTGGGCCGATGGTGCTTGTAGTAACGAGGTGGTAACAGGTCTGAAACTTTTGGAGGATCTGGGCTTCAGTCAGTGCTCTACCCACCATTTATAGTTCTCCGGCGATAGGGCTTACCTGTTTACTCTAACTACCATATTCACAGCTTCTCTGGACGCAGTTGACCATAGTTGTATTCGATACCCAGTATGGACATATGTCTTGGCGCCAAGGGTTGATAACAAAGGTGTTGTGTACGATTTACTCAGCTAAACCCCTTCCATGACGACGGGTGCTAGCTCACATATTCTCGCCCCGAAAGCTTCATCCTTCGAGGTCGAGTGTTCGAGCGCACTTGAAGTTGAGCTCTTTCTTGCCAATGGTGGATTCCAACTGGTCGCGTTATCCTCGAGTTCTTGAAAGCTGATGTCAGCGCTTATAGCCATTTGTCATTCGAGTCTGCAGCCCATCCCCTTCAGTATTCAAATTATCTTATTCCTGCTTTTGTAGTCATTGTAGCCGCCCGTATATCGACACTGGATACTGTTCTTTTCTTGAGGTGGGATCTCGGAATGCGGGGGTGCCTGAAAGCTTCCTAGCTGGATAATTCCATTTGCCTGGTGCTCAGTCGGCTGACCTAAGGATTGATGCGTCATACCTCTGGATCTATAATCCTTTCCACCATATCGGGGATGCGGGGAACACATTATAAGGACTTTAGAGGTGCGCAGGTCGGACATCCCATGAAATGGAGTGGTGGTGGAGGCTTCATCTAGATGGTGCTGAACCCTGCAAAGCCCACCCCCAGCAGTACCTCTGCCTGGCTTTAGTCACCTGTAGCACGACGATATCCTACTCCCAGAATTCCAAGGGCGCAGGCGTGTGAATTTTGAGCTGCCAGACTCCAAGATAGCCTCGAGACTCATAATAGCACGTCTCGATCTCCTATTCCGTGGTGACAAGGTTTTCCATATAGATCAAGCGCAGCGAGCGCACGAAACTTTCTGTAATCATTCGATTGTGCCCGCCGCTGCTGTGGCCATACCGCAAGGGTTAGCTGCATGTAGCGGGCCGGTCCGGAAGGGGTTTTCGGCGACGCATGGTTACCTGGACGTCTCGTTGGCCGTCCCCCTTGCCTAAGGTGTCTAATGTTCGACTGACGGCGCGAGAATTAATCTGAGGCGCACAAAGAGAGTCCATGCCTGGCTAAGAACCTGCAGTCTGCCTTCTGGTCGCTATTGCGGTCTGCCGTCGGACGAGGGAGTGTAGCTAGCTCTGCGACGCCTCCATTATCTAGAGAGTCCCTGGTGATATAAAGGAAAAATAGGTCGTTACCATCCTCAATACCGAATATTGAAGGCCTGGTAATGTCGGTAGGTGCGTTTCGGGTGTCGCGGCGCGTCTTTGCCCGTGCCGTCAGCTACAATCTGAATCGAAAGCGGCGGCGACGGTGTTCGCGGGTGCGTAGACTCGACTGAAATCATCAAAATAGTGGCATACAGCTTCTACGTCCAACGAAGAGTACGGGAGCGGCACGATAGTGCTGATGGTTGTGTTGGCGACCCTCGAATTCCGCAAATACGGTTTTTGGAGATGTCTTGGCAGAGCGGACAGGAGCACACTGGCGGGCTGCATTGTGAACATCAGCGAAGAAGCTTAGGAGTTATCATGCGCAAGCTCTATTATGCAGTGTGTACCGGTCGGTCATTGTGCGGGTACCGGAACCTCCATGTGGCGGCACGGCATTGTCCACTTATAGCAGGTGAAGTCCCCTGGAGCGGCCCCCTCAATTGCTTCATAGACCGCACGCTCATGCACGCCAAAATGGCTCTGAACCATTCCGACTGGCTCCCATATTATTTCAAGTACAGTGATAAGGCTGAGATCTATAAGCTACGTACTTCCGCCCTCATCAGAAGTCGATCAGGCCAGTCCATTATATCCCCCTTCCGCAGATATGTCGACTAGCCCCAAAGCTCAATCTACGCCATAGCATCGTTCCATAATGTGAAGGACTCTTCTCGTCTATTCCATAAATTCATTCCAACCCACAAATGCCCTGATGTCCCTCCACAACACCAAAGTCACCCCGCGACTCTCCCCCCAAATTCAGACCCTACCCTCCTAGGCGTTTATCTGCGCCTTCAACTTCTAACTACTCACTTCCCCTTCACCCTAATATCCGCCTAAGACAAGTTCGAACAATCACGCCCGGACAGAATGAAAAGTACGAGGAACATGTTACCGCTGCATCGGACTTGAGACGAGAGTGGATGACGCCGAGAAATAGGATCGGGTTCCTGAGAAGGCGGATTGCGCGGTAGTCTAGGTTGTGCTAGGCAACGGTTTACACAATGGGCGCTAGTGTGAATCGCGGTGGCAGATCTGCTGGAGTTAGAGTTAGAGGCGGTATGGATATCGACGGCGCTCACGGTATATTAGGACGATAGATTCGATTAGCCTTGGAAATTTTCGGCGTTTGTAACAAAAAGAAGGGGGGAAGTCATATATCAAAGACTTTTAAAATTATTGGTCGCCGCTTAGAGGAAAAGGTTGTGGTATTGGCGGTGTTGTGCGGGACCAACAGGTTTGGCAGCGATATTCGCCACTCATCCACGACTCACACGAGGACAAGAATAGATGCACACATGGCACAAAAAGCACGAAGTTGTCACAAATATAGAGGTAAGAGGCACAAGGTTCGAAATTCACTAGGTCCCACTCTTGAAGCACAGTACGATGAAATCAATGCAACTAGAAAATTCTGCATACACGAGATCAGCAAGCAACCGAGTCATACCAACTACGCGTCCAATTCTGCTAAGGATGCGCCAAGAAACTGGTATCTGACGATGTCAGTAGTTGAAGATGGGGAAGGAAGGAGCAGACAACTTACCTGATACTCGACCAATGCAATCAACAACGAAGTCCACACTATACGGAGTAAGCCGGGTAGCGTGTTGAATCCAGTTGAAACAAGCGAGTTGCGAGTTGTGAGTCCATCGCCACGGAAACCTGCTTGGTGTTAGAAGCTGGGGGAAAGTAGAGAGATGAAGACGATACTCACCATAAATAAAAGCTAGTGGTACACCTTGCATAATAATCGAAGTTGGGCCCTATTGTAGAGTTTCTTGTTGTTGACGTTTCAACGAGAGAAGATTGTCATTATTGCAGCTAGGATCTGAGCATGCTGATGCGACAAGTCTGCAAACATTGGACACTAGAGTTAAGGAGTTGGGAAGGAAGCAAGAGCTTACCCAGTAGAATCCGCCCCAGTTCAAAGACATCTGCAGAGTCTTTCGTCATATTTACACCATGCTTATCTCACGCGGTTTGTACGTGGGTGACGACGTATCGTTCGAGATCGAGGGTCCGATTCGGCTGTGTGGGCATAGTGTTGCTCGTTGTGGGAAGAAGAGGATCGCTCAGTTGTCTCGAATGGATAAGTGACGGTAGTGAAGGGCGCCCGGGAACCCTCAGTGCCAGACGAAGCGTAATGCCCCCCTTACAAAGAGGTTGATCCCCGGGACAGGAAGGAGAAAGGAAACAAGCACCAAAGCGGCGACTACAGATAGAGGAAGGAATAGGAAAGCATCATATTTTGTGCCGTGGTGTTGCCTCTACTTATACCTCTCTGAGGGTGATCGAAGGTGAAGACTGGGGCTCTTACGGTGAGCCAACCACTGGCCCCGCTCGGCCTGGACAATTGCCTTGGTGGACAAGTGCGTCACACAATGCCTCGGCAGCGGTGATTCTTTGGTCAGGTGGCCTGAGGACGGGAAGGAGTGTGAATGCTGTATGGGCTACGATTGGCGCAGGGCACCCTACCACCTCCTGGGCCCACTCTTACGGTGATATGGACCCACATTATGAGCATCCTGTTTCTCCGAATGGCGGATGCATGCTCTAATTCGGCCATCAGAAGGGCGCAAGGACAGCCTGAACCGGGTTGGCGGAGTTTGAGGGGCAACCGGGAAGCGTCTTTCAGCATTTCTGGAAGGAGCACTCTTAGGACCAACAGGAGATTTCATCGAGAGGATGGAAGGGTGCGCACCCTGGTACCTATATGGCCCTGATTTGAGGACGTATGAATGCAGCGATGTGTAAAGGTTTGGGTCTTGGTGGGGCGATGTAATGGATGGATAGAGTTAAGGGTAGTAGTTGGGGATATACGGGGACTCCCCTCGCTCTAAGAGCAATCTAGAATTCGTTTGGATGCACTTGGAAGGAGTTCCTTCAGACCTTCATTCAGACCTTCATGGATATGTGGCGTGAGCGCCATTTACGAACTCGTCTGGTCCTGCCGTTTCCTTCCTACTCTCTGAAAGAACCATTGCTAGAATATTAATGAATGTCTAGCCTTATCGAGGCAAATATAGATCTAGAACAGAGTGAGAAGAACAGAATGGCAATGGTTCATGCTCTTGAATTGCGATAGATATAGACCGAAATGCTGCTCTACATGGCTAGACTTGCTGTGCCTATAATTCCAAGGGATCATGGACCTTAAATGGGAGACCTTATTGAACTTACAATAGATTTTCGGCTAGTAGACCTCCTTCGGCGCTCGTGGCCTACCACGCGAGGAGATTTAAGAAGCGAGCATCATGCCGTCCCTTTCCATCGATAATGGTCAGTGCTCCAATTAACGACTGCTTGAGAAATTCATGAAGAAGCTCTTCTGACACGAAGAAGACATGGGGAGTGTTTGCGGAGGGATGAAGAACGTACGTTTCTAGGAAGAAGTTCGTGCTTAAGGCCATTGTGAAATATGGACCTCCTTCCTGTTATGAGTATTTAAATTGCAGAGCGAGACAGGAGCTATATCTAGTTACCTGTATCATAAACTCCATCTAAATTCCCACAATTATTCTAGTTGCTCAAGCAGAACGGCAGAAGAATTCTGCCTAGTTGAAGTTTTAATCAATATATCTGTGCCCGATATACCCCTGTTGCCGTTGTTGTGGTTGTGAACAAGACAACAAAAGAGGAGAAAGGAAACAGCCGTGCCAGCGGTGAACCAGCCAGGTGTCTTGTTTCCTTTCTCCTAAGATGGGTATGCGATTCGAACGCACGTCTCCAACAGTAGTTAAACTGAAGGTATGGGCCACTCCACTATCCCATCGGGTTGTGACTTATTAGTAAGTGAAGAGAATTTTATAAAAACACGACAATCACGTGGATTTTTTTTAAACACTCTCCCTTCCTCCTGAAAGAGGAAACAGAATAAAGAGGTTGACAACTAAAGGGATACACCGGAGGCCAAAGGAGTGAATTTATATCTTTTGGGGGCGGGGGCTAAAAGCGGTCAGACCACAGTTCAAGGGCCTCTCGTCTTGCATACGACAGTGAATAGGGACTTTGAAAACCAAACACAAGCGAGGAACGGCCACTGCCAAGCCCCTCCCTAAGCACCAGAACAACACCATCACCTCTGAACCTCAATACAATACAGTAGGAGAGCCTCTACCACCTCGCCTGCAGAAACCCTCCGTAAAATTTTATCTGATACCTTTCCTCTTTCCATCCCCTAATGGCTTCATGCAATCCACCTCGACAATTCAAACCTGGCGAATAATCTCCTGCCTTCATCCGGCAAAATTGCCACCACCACCGTTATCCCAAGTGTTGTCGAGCCTGCGCCCTGTCCTCGCTACTTCCCGCTGTTGACCTCAGCCACCACCAGTCTCCCTCACTTCATATCACGGCGAGAGCTTTCTGTACCAATATTTTCCCCCTTGAGTGCCATTGCAAATATCAGGCTCTAGGATAATGAATTAGAACAAAGGCAAAGATCTCTTGCTAGAATTGGTTGAGAGAATAACCGCCGAGGAGGGTGTATTGGTTTCGGGGTTTGCGTATGGGATAACAGCCAGATAGGGTCAGTGAATTCCACCCACGGCGATACCAATTAGAGAGGGAAACATGAACGGCGTGGGGTATGATTGTGGAGGTAGTTGCACGAGATACTCTCTTGCCAGTTGGTCGCTCGGGCTATATGAAACTCTTGTGGAGTTTGGACATACCCGCCCGGCCAGGTTTTCGTATCCGTACATCTCGACTTTGCGAAGATCGGGGTTCTCAGCTGGCGACGTCCACCTCCCTTGCACAAACGTAATTGCGGCCGAGGCAGCCCCTCTTCACCCCATCTTCTCCGATCCTGCACCTTGGATTTGATGACGCCAACCAAGAACTGTAATCGATCGAACAGATCAAAATCTTTACCCTCAACTCTAAATCCGCGACACTGAGAATAGAACCCCGAGACCTCTCCCGCAAACCAGCAGTCCTCTGACCGCAATGGCATCTGTCGTTGCGGCTCGCTGACCCCTGTCTAGCCCTGCATGATGCGCTACGCCCGCCGCAGATCACGATCTAACCCCAGAATTGAAACACGCCACTATGCACACCGAAACATCGAAACACGAAGTCCTCAGGCACATGGCACCAAGTCCGGAGAATACGAGACTGCGCCGCAGGATCGTAATTGTGCGGGAGGGCAAATGATGCATGTGGCTGGAGAGTTAATCCCGGAGCTGAGTGCTTTGAGGTCATTCGTATTGCCGGGGATCATGGTTTGGGGTCTGGTGGGAAATAAAAGGGAATGGGAAATGTTCGTGAACGTGGGGCGCGTTAATATACCTTCCGCATAGGGGTTTGAATTGACCGGAAAGGCGGATAGGTTGATGGATGCAGAATGCGATATACGAAAAGAATCTGCGAAATACTCTAAGATGGAAGTGTATATAAAGAGAATATGGTGGTGATGTAAAAGTACGACAAGCTCCTATCCATTGATCAAGAAGAGAATACACTCATTTAAAATACTACTCAACTTCTTCCAACATGTACGCCCAAGCTATCTTCACTTTTGGCATTACTCTCCTCTACACAGCCTCTGCGTCTCCCATCGAAGCGCGTGCTTGCGTTGGCCCCAATGTCAATGCTGCGACTGTCTCGCTGATCAAAGAATTCGAGGGGTTTGTTGCGAAGCCCGCACCGGATCCAATCGGCCTTCCGACAGTGGGGTATGGGCATCTCTGCCAGACCAAAGGCTGTTCGGAGGTCCCATACTCGTTCCCATTGACAACGACGACAGCTACAAAGCTATTGATGAGCGATCTCAAGGTATGGCACCTGTTGAAGAACCCGCAGGTCTATTTGTCACGTGAACATTGTGGGCTGGAGGATTGATGATGCTGACCCCCAACCAGTCTCACCAGCAAGCCATCACGCTCGACACGGCGTCATCAGTTGTCCTTAATGCAAACCAATATGGTGCACTAGTGTCCTGGGCATTCAACGTCGGCAATGGAAATGTCAAGTCTTCGACCCTAATTAAGCGTCTTAACAATGGAGAAGCGGCCAACACGGTTATCGCGCAAGAGCTCCCCAAGTGGAACAAGGCTGGCGGAAAGGTGCTCGCAGGGTTGACGCGACGCAGGGCGGCCGAGGTTGCATTGGCAAAGACTGCGACCAGTGTTAAGGCACTTCCTGTTGGATGTTAAATGTGGGTGTTCATGTGGGGCGAAGAGGAAACGGGCAGCTTCGCAGCGATAGCTGGGTCTTCGCAACGACGAAATGGTGCAAACGTTGTACCTGGTTTCTCCTCATTAATTTCTTCTTTCTTCAATTACCATTCCTATCAGAATATGATGTAAAAATCTTGCCAACCTCCGCGCCCGAGTCTCTTGTTCTTGTCTCCTATTGTGGATGCCATAAGAACTAAGTCTGTTAACGACTTACCAAGCCATCAGCTCGGTATACCCTCTACTCCAATCTGCATGTATGCGCAGTATATCATGGTGACGCTCCGTGTCTCTCAATCGCAGGTACTTTAGGGAGAGTTTGTAGAGTTAAGGAAGCTAATTAGCCAGATAGGAGGATGATAAATATGAGTCAGCCCGAACATTGTTAGTCGCTCTAAAGTTGCTGCATCTCCGAAGGTATCCTGCGAAATCTTGAGATATGTGAGGATTTGGCAACTCACAGTCTTGGAAGTTGTGATGGGACCTTGCTGGAAAGGCAGCAGGTCGATGTTGATGATGCGATGTCCGTCATAGATGAGCCAGCTCCTCAATGCGTCCCCACGTGCCTGATACCGTGCACCAACCGCGCTTCTTCTAACCTGCTTCGATCAGGTACTTTATCCTCTGATATGCCACTGGACCCTTCTAACGTTATTTTTACTGGTCTAGGCGCTGCTCGAAGTTCGGAAACCGCTCCTTGGAGTTGTGGGTACTCGGCAATTATGACTGATGTGGTTTGCGGATGACGTCGCAACACCTCCTTTGTCCTCAATGTCATCTCCTCTTCAGGTGGCCTTCCGAAATGCCGTGGCTGGCGGCTTAAGAATAATAGAGGCTGGAACACTACATATACTGAGTTAGAGCGGAATTTCGTCATTCGAACTGCTAGTATCGAGCCTCTCGAATGCTTGCAGAACTGCTGCACCGAGTCAGGGATTTCAAGTCAAGACTCTTGCACAACCCAGCTTTAACAACCATCTGCTTCTGCTCCCCACAAGAGCACTTTCTGATACTATATTTTCCCGCATCTAATAGAATACCTCAGGCTTAGCCCCATCCCCTATCGCGAGCGAAGTCTCGGTCTGCGCAGGGTTGGGACGCCTATCAATCGCATATAGTGAGTCTGTCGAGCCTTTATACTGGCTTGGAATCCTCCTTCGATCCCTGCCTACGCCCTCATTCTCCAGCCGCCGTACACATTTTTACTCTCAATCAGGTCTATTCTAAGTGTATCATATCACTAAGCTGAGGACACTTGAAGGACTAAAGCACAACACAACTGTTGACACAGTTCATCAAGATGAAGCGATCAAGATTCTCACCCGATATGCAGGCAATGAGACCTCGACAGCAGAAGAAGAAAAGAAGTTAGTTCGAAGAATAGACCGAAAGCTAGTGTCGATTCTGTGTATTACTTATGGCCTTCAATACTACGATAAGGCAATGTTGTCTCAAGCTGTACGGCCCTTGTTCCCCAAGTTATTGATTTTTTACTAGACATGATCACCCATACTGACCAGAGAAAAAGTTATCTTCGGTCTGTGAGATGATCTACGGCTCAGCGTGGGCAATCGCTATTCCCTTCCAGCCAGCATATTCTATCTTGGCTTTATCGTGGGCTCGTACCCTGCCATTCTCATGGCACAGCATTGGGTCATTGAAAGAGTTGCAGCCGGTATCGTGTTATTTTGGGGTATCTGCCTCATGTGCTCAGCGGTATGCCACAATTGGCAGGGTTTCTACGCCCAGAGATTTTCCCTGGGTTTCCTTGAATCTGGAATTTCCCCGATGTTCATGCTTGTTGTTGGTGGCTGGTACAAGAAGCGCGAGCAAGCCTTGAGGATGGGGGCTTGGTATTCTTGCACAGGATACGTTTCGGCGGGTAAGATATGGATTATTACAACAATATAGATTACGGCTACTTACAGGCCCTCAGTCTCCCCGCTTATCAATTACGGTCTCGGCCACATCAAGGGGGGCTTTCTCAACAACTGGCAGTATATGCACCCCGTCGCTGGCGTGCTCACAGTATTCTGGTCGCTCGTGATTCTCTTATTCATGCCACCGGATCCGATCCATGCCAAAGGCTTCGGCGACCGTGAGCGCTACATTGCTGTCGCTCGCATGCGGCAAAACAATTTAGGCGTCCGCAACACCCACTTTAAGATTGGTCAGCTCCGGGAGGCTCCTTTAGACGTAAAATTCTGGCTCATCTGTACCATCGCGTTCCTGATGATGATTGCGAACGGCCTTGTTTTGTCTTTTATCCCGATTATCATCTCCGGGTTCGGATTTAACAGCCTTAACTCTCTGCTCTTGGCCCTCCCCGCAGGCGTCATTATTGGCAGCATCGAACTCGGAGTGCCCTATCTTGCCTACCGAGTGCCTCGGATTAGAACATGGCTCATTGCCATATGTTAACTTGGTACCACCCTAGCATCAATTTTGCTCTGGCAGCTCCCGCTGAGCGCCAAGGGAGGTCTTCTGTTTGCCTGCTACATTCTGGCCTCATTTGGCGGAGGCTACGCTGTTACTATGGGTCTGCAAATCGCCAACACTGCGGGGTATACAAAGCGTTCCGTTACTTCTTCTGGGATCTTTGTGGGTTACTGTCTCGGTAGGTCATGCTCAGCTCCCGGCCTAGGCTTGAGAAGGAAATGCTAACGATTCAATTCGAATCCAGGCAATTTAGTCGGACCCTTGCTTTTCAAACCCAAAGATGCCCCAGTTTATGCTCCAGGCTTCATCGCAGTGCTTATCACATCGATCATTGTTGGGCTGCTCACGATCGTATACAGCTTTGTCTGCATCTGGGATAACCAACGCAGAGACGAATCGGGCACAATGGAAGCCTCCGAACACGCATACGAAGATGATCATACAGACAAGACGAAAAATCAATTCAGATACACACTGTGATACTTGACCTGCATGACTAGGCCCATGGATTAGACTTGTTGGGGGAAAAGTTCGATTGTTGTGGCCAGACCATTACCGCCGTCGTCTTTCTGGAACTCGTGTGCATATATTAAGCCATCTGCTTTCGCGAATAAGCAATCGCCCAATGGCACAATACTCTCTTCAAAGGATACGAGTGATTGCGAAGGCACGGATCGTGGTGTTATTTTCCCATCCCCTCATATTCTAGTAAGACTGCGCAAAGTCTCGACGCAAACGTCCAGGATTTGGCCGTCTAGGATAGGTAACATCAAATTTGCTATTGATTGATATTGTACGTCAGGCGCGATCGAGATCAACCATGTGCCGACCTAGGGATGGGCGAAGCTGACGATGGCTTGGTGTTCCCTTTTCGAACACGGTGACGCTAGCTGAGCTCTAAACCAAGGGTCGTTCGGCAACGCCCTCCCGTGCGAACTAAAAGGTTCTGTGAAGCTGCACGATGCTTGGGAACGCTAGATGAAAGAGTGTCTCGCACAGAATGGTGTGCAGCAAGGTAGCATGATCACCACGTGTATGTCCGTCTTTCTCAACAGTATATACATGCGGAAAGCAACCCCAGCCTCATCTCCCACTGTTCTCTTACTTCTTAATTGAATATACGCGCAGCGCCTCCGGGTTTCGAGTCACTTGTTTACTATCTCGTCTTCTCATCCCTAGCTTGTTTTCGATATTTTCCAGTTCCGACCCACAATCCATCTTCACCATGTTTAACGTCTTCAAATCCTCAAAGAGTGTGAACGGCAGCTCCACGACGTTATCTCTTCCTGGGACAGGATCTCCGGGAGCATTCGACCTCCCTGACAACTTAAAACAGGTAGTAAGAGGCCTCCATAAAACCCCTCCGGAAACGCTTCCCGATAAAACCGCCGACTACCACGAGGTTCAGGTTTTTCTTTATCAACTCCTGACTGTACAGGAATACAAAGTGGCCAAGTTCTGGCCGCAATGGGTACTTGAGACTGTCGCACAGTGGAAGGGCACTGGCGCCGACTTCCTGGCACTGGACAGAAAAGCGCTGGAAAAGCTCTGTCCTCTGGATCAAGGTCACGTTCGTCTGGCTCCAAGACAAGCGACTGAGAGCTTTCCGCCTCCGGAGTGCCGTGAAAGGATTGGCATGGCTATCGCGACACGAGTGGCGGAGCTGAAGAGGAAGGAAGAGCAGAGAGACAAGGTGAGGAAGGAGTGGGAGCAGACGCAGGTCGATGGCAGTGCTCTCAGAAGGCTCTACGAGGGCCGCACTCGGGGCATGGTCCCAACTAATACCACTGATTTCAACTCTTCTAATCCGGACGATCGGCCCGTTTCCACCGCGAGATCGTTGAGGAGCGCAAAATCAGCACGTTTCACTTCCTTCACCCACAATTTCCGTGTTCCTGGTGCGTATCCGAGGTCGTCACAACCAAACCTCCATTCGGCGTCAGTATCTACTTCGATGCAAGGGTTTAGACTCAATAGCATCGGCCAGCTTTCCTCCGGTGGCACTGGATCGGGTTCTGGTGGTGGCAGTGGCTGGTCCAATTCTACGGACCCTCCCACTCCTCCAGTCCGCCCAGCTAGCCTGGTGCACTCCAGTTCACGTTCTACATTGCGACCTCGACATTTAGCGCCCTCGATAAGGTCTCAACCATCAACCTCATCAATGCACCCATCACGTGTTGTTACTCCAAAACTCATGCGGCACGTCTTACCAACTGAGCATAAGCACTCGCCATCAGCAGCTCAGCAAGCAAGGAACATGCCATATCAGCAACAACTCTCCAATGGTAGCATCAGCACTGCCTATCTTCCCGCCCCATCTGTTTCCAGCCGTGACACTATATCTAGATATGGCTCTCAAAGCTGCATATCTCCAGCACCTCCAAGCGTTCACTGCGCAGCTGGGCATGGCCCACGAGGTAGTCTGTATTCATCACCTTCAGTCGTGTACACTGCAGCTGGATTTGGATCACAAGGGTGGCAGTCCCCACAGCCTTCTAGTTACTACAGTCTCGAATGCCCCCCGAATGGCTATCCTGCACAATGTCCTCATCACCCCGCAATGGACCCGCGAATATTCTCCACAGCCATGGACCCATGCACCCTCTATTCGGCCGGTTTCAATCTCTCAGGGTACTTTCCTCCACCAGATCAGATTCCACTACCCTCTTCTGTGCCTTCTCGATTCCCTTCTCGTAGCATTTCCTGCCAATCTACCACTGACATGCGTCGGCCTTCCCTCGACCAAATGTTCCCAAGTTCCTCCAGCACTAGCATGGGTTCAATGAGGCAATTTATGCAGCAACCCAACCTCCCGACGCCCTCTCTCGCTTCATCAAAGGCTAGGTCGGTAAATTCATCAATCAGGGCCCTCCAGTACGTCCCCGAGGATGCTCCTCTTCCACCCATGTCCACGACATCGTCGAGCTCCCGGCGAGCTCACTGGCCCAGCGGGAATAAGACTCCCACGGTGAGCGCGTTCACTGGCCCAAACCGCTCTGCTACTAACTTTGCTGTCGACCAGCGAGCTCTTGCCCAGGGGGAATATGTGGCTTTCAAGGCTACGCCTTGCAGAGCACGGGATCAATTTTCCGAGGCTCGACAGAAGCGGCTAGAGAGCGTAGCGCCAGATATTTTTGGGAAATTAGATCAGCGACAAGGGCCGGTCATGAGACTGCAAAGCTACGACGGCCAAAACATGCCAACGTTGGTTGAACGCATTGAGCAAAGAGAGCTATTGGATGGGAAGAGGCAGGCGGGCTCCGTTGGTGCTAACGGTCTGTACAGCGATCCAATGAGGACCAACTCCAAGATGTTCCGGGGAATGGGAGGCTGAGATGACCTATCAGAGGAGACTTAGTGGTGACTGTGAGCTGGCTGAGACTGGCGTGTCGTTCTATATCGAAGTAGGTGATGTGCTTGGATATGAGCATTGTCCGACCTTCAGCTCATGGTTTGTGGCTCACGAAAACAGGCAGATTTGATGCTTCACTTGCTTTGCAGCAATCGTGAGCGTCTCCCTTTTATCTGGTTCTTTTTGTTGCCTTCAACGGTTTGTGGGATGACTCCCTAAGATACCCCAACTTCGCGACATGATTTGATACCCGGAACTTTATAAACCGCAAGCGTAGCGTTATCCTTATTGTTCTCAAAAGTACTCACATCTCGGATTTGAGATATCTAGCAAGTTTTGACGGCTTCCAACCGTGGGGTGTTTTTTTTTGGTTTTTGGTTCCTTTTTTTGCGCTCAGAGTGACAAGCTCCCGCCAATATCCCCCACTCAACCTCTACATGCCATCACATGCTCTCAACTGCAAATACCCTCATCACACTATACATCGAACTCTAGTAGCCACCACTTGCCATCCAATATTTCCACGTGAATCGGATCTAAATTCCCCAGCCACCGAACCCCGAAGAACGTGTCTCCACCTCCTCCCCTCCCTCAAAAACGTTTCTACCCCATCTCATTCCCAAGGAACCAGACCCAAACTCCCTCCCACCTAGATCGCATACTCCTCGCACAATTTCCATGACGTGTCGATCACTCCTCAGAAGCTCTAGTGAAAACTGCCTCTCGTGTGTACCCGTGTGTGTCCAAGGTTGAATTGGGGATCCGGCGGATTGGTGAACCATGGTCGTAGTGCATCATTCAACAGTTTTCAATATTGCCTACCGGAGGTGGAAGGGGGCCTGAGTCGTGGTTCTACGACAAGAGGGATGTGAAAATTGGGGAATGCGTGAAGGGAATGGCATGATCTTTAGGTAAATGCAAGAATTTGGCTGGTATGGTGATGACTTAATTGGAATTTATCGCACCAGCAATGTCGAGAATATGATCCAATGGTAGGGTAAGACAATTTCTTTTCTTTTCTGGGATGACATGGCTTAAATTCAATATTACAATCCTAGGTGCTATGCATATACTGAACGCCAAAAAACGACTTCACATTCAATCGTGACATAGAAAGGCAGCGCCAGCGCCATGCAGAGCTGCAAAATGCACATGAACAGGACTCACACGCTTACTTAGCATTCTGCACAACAAAGGCAGCGGCCTCGCCAGCATTTTGAGAGTATGTCAAATGCGGCTGCAGGACAAGGTCTCCTCCTTGGCAAATGTTGTCGCCAGTGTGGCAAATGACTTTGGTTTTTGCAGCAGGGACGTTGCCAACTGGTTTGCCGTTATCTGGGTCACCGAAGATGACGGCCGAGGAGACGAACTTAGCGTCGTCCGCAGAGAGCATGGTTGCGGCGTTGTGCACTAGCTGGCCTCCTTGACTGCATCACTATAATCAGCGACGAATCTAAGTAAGCTAGAAGAATAAGAAATCCTACCTATACCCAGCCATGACTAGCTTCGTCGTCGGGCAAGCTTGCTTAGCTTGTCCGACCAACTGAGCCATCATCTTACTCCCTCCCGCGTCGCCTCCGGCCAAGAATCCCGGAATGTCAGCTGGGTAATCGACACCCTGCACCGCGACGTTGTTTTCGCCCATCATTTGACCGATAGCCTGCACAAATGGTGGTCCCGCGAGTGTGCCCATGTTCCCAGCTTCGGTCGTGCCGCGGGCAAAGATCACGGTCATCGCTTTGCATTCGCCGTTCTTCAGATCATTTTGAGTTGAGTCGCCGAGGGCTCGAGGTTTCAAACCGTTCGGACCGAAGGCAGCAGATACGGACTCGAAACGCTCGAAAGAGCTGAGGGAGCGTAGTTCGATGTCAGCGAGGGGAAGCTTCTGGGGGAGAGCAGCGGTAAGAGGAATAATAATGGAAATCAAGGCGTTAGTCTTCATGATTAAGTTGAAGGAGGAAACTACGCTATATGGAGACGCAGAAAAGAGATCAAGAATTATAGCCCGCGATATTTAAGGCTTTGTGGCGTAGATCAGGAAGTGGGTTGAGAGCCTGGTGAAGATTGAACAGGTCAGGCTGAGCATATCCTACTTCTTATATCCAGCTAATCACACTAGTCGAGACAAGCTTTCTCCGGCGTTAATAGCATGAAGCTCGGCATCGTTACTGGTTTCTTCTTTCCAACAACCTCAGCGGCTCCCAAACGGCTCCAGATGGCATGCCGAAAGAACGCATCGATTGACGGGGTGTGAGGACTCCACGATTTAACTTCCTTTCCGCGGCCAACCCGGTCTAAATATATAACTTCCTCGGCTCCTCGATGTCAGACACTATTTTCATAGGCTACAGGTGACAGTGGGTTTCCAGGACTTCCATGCACCGCGTTAGAGAATGAAATCACAGCATCGGGAAGCTTGCAACTAGCCAGCCGTGATGTGAGAAACCATACCCAGGGCCTTGGGCTCGTAGCTAATTTGTCATTGGGGACTCACCGAAGAGACCTGGACTGTTACATGGTCTTCCAATGCGAAGGCTGAGGTTGGGGACGTTTCCTTCCTGGAGATGGCACGGTAGGCAGAGCCAACAGCTTGGCAGTGGAACGGGATATGTTTTGGAGAATATATCCTTCTATTTTCAAAAGTCTTCGAATTATGTTGTTGTGAGAATTCCGTGGAGCCGAATGGAAGTTGTCCGGACTGTCTGGTATATTGAAGCTAATTCATCCTTCCTGTGGCATATCTGCCCAAAGGTCGAATTAGCTCTTTTGCAGCCTCGAATCGGGAGATCTCAATCGTGTTTCACCAAGCTTGAGACAACCTCGGCATCTTTGACCTGGATCATGTTCCGTTTCATAGCTCAGGCTAGGTCCTTGCACAGAGTTCAAAGTAGGGGTCTCCAATTGACCATTGAGGAAATCGGTGCGGTGGTGACGAGGTTTAGTCTGTCGATCGATGTGGCGCAAAGGTGGACGAAAAGCGGAGAGGGGTGGCGGCATAGAAGACAAGCGTTTGACAAGACTCCAGTGGGATTATTCTCCAGGTACATAACTCCACTCGCTGCAATGCGCTGATCCATCACGAGAAATGGCTAGAATAGCACGTCTTCAATTTCTGGTTCGGGTATGAGGCTGGAGAATGAGGATTGGTAACGTGACTTAGGCACACTCCAACTACTTAGATGAGAAGGCAATGATTTGTTGAAGCACCGACATGCACTTGCAATAATCTCTTCTATTCCTTCCTTTTGATTTTCATCGTCCAAGAATTTGCCGTCAAAGTGTACAGGCGTGAACTTTCACATTGCGGAACTAGCATCCGGCATTCCGACTTTCGGAGTACCGACTCCACAAGAACTGGACTTTCCTTCCAACAAATGCACGCTTCGCTGCAATGCAACCCTACCTTTACATCCCAAGGTCTCTCGAAGGGCGTATGCCTTCCAGAAATGTCGAAAAAGGGCTGAATCCTCACATTGAGAATTCATGACTCATGCTCTATGCGTTGTAAGCATAGGCCATTTCGACCTGGATTCAGATCATGGCGGCCTTCTCCAATTCCATTCAGCCTTCATAAATGCAAAAAACATATCTAGTGCCATTCAGAAGTTCCACAACCTGGCACAGCGTTCCAATATCCCCAAGATGCCACTCGAACTCCATCCGATAACCGAATGTGACTTCTCGGACGTCACGCGCATCCAATTAGCCGCATTCGACTCCGGAATCGCGCACATGTTATTCCCTGACCCTATGACGCCTGAGAAATTCCAAGAATCCGTGGATAGGCATGTCAAATGCTTCAAGAGTGAACCAGATGTGCATTACCTCAAAGTCATTGATACGGACCAGAATGGGAAAATGATCTCAGCGGCAAAGTGGAGAATTAATGAGACTGAGAGGACAGAAGAGGAGATTCAGACGCAATTGCCTACACCGGGCAGGGGCGGTGAGGCAACGCCTGCCGCTGTGGCGTTCCGGCAGCATTTATGTGATAGCCGGAAGGAGTTTATGGGAACGAAACCGTTCTATTGTGAGTACAAGTGAATAACATCTGGTGTCTGTCATGAAAGGTAGATTGCGCTCATTATGCTAGTTCTTCATATGCTTGTCACAGATCCAGAGCATCATCGCCGAGGAGCTGGCGCAATGTTAGTGAAATGGGGGATCGAAAAGGCCGATCAGGCACAATTGCCTTCATATCTCGAGGCATCGGAAATAGGAAAGGTACTGTATGTAAAACTGGGGTTTTATCCAGTGAAGGAACGACTTTTTGATATGACGCAGTATGGCGCAGATGGCATCGACTGCAATACTGTCATGCTACGGGATCCGCCAAAGTAGAAAAAGTAATTAATCTTACAGCGAAGTGTTTTAGTGCAAGGCATTCGTAGAAGGTAATTAACACTAAAGAATGTCGTGATTGCCCGGTCCTGGCTGAACGTAGAATCTGGTGAAACCCTCGTGCCGCGAATTGTGGCAGGTAGCGGTTCCGGCGCTAACACGGAAGAGTAGAGTGGGTGTGTTGATGAGCTCGAAGCGCACTTTCAAGACATCTCAGATTGCTACTTGCAATGGACCCGGTCGTCTTTGAGGCGGGAGCAGAGATCCTTCTGCCGGATCAGAAGTTGGTTCTTCTCAGCACCGCCCCCCTCCAAGGCATCCGGAGAAGGTAATACACGTTAAGGAAGGCCATGATTGCTATGCCGTGACAGTAGGCCCGGTCTTACCGGTTTCCCTCATGTCTAACCATCCTATTGGTCACCAAAACTCCCAATCTTCTTACTCCCCACCCCCTCCCACTCCTGACAGGATTAGTGGGCGGCGAGGAATGCCTTTGACCGGGCAGTTCTCTCGCCGTCTAGTTCCAGCTCCAGCAGGAGCATGAGGCCTAGGCCAGCTAGGGCCAACCTAGGTGCTCTCGGAAGTCTGTAGTCTTTAGTCGCCGACTCGAGAAGGGCCTAGGATTCGTTCTATGGCTCCGTCCCAAGTGGGAGGAACGAACTCGGGAGTCGGCTTTGCCATTTTTGTTGCTCGGCGTTGCTCCTCTGCAAGTCCTTGGACGGTTATCGAGAAGAAATGGTCATGTAATTGTAAGTTGTGATTGTTGGGTGGTAGGGAGTTGTGCTCTAGCTGAACAGATAGCAGGCGATGTAACACTGCTGCAGGAGAGAAGGCGACAGAGAGCAAAGGGAAATAACATCTCATTGCCGCTAAGACTTCACTAGTCACTACCGCAGTAAACTTTCTCCGGACAACAGCAAGCTAGGACTAGACGACACGAATAAAGAAATCTACCGGTCTTCACAGGAATTTCTATACCAGGCGCTACATACCACCCCAATCTCTTGAAGACTGACTCCTTTTGAGCACACCTCTAGGAAGCTTTCTTGATATATTCTACAGGCCCAACATACCGATGCCGTCCTCGAAGCAAGAAATAAACTACCGAAAACACTACAACCGTTCCAAACACAAGAATATTCCAATTCATAGTAACTGGATCCGGATTCGGTGTGGAGGGGAAGAAAGTCATGATGAAAGCAAGTGTGAGGAATAGGACACTGAAGATGTTCAAAGGAAGCCCCCATTTTCCAAGCGAAAATCGACAAGGGAGGAGAGTCTCGCCGCGAAGACGTTTCAGGGTTACGCAGGAGATGGAAACGATGTAGGAAGAGATCAGGGCACCAGTGCCGAGGGATGTGACGATATTGAAAGCAACGGTTGAGCCGATGTTGATGAGTGAGAGAAGGACGGCGATGAAGTAGGAGATCATGACGGAATTCAGGGGCAGGTCCCAGCCAGGGCGGACCTATAATACCTTAGTCAGGACCCATTCTCATCAATTCATGATGTCCGTTCAGCAAGATAGGGGCAACTTACATAGGCAAGCCAAGCAGAGAAAGGTAGACCCTGATCTCGTGCAAAAGCCCACACCTGCCGTGAAGAGGTGGCGACATTAGTGACGCATCCAAAAGTGGCCATGATGATCATGATGGCAGTCATGGCACTTGCTCCTGCTTTGCTTCCCGTGACATTATAGAACACCTGGATGAAGGGCTGTCCAGTCGGGGTCGCAAGGATGTCCTCCACATTTCCAACCATCATGCAGAATGTCACCAGCATGATGAATCCTAGAGCACCATTGATAATTGCCGTAGCAATCATGGCTCGTGGGAGTGTCTTACTGGCATCGCGAAGCTCTTCCGCCATATGCGTAGCCGAATCTGGGCCGATGAAGGAGAAAATTGGAGAGAGCATGCCGACTAGGCAAGATAGGCCAATGGATCCCCAGCCACCGCCATCAGTAAATGTTGTAAACACCTCTTTCGCATTGGCAGGCTTCGCCAGAACCCAGAGGGGTATGAGAATCGCAAAGAAGCCGCAGATATGCAAGATCAGAATAATGCCCTCAACCAAAGGCAGCTTCCTGGCCAGGAAAGTGTTGAAAAGCTGGCAAAAAGTCATGACGCCAATCACTATAAGAGAAAGGTGCCACCGCTGTGGGATGTAGTCCACGTTGTTGAGGATTATCAATCCTTGGATTTGTTGCGAGCTCAGGAAGGCGATCGCGGTATTGCCCACCTGCCATCCAAGAACACAAAGCCAGCCGACAATGTAGGAGAGGAACTTCTGGCTTGACTTTGGCGCAAATTCGGAGACCCAATGATATTGACCTCCTGTGGTTGGTGCCCTTTTGAGCAATTAGAAGCGATACTCCGCGAGAGCAGGGAAGAGTTCGTACATGGATGCCATCTCAGCCATAGAGATGATCGCAGCGAAGAAGCCAAAGAATGTTCCAATGTACACCCATATCAGACCTGCTGTTCCGCCATTGATGAGACCGAACGTATTCGCGCTCTGGACATATTAGGATATTGAACAGTCACCTGTAGACGGAGAGGGCACATTCATACTAGCTGGGCTTCCCAGGTTGCCATCAACACCATAGTAAACCCAAATATGGTCACAAAGCGAAAGTTTCTTCGCAGTTCCTGGACCTTTCCCATACGATACATATCGCGTTGGTCAAACTTCGTCCCCTTCTTCTCAACAACCTCACTATTCTCATCAATGCCGTCGTTGACTTCGTAAGGGTCGGCCACCAGGACCTTCCCAGTCTCAAAGACCTTCGACATGGTCGCTATACTGTCGTAACTCTAACGAGATGCGCAAAGAACAAAGAAGAATGTTGGTGATGAGTTGGAGTGGAATGGTTCTCAGGATAAGACAAAATAAACTAGCGTTCCAATAAGAGAAGATGTTCCGCTTATCACTCAAGTATCTCCCCATGCGCGTAAGATGGAATCTACTGGCTGGAACAGGCATATCTCAATCACATAGGTGGAGCATAGTTCCTAACCGAAGCTGTTGCATGCGCTTGGACTCTCCGTCAACGCCCCGCAGTTGTAGGCCGCCTGTTGTGGCATTTGCCTCAGCCATGAATTCCCAGTACTTTGCGCTCATTTTTATGATCATTAATACAGATATCTTTATTTGATGCATTGCAGCGCTCTGTAATGGGGCCAACCACAGTTAACCCAACATGTGTTGTTGTTCGACCAAGAGGGGATGGGAAATGGGTCAACTCGGTATGTGATCTAAATGCCGAAAGTGCATCGGGGCACGGCCCACGAAAAAGGAATGCAGACTCAGACACATTTGACGGGAGCGGATCGGCCTCTTCTGGGGAAAAGGGCCGATACCCACGCCGAGCAGCCAACTAAGCGAACAGGGACAGACGACCTGATCAATTTGCCGATCCTCGTTCGATCTCCTTCGACATGGGTTTTCAAGGAAGGAGTGATTTCCAGAACCTCGAGGTTTTTAATGGATATGACCACACGCTAGAGAGTGCTTGATGGCGTAGTTCTACCGTTTGATGTCAATTCAACTTAATGCCCAAACTTTTGATAGGAAGTGTCGTCGGCATGCTGTTCCCAGGTGCCTAGTAACTTTGGAGATGGGCAAATTAAATTCGGTTGTAGCTATTTCATGCTTCCATGTCACCAACAAAGCGGCTTGGGGTCATTTTCTGGACCTTCAAGCTGCAGAGCCCTTGTTTGCTCGCAGCGGAAGATAGAAATGGTAGTCCAAACCTGTCTCAGCCTGGGACACTGGCAAGAGAAGACGGGACGTGACGCTGGTTGTTTTGCGCCAGGAACATATCTTGTGTATTACCATCGAAGCTATTTTACTGTAACCATTTTAAGGGATTGGCAAAGGGTCCCTTAAGTCTCCGCAACAAGGAGCCTTGAGAGCTTGTGGCTGCTGTTGTGAGCTCGCGAGCGGGACGGCAAAAGCAACAAACAATGCATCGACTCCTGTAATGCCCTAAGATTCCCATACCTATCTAACCTGATATTGGAAGAACGGAAAATCTCGTGACCCTTGAGTCACTGGTATTTCAGAGCCAGTAATATAATGCAGCGAATAAGGCCTATCAGACCTGGATAGCGGGAATCAGGAATAAATGGGCCGGTTCCCAGAATAAACGCTGGTTCCTCCCGTTAGTTGAAGTGCCCGGCACAGGGTTTCGGAAAGAGTCTCCACAAGGACAAGCCCTAGATCCAAATCGGGTCGAATCAGATCACAGTGCGTTCAATTGAAGGCAGACCACATACAATCCCCAGCTTGTGGGGCTGCACAATGTTAGGTGAGCGCTTAGTCTAAAAGCACGAGACGAGAAACAGCCGCAGTGTCGAACTGGATTGATAAAGAGTTGGGTGGAATTTGTGCAACCAGATTCTGCGACAATCATGATTGCCTGCGACGGACTCGGAATCTCTGTCCCGGTTTTTGTGACGGATCAGAACGGAAAGATTCCACGGAGACTCCCAATTCTATATTTTTGGCCTCGTTGCCCATGACCGAACGTTGCTCCTCCGAAGTATTCGCAAACAGTATCCAGCCGCTCCCCAAATCCTTCAACGGGTTGCCTTCACCTTCTGTGCAACGCCCAACTTCCTCTGTGAATCCCATCCGAAGATAGAGGTTATGCCCAGAAATACTCGAAATAACGCTCGCGCAAACGTGATTCTCCCTTGCAGTATCCAATCCCCATTGTACTAGCTCCTTTGCCAAACCCCGCCCCTGATATTTAGGATCTACGGCAAGCAGCTCGAGGTAGACCGAATTTGCTCTTGTTCCTTTCCAATGATGTTCAAAGAAAGGGTGTGCGGAGGGAAAAGGATTGCGGAGGATGGGATCGGGATTGGCTGCACGGTTTGGTCGGATTGTTGTGTGCAAGCAGTGCATGGCTTTCACAGTTGGCATGATTGCTCTTCCTGTAGATTCAATTAATAGATGCGAATAGGAGGAATTTACAGGGTATACATACTTGGATCCCACTGCTTCAAGCAGACGGTGTCGGCCATGGTCCCTTTGAACTCCCACTCCGCAACTCCAGCCACAACCTCGTGGTCTGCTTCCAGGACAGTCGCGACCCACCAAACATGGCTCCAGTCCCACCAGTTTTCTCGAATGCGTCGTGTGAAGGAAGCTTTATAGTCAGAGAAGAACTGATCGCGGAGAGGGTGCATCAGAGTCCCAAAGAGTTCGTCATCGTAGAAGGCCGTCGCACATAGGGTAGCTATCGTAGATAGGTCTGTCCATTTCGCTGGCCGAATAGGCATCCTAATTGCTTTCGTCTGCAGTCCTGTGGCAATGAAGGGGAGAGGATGATAGCAGAGCGGAGACAGTCAATTCATCCTGTATTCTGCGATTAGATTAGCGCTCATTCAGTCTCCTGCCGACTTAGAAATTAAATCATCCGAAGATACCATGATTGGGGGCCACGACGAATCCCTCTGCATCCCACAGTGTTGGTTCCATAGATTTGCCGGGCTGGCGCTTCTTAGGAGCCGACCGATGGCGTTTTGCGCTAGCATCGCGGGCCAAGGAGCGTTAAACAGCGAGAACTTTTGGCCCGTAGAGAGTCATATTAGGATGGAGACTAGTAGGGTGGGAAAGATCAATGTTCTTGTCATGGTGGGCATTGGAGCGGATGGTTCGCCGAATCTGCTTGAAGGATGCCGAGGCTACAAGCAAGAAGTGCATCTTATCAAGCTTGGGTCAGTCAAAGGAGACAGCCAATAAGATGGCGACTTCTGTTGCTGGAGACATTTAGGTAGTCACATGACCGTAGGCCGAATGTCGTCAGAGGACGCGTACCACCTTAAACTCCTACCCAAGTTCAGAATTCCCGAGTCCCACTTAGAGAACCCAAGAAGACTCTTTTAACGTCTTTCCTGAACTGCAACCTAAGCAAATAATCTATCGCATGCTTTTGAGCCCGGTAAGTTCTTGAACTTGAGCATCTGAGAACATTTCATTATTTACCTGCCAATAGCTAGGTATGCCAATTCAGGGCCATGTCATCAACAATAAAAGGAAACCGCCCGTATCCAGGTATCCCGCCTTCTCAACCTAACACCAATTCCGTTCCATGTACGCCAAACAAAAGGACTTATCCAGAAACCTAATTACATCAAGGAAAACCGGATCCAATTGACCGTGCCATTCACTCGGGGCGCTTGTGAAGCTTGTTTGGGGTTACCTGACAGATCTCAGCTGTCTGGGGCTCGGCACTTGGATTGAGGATCGGGTCACTCCTCATGCCGCTGAGGGCATGACCGACAGAGGCGTGGCGAGCGGCTCCTCCACCAGCAGTGTGCGGACGAACGATCTCCTCCCCAGCTAGACCTGGATTCCAATTGGCTTGGCCGGGTCTACCTTGCAACTCGTACCCGTACGCGGCCATCGGCTCGCGGGAGGCACCATTCGGGTTTGGACGATAGCCGGCGAGGCGGGGCTCCGAGTTTATGGCCTCACGGTTGCGAAAGACGGGATGAGGTGGACTGATAGCAACCGTGGGAGAGGGTGGGACGGAGCTGCCAGGCGAGTTGGTGCCGTTCTCCTTCGCAAAAGCTTGGTGTTGGTGTGGACCCCAGACGACTGGCTGTGGAAGATGTGTCTTACTGCCATTGCCGATTACCAGGCTCTGCAACGTGTTGGTGCGGCTTCGAGTCCTTGGTGGCCCGCGTGGTGGTGCGATGCCTCCTACTCCACCATCCATTGCCATGCCGTTGCGTCCTCCAGACATAGTCATCGGCGAGAAATTGACGTCTTGGGGTGTGGCGCCTTTGCCAAGGGTGGACTTGTTCGAACTGGGAGTGTGCGGTGCGACGTAGGGAGCGTCCTTGGCGGCCATGTTGGCGCGCGCGGCCTCATGCTTGCGAGTGAAATGACGACGCAGGAATATTCCGCCGACCCAGAAGAAGACAATTGCCAAAAAGATGACGATAACCATGACTACCCACCTCCAGTGCGTGTGGAACCTGCAGACATGTTAGCGGCTTGGAGTAGGATAGGATGGACGAATGGACAGCGCCGCTAAACGGGATCTGCGCAATTGGGGTCTATATTGACGTACCAGTCGTTGTTTGACGAGTTCGCATTGCTCACACCCTGGGCTCCAGCAGCTACACCCGTCGCAGTTTTTGAGGCCGAGCTAGTCGTTCCAGAAGCTGTCGTTGCCGTCGCTGTCGCCGCGGTCGTCGTCCCGCCAGGTGGTTGAACTACAGGCCCAGCGCAGAGAGAGGTGTAGTACTGCGAGATCTTGGTGGAATCGTCGGGAGAGCAGCCCGTCGTTACACACTGAGCGCCGGAGGAGTAAAAGGCAGTGAGGAGGGTGGAATGGCAGAGACAAGACTGATAGGTTGCTTGGTTCGTAACCGGTGCCGCCGGGGGGATACAACCAGCCTCAGCTTGTTGGAGAACCGTACACTGTTTGGCGCAGTTGGGAAGCTTGGTGTAGTCGATGACACTCTCCGCCGCAGCCGCAGCCACGGCGAGGAAGAGGGCCAGATTGAGCTTCATACTTCCATTGACAACAAGTGATTAGAGAACGACTGAAACGAGTGTGTTGGTGGGGGTGCGGAACGAATGTGAACACGGAGGAGGATGGGAGGAGGTGTTGGGTGATGTTCTTGCAGGTGCTTCCTTCCCAGTGGCCCATGCGCTCCGCACCCCAGCCACGATCACCGCCAAACGACACGCCAGAGGGAAGCACAGGCGAGAAATGGGTAGGGCGAGAATATCCGTCGTCATATGTAGATTGCGGCATGTGATGTCTAGTTTATATCCAGAATCTATTCGCGATTTGAATGCTTGAACACTTCTCTATCCAAACCCATAAACGGGGAGTCAATGGCCAGACCATTCCATTCGCCTTTCTCCACATTATTTTATCCAGGGACACTCAGTTCGCTTCTTGGCGTGCTAGTCGATCGGATAAGGCGCCACAAAAAGCTTCCAAACTTCTTTTTCCGCCACGTCAAAACATGAAACGAAACAAAACGAAACAATATTTGCCATCTGGCGTCAAAGCTCCGAAGCCCATCCCGAACTGATTGCACAGCTCCATTACATCTTCATCCCCCATTCACTTAAATCGAATCTATCTTTCCGGCGCGATGGCCCCTTTTTCGCTCAACACCTGGAATCTTCACCACTAACTGCTTCAAGCCTGAGAAAGCCACCAATACTTGGCTACACACGCCTGCCACTGCAGAAAAAAGGTCCTATCCTGATTGGCTATGAGGTCTACCAGCCTTATCTACGCTCAGGAGCTCCCGACCTCCGCCTATCGAGTTAACATCTTTCCTAGCTTCGCCGGAGTTTGTAGCTAGCGCTCCAACGGCTTCTTTGGCCTACACTATGATAATTTCATTCCTACTAAGCATGACATAGTTCCTCTAACACTCTCCCGCATCTTATGTATGCTTCATACGTCGTTTCCTCACAAATTTTAGACTACATACTCTTCCTTGCCCTTCAATCGCTTCCCCTACCTTAAGCTGAAATCCTAGCGCAAAATCGGCTCTAAAGGCTTCACAGCTATGAGCCCGGTATTGGCTTGCTAGCTAATCGAGCTGTTTTCAAGCCTAAACCAGGGAAGACTGCTTTAACGCCATATGTCCAATGACCTCGGTGTCACACCCTACTACATTGAAGTCGCTCTTTTGCAACACTTCGGGCACCAATCTGGACCTCACGGTCCTTAGCGGTGGCTTATTATCTCTACCTCTTCTAGGCGCATCAATTACGCCCTCCTTTTTGAACGATAAGGCACATATGTTGTGCTCTAGTTTACTACCTGCCGTCTTTTCAAGACCCTTACGTTGCAATGAGTGAATACAGGGTCACTTCCACTTCTCTTGAGGACGATGCAGAACTGCCAGTCCGCCACAGTATAACCCTCCTAAGTCTGCTCGTAGCGTTCAATTCAGCTGGGAGAGCTCTACGAGCGGACTCCGGTGATTTGTAGTGTGATTGACTGAATGCTTAGCATCATGTTCAAGGGAGTTGTAGACGTAGCTACTTGGTATGTGGCCCTTGATCTAGGGCTATGGGGACTCAGAATAGCCTATTTTTGTAGAGGGAAGGCTTGGAACTTCCAGTCCAGCGATTGCTCAGAGCACCCGCGTGCCACGTGGGTTCTTGCTTATGTATCAGCCTTGTCACACGATGTGACATGATGACTAGGTCGGTGGTAAAAAGTAGATGGCATTGAAGGAGTGCTAGGAAGGTACGGGGTGGGGGTCCCCCATTCACGTCCAGCTATAAGGAGACTGAGACCGTGGGGGTTGGTGGCAAAGGAAGGCATGTGTAATGCAGCGGTGATCTCATCCATGATCAAGCCTCCATCTAAACTTAGTGAATTCGCCTTGTTGGGCAAGTTGAAGCGAGTTCAACTCCCCTAGCTGCGTAGCTCTACTAGCAAAATCTAGCGCTGGAGCTAGAACTAAAGATTATGCTGGCCCAAGCTGCAGCGTGCCTTTCAAATACGGCTAGCGTATGGCGGCATTCTCCATCACTTTAAAGATGGTTTGCAAACAGAACACTAACGCTGATTTCAACAGTCTTCTGCCCAGCCTTAAGGAGGCCAAAGAAGGTCCATGAGAATTCATATGGCGGCCAAAACGAAGCGTCACAGGGTGGACGACTTACTGAATTTCTAATAGTTTGGACATTGAACTATGGATTTCTCCGTTGCTATGAAGCGGTGTTGGTGCTAGTTCAGGAAAGATGCCGAGGGCATAACGACATAAAAATGTAACTAGGAAGGAGCGAAGGGAACGAATCTACGACTGTAGAGCATCAATATTGAAGCAATCCATCCCATAAGAAATTCATGCCTAGAAAACCATAGAAAACAGTCGAAACTCGAAGCGCTGTAAAGTCCACTCACATCTAGCTACTCCAGGAGCTGTTGTATTGCTAACTAACATCAGCTTCTGTAGACCCTAGTTTGAGTTTGAGGTTGCTTACCTTCGCATCAATGAGGTCATTGTATGGGACCACAAACCAGTTCCTATCAATGGACCACCGCTCTGGGGTCCCTCCACACAGCCAGTTGTAGTACCCAACCGGAAGGCCAGCTTGGGAGCTTCGAATTCAGTCAGTCATGTATCACTTGATCCAGAAAGAGGTGACTTGCCCATGGGTACGTATTTTAGAGTTGTCCTTCAAAACACTCCTCCCAAGTTCCTTGTTCCTGACGAAGTGCTTCTCCGTTACGCGACCCATCACCCAGTGCATATCAATCTTGACTGTATTCGGTACTACACCGGGCTTAGAGTAGGCATGGTGGGGGGGATCGAGGAGGGTCTTGACCAGCTCTTTAACCGTTGGCTCCGAATAAGGATCTGTCACATCCGGTTCCTCCACTTGGGACTGGCTAGGCTCTGCGGACGATCCTGGCGGAACAGCGAAGCCATAGTGGGAGACGGAGTGGTCTTGACTAGCAGTGTGAGTGAGCTGTGGGGCAGAGCCAGGCTGAGCGTTTCCAATCCCGAGGAGATTCTTGAGATTTTCGACAGGGGCAGTGAATTTCTTGTCGTCTCGAGGATCGTTGGGCATTGTAATGGAAATGAAGTAGAACGTATATAGAGAAGTGGATTGTGTGGTGAAATGATCAAGGAGTGGGCTAGCACGTCGAGGGTTCGCAGAGGGCTGAAGGAGTTTATATATCCCATGCCCCGCCCTGGGTAGCCAAATCGCAAGAAACACGTGAGCTGGTCCCTCACTACCAAACCGCCGCTGGCAGGGGTGCGCGGGAGGGGCGCTGCAATGCCGATATCTCGGCTGAGCATAAAAGAAGGTCACTCGAGCATGGAAACGGGATCCAGAAGAGCCTAGACTAATAGTATTGAATCGCAATACCACGTAATTTGTCACACGCCTCCGGAATTGGAGAATCACTGATTTTCTGCGCCACGCCCCCACTCGCACTCGCTATATCTAATCTCTAGCAAATTCGGTTTTGAAGAACTCTGGCGTCAGTATCATGCTCTCCTCCGTAGATGTATAATCGGGATCATCGCCACATAACCAACCGTGATATGCCCCTGGCAGACCTAGGGAAGCGCCCTGGAGTCGCAACTCGGAGGACCGCTTTAGGACGAGTCGCTCGTCAGACTCCCGTGGCCTGAATTGCTCTTTTCCAACAGTCCCAACTACCCAATTTATCGATAATACGCCGTGAACAAAGGCATGCGATGGTGGGGTGAGGAGTTGGCGTACGACATCCCGAGTTGATCGTTTCTCTAATGTTTGATTCCGGCGGGGAATGACAAAGCTGGAGATATTGAAATTGAAATTGAAAGCGTCAGAAGATCTAAAGGTCAAACCGCTATTGACAAGCGCAGACTGCTTGTTGAAAGAATTGCTGCTTTGCCGGGGTGAATCTGCTTGGTTCTCAAGCATAAGTACTTCCATATTTGATGACAGACGTTCGATATGTTGACAAAGGAAGCAATGACTATTCGGAGCACATAGCCTGCAGTTGATGATATACTGCGGTGACCGTTGTCCTTGCAGAGATGGAAGGATTGAAGAATAATGAAAGTCCTTTCGGGAGTGGTTGAAATGGTTGAAATTCTAATCAAAAGCCGACACTGTAAAAATTGGGTAGGGCCTACGATTAGTGTTTAGCAATACGCATAATGTCTATAAATAAGTTTCAAAAATTCATCACATGAGGTGAATCACATTCATTCACTGGGTTGAACAATGTCTTTGCGCCTGCTCGCTCGCGCTTCAAAATTCAACTCGAAATTTCCGCGGAAAGGTTCAATAAGCAGAACAATAGGACAGTGAGTAGAACTTTCTTATTATTCTTTGTGCGCATCTATGATGCTTTGTAGAACTGCACCTCATCCTTTGTGAAGAAACTTTCCTCTTATATCTTAACTCTAGTGCCGCACTCACATCTCCAAATAACTAGTTCATTTTGCATACCTTCTCCGTCGTATAGCACGCTTACAATGCAGTACTTTAAGGCCTCTTTTATCTTCCTTACATTCATTGGCTGGTCCGATGCTCGAGCGTGCAATAACTCGCCAGAACTTTGCTCAAAATCTTACGATAGAGTCACGTATCTCGGCGCCCACGATTCTCCCTTCATCCGGGACGCTTCGACGTCGTATTCTTCGTTCGGGAACCAGTTCTTCAACACGACTACACAACTAAACGCTGGCGTACGCCTCCTCTCTGCACAAGTCCATGTAGCCTGGAATAAGAAGACTGGGACGAGGGAACTACACCTTTGCCACACCTCCTGTGCATTGTTTGACGTTGGGCCACTGAAAGATTGGCTGTTCGACATTAGGGTTTGGATGGACAAGAATCCAAACGAAGTTGTCACGTTAATCCTCGTGAATGGCGAGAGAATCGGGGCCAGGGAATTAGAAAGTGAATACTCACGAGCAGATATTGCGCACTATGGATATGTCCCCGAACACGTCGCAAAAGCCCCGCCTCCATCCAATGAAACGAATCCGACATGGCCAACGTTGAATAGCATGATCGACAGTGAGCAGCGACTCGTTTCCTTTATTGCACCGCTTACACCTGACCAAGCAAACGCTCCATACCTACTCAGTGAGTGGGACTTTGTGTGGGAAAACCCTTACGAAGTCACCGACCCGTCAAACTTCACATGCGACCCTGACCGCCCCCACAAGGTCACGATGTCGAACGCAATAGAGTCTGGAACCCTTTTCCTGATGAACCACTTTCTCTATTGGCAGCAGGCATTCGGAATCCAAGTCCCAGACTCCAGGATTGTGAATACAACGAATGCTTGGGAAGGGCCAGGATCTCTCGGTGCGCATATGTTGAGGTGTTCGAACATGATGATGCGCCAGCCAACGTTCGTTCTCGTCGACTTCTTTAACGTAGGCCCTGCCATCAAGACTGTCGATATATTTAACAAAGTTTCGAAGCCTGTTGGTCGGATGAACGTCACTGGCCGTGTTGTCGATGTGGGTATGGATGTGAATTCAGGAGGAAGGTCGGCGGGGTTGTTTACAGTGATGGTGGGCATCGCAGTGGCCATCGCAGGAGGATGGAATATTCTATTTTGAGAGAAAGATACTAGGAAAAATGACGTGCAGAAAAGAGATTCCACAGTGGAAGCACTTAGGGTTGGGCATTTGAATGAAAATAGAATGGTTCGAGCATTTGGGGACGATACTAGGAGATTGTAGTGCGTCGCTGTCGTTACCAACCTTCAAACTAACGTCCCTCCATGCGTGGTGGAAAACCATCTGTGCCGGAAAATATAAGGGTTACTTTGACTTTAAGTGTAAGGCCGCTAGTCCTTACCTTACAAAGGATAATGCGCTGTAAGGCCGGAAGCGGCCTGTACGGGTCCTTACGCGCGACAGGTATATTTTTGTCCACCTGAAGTCCTTTCCGACATTCTCTAAAACCTCAAGCGACTTTCAGATGACCTAACACCAATCTCAGCAATCCATCATGCCTTCCAATTCAATGTGAGCGCATTTGTAGAAATGCTCACCGGAAAGAAGCCACCAGACTACGCTGATGCCATTCAGGCTCTCCGAGACGTCAGCGGACAGCGAAGGCAATGGAAATTTCTCTTTGAAGAAATTCAGAAACTGCGCGACGAAGTCGCATATCACAAAGTGATCATATCCTGTCTGGAATATCGACACGTCTTCGAAAGCCTCCCGAACAAGAATTCCATAAAAAATCAATTCAACTTAAAGCGATTGGAGACATCAACCTCCGCTTGGCAGTATACCTGGGAACTTGCTGCGAGAGAACAAATCAAGATAATGCTCCAGAACTACATAGATACAGCCGGAAGACCAATTCTATCTTGAGGAACGACCGTCGTTATGTTTGAAATTTCTGACCGCGGTTCCAGTCGGGACGAGGAGCTGTACTTGTTACCTAGAATTAATCTTTAGCTCTCCTTTCCTTATACGATACTCTACTGTCTTAGTCGAATTCACTCTTGTTTCGTTCGTTAGTATTTCCAAGTGTTTGGTTGCTCTAGCTACTGTGGTAACAACTACACCCTTGCTAGGGAAACAGGAAGAATATAGCTTTCTTTGAGCAAGCGATGATCTAGCCATTTAAACGGAGCATGAGGTTGAAAAAATAAGGATATAGGTGAGTTCCGCAACCTAGAGCCTCTACCATTCGAATTTAAATATATAGCCAGCCAAATACTACTTCGTCGCCTACAATGTTTGGATACCAAATAGAAGCGGCTTTATCTCAATTCTTAGAAGATTCCATCTGTTCAGAATTGTAAAAAGGGAAGATCAGGCTTTGTTTTTTTTCCTTCTAGAATTGCGATAATAAGATTTAGGATGGTCGGAGCGAATCTACAAACGCTGCAGTGCGCAACGGGCATGTGGAAGATAGCAACACAGCGGGCATTCATCACACAAATTTATTACAATAACACTGAAATCCTGCTATTATTTGCTTTTTCAATTGACGAGAAGAGATCTGAATTAGACAAGACCACGGGGTACTAAATAATTAGATTCGATTCAACTAGTCAAGCTATCCTCGTTAGCAACATCGTACCTTTCCATCTCTTAGAAATGACAGCAGCTGTGGAATAGCAGTTTTTTGCGTGCTAGGGAAATCTAGTTTTTAACTAAGCCTAGTATTGCATTCTTAATAGAAATTAATAAGCATGTAAACTCTTTAGAACTCAACGCGATAAGGTACTAAGGTCTACTCCTTTTACCTCATATTTGTCACTAGGTGAGTTCACATCCTTGGCACCAGAGTCCTTGCTCAGTGCCATCATTAAACAGTGATGGAAAGGGTATGGCGCCCATACCACTGAATTTATCATTAGGTCTAGTGTCCACATCATTTGTTGTCAGGATCCTGCGAAAGTGGGCCTAAAGGCGCTTGTTAATACCATGTTAACAGGTCAAATTTTTAAGCAGCTGGAATATCCTAGTCGCGCAAAGGAAATTCAACTCCAAAGCCTCTAGTAATCTATGCACCTAGAGAGCTAGTTGTTTTGCGGCTTTTACACTAGTAAGTCTAATTAAGCGCTGACAGGACTGTTTGCGTGGGACACAGTAGGTTCCACGGGACGGGCAGCGTCTTCATTTGCTGCTTTTTAAGGCCAAAACATTCTTTAACTAGTGGCAATAAGGTCACCCAGAGACCCTAATTAACAACCAGACATAGAAAACAGCACCGCTCAGCAGAGAACAGAAATAGAAGTGGGCCATATGCACCGCAGGATACGCATCGCTCAGAATAGAGGGCTGCATGAAGTGTAGTAAGAAAGTGAAGGCCTAGGATCCTTGCCCGGCTTAGGACCTCAAAGGTATGGCCTACGGACTAGACGAGATCCCTATATATAGGAAGACATTCCACGACGGCTTTACCGTGAAGAGAGACACGAGAGAGACGCAAGAGGGATTGGAGATCCAAGTAGAGGAGAGACTCGTGCAGGATTTCGAGAGGTAGGTGGCCAAGGCATCCGAGAGAGGATGGAGGCTCACATTGAATAGTTGTAAATGCGAGCTTTGTCAACTCGTCAACTAAGATCACACCACACAGGATGCAGCCGGGGCGGTGAGAAAGGTGAAGGAAGATGTCGTCAGAGAAGTTGCTCTCAGTCATGGATTTCTACTAATTCCGCCAGCGTTTGGGCAGGATGACCGAATTTCTCCGTGTGCTTTCCACCGATGGAGAGGTAGTGGCGATGTTTGCTGAGGCCGTGACCCGCTAAGACTCCGTACAGCCACAGGACTAATAGTCTTCACAAAGAAATCACACCGCGATGATTATGTAGGTGCGGGGTCGTTTTGCACTAGCTGAAATTAGTAGTTGGTTTGATCAGAAGTACTAACTAGGGTAGCAGCCTTGCATGAATTTGTGCGCGCCAGCAGGCACAGGCCAATAATAACTTTTTACCATTGTAGCAAGGTTCTAAGGCTTAATAAGACTATTTATAAGTGTTATAGAGTAGTAAGAGGTTGATAGTAGTGCTATAAAAAAGGAACTCTATTACACTATAGAAAAAACTTCTTTGTAAATTAGGCGCAAAGATACTAACTAGTTAATGTAAATGTAATTTATAAGAGGCGCCCTAGATCTTTATAAAAAAATAGCTATAGCATATTATTTATATATATTTTTAGTGAAGCTTAACGGGTGCGCAGAGTTATAATTGCTTAAAGTTAAAGTACCTGTTATATATCCTGGCACCGTGGGTTTTCCGCCACGCATGGAGGGACGTTACCTTGAGTAAGCCCCCTTGTGTTTGAGCTGTTACTATCCACTTTTTAAGATGTGCGATGCGTGCTCGGAGGTAGTCAGTCCACTAGGGGTAGGAGAATATGACGGAAGGTAGCTGGGGTTGAGGGGTTCATTGAACGTTTTCAGCGTCCCTTATGAGTGTAGGCATTCTCGTATGCAGCAGGCACAGTGGAATGCTTCACTGTTGCTATGTCACACTAGCCAAGGTCGAAGCCGATACGTCTACGCACAATGGATGGGATGAGTTTGGTGGTGACTTCGTTGAAAGGTGCGGAGTTTGGACTTGAGGCCCCCCGGGCGCCAAGAAGGTTTGTCTTGTTTGCATAGCTGGCGAAAAAGTTCCCTTACCATCTATGCTTCGTCCATCCATCCCACAACCTCGACAATGGCCTCCTCACGAACATACATACCCTCAATAGCGCTCTTACGTGCCCTCTCTCGACCAGGACCGCCGAAATGTTCATTTGTGTATCGAACCGACATTCAATGCCGCCGTGGTAAATCTTCCCAACCACCAAAACCTCTAAAGAAAAAAACGCCAGCACAAATCTACCACGACACTCTCCGCAAAGCGTATAAAGCCACTGGCATAGAAATGCCAAAACCGAGGAAAGGCAGGGCGCAATCCTATCAGGACATGCTGGACATGGGTCTCTCTGGCATTTCGTATGTTCAAATGGACGAACACGGGAATGAGCAGGTCATCGACCAGATCAAAAGCGAGGAGGAGTTTCAACGATGGCAGAAGCGAGATCGCATGCTGAAAGAAGATGCAACTAATCCGAATTATGACGATACAGAGCTACGTAAAATGCTGTTGGACGATTTGATGCGGCATCCAAGCTTTTCGCATTTAAGAGAGGAGCTACAGGAGATGAAGGAGGAACAGATATCCAAGGAAGAGGAGGAGCGACAAGAGAAGGAGATGGAGAAGGAGGTGGATGAAGAAATCAAGGACTTGGTCACGAAGCAGAAGGTGATCATGCATGATTCTTGGCAAGAAATGATCGATGACCCGGACTATGCTGATGCCAAAGAAATGCTCCTGGACGTTCAGTCAAGGTGGGCGGAGTTCGACATGATGTCAGACGATCCGGAGCTAGAGGCCGCGTTTCAGCGATTGACGGACAAACTACAGACGATACCAGCATTTCAAAAGAAACTGGCCGAGAGTGGAGACCGGGGTGATGCAGAGCTCAGGGAATTGGAAGAAATGGAGCAACAGCTTGATAAAAGCGAAGAAGAATGGAGCCAACGCAAAAAAGAGGAGGAAGAGACCGAGAAGGCGTTGGCCAGCAATGAAGGAACTGCCGAAGAAATCAACATTCTCTTAAGACAAATACAGGAGCTGCTAGCCGCCATTGGTGGAGATAGCGAGCTCGAGGGAGAGCTGGAGGAACTACTCCATCAAGATCCCTTCAAAGAGGTCCAAGATGAGTTGGATGCCGAGTTCGACTTTGAGAAGCTCGCAAAGGATATCTCCGATGGCCTCGATAAACTCAAGAATGCGCCTACACCTGAAGAACTTGAGAAGGACGAAAATGATGCCGAACTACAGGCCAAGGTTGACAAAATCATGGACGACCCAAAGCTTTTGGAGAAGCTAGCTTTCATCAAGGAACTTATGAAGGAGCGGAAAAGAGACATCACCCAGTTTGGCGGAGATGCTCCCGACCCAGCAACACTTTACAAATCCGAATTAACAACCTTCGGACAGCAGCTCAAGATTGCCGAGAGAGACCCAGAGCACCTTGCTGCGATACGTCGTCTTCGCATCCACCTCCTCCCACCATTTAATATCTCTCCTGCTCTGCGGTCTTTGAACCAAGCCCTTAAGTTCGCCTACCTCGGCGCGAATGACGACGTAAGACGCATTCTCTGGCGAGCGTACTCCAAAGCTCGAACGATCCCAACACTTCTGCAAAATATTCCCGATGATGCTTGGGATATGCTGTGGTATTCTCAGGCTGTAAAATGGCGCTCGAACCAAAACCGAGAAAACCATTTGAGGATCCTGCTGCAAGATCTTGTGAGCGTGGGAAAGGATGGCCCGCCCACAAAGCCAGAGCAGCTGATGGGGCAGGGGCAGCCAGAAGATGTTCAAGGGGAGAACGAACCAACTCCGATGGAGCAGGCTTTGGAGTTGGCGCGTGTGGCGAAAGCGGAATTCTCCTCAATGGAGGCTGCTACTTCTGTACGGTAGATATAACAGTGAGAGTAATGACAGACATTGATAATGTTGGAGGCATGCATGTTGTTGGCATTCTTGATATGCAGCCTTTGGAGCTTACAGAATTCCAAGGCCTGCAAAAGCAAACTCAATCACCATCCATGTTTCCAATGGGGTCACAGGTTTCGTACTATGTGTAAGCTGTAGGAGTGGAAAATCAGGTCTGATATCCCCCGTCATGTAGATTAAGTCCACATGTGGTTCGAACATGGAGCAGGGCCCATGCCTGAGTGGTACAATAGTGGGCAGCGCGAAGCTGTGACACCATCGTCTACCAATCAAGAAGGGGTGGCTGGGGCCCTGCCTTTTTTAACTTTCGACTTTGGGGCCGATTTAACTTACCAGGTAGATATCATTGGTTCGAGATTGTGTAAACGTGAACACAACACATTTAATTTACTGCAAGTCCGTACCGAAATCATAGCACCAACTATCGTGTATAGATTTCACCATCGCCGTTCTCCCAGCCTCCATTGCAATACCTTGCTCTCCCTTTAGCGGGAAGGATTGCCGCCATGTCGAGCACGCTTATCGGACCCGTTCCCACGCTCTTCATACCTCCATTCTCATGTCTTAATGTCATAACTTCGGGTGCAGATCCAAATATCTACGCTTCCAGCACCTCTCTCTTCATTGGCAATTTCAATGGGTTCTATAAGGGCAACAACTACCTCAAAGCAGCGTCAGATTGCTATCCCAGCTCTACAACAGGACTTAATTTCTGGGGCAATTACTACTGGTCGCCAGCATATTGTCCGCAAGGCCATACGCCAGCGTGTTCGTATCCTGCAGGTGGCTCTAGAGATAGCATTACAGGATCGTTATGCTGTCCTTCGTAAGTCCGAGTAGACCATATGCGCGAAAATCCCACTCCGAACGACTTGCATCTGACGTATGGGATGATAGAGGATTTCAATGCGTACCGGGCTGGCAACACGGCTGTCAGAAACTGACATCCGGGGTCCTTACCAATATCCTAGTTGCCGCAGCTCCCACCGCCGCATTCCAGTCATCTGGCGACCTCATTACGAAGTCTTTGGATAAGAGTCAGTATATTTGGGGAGACGGGGTTCCGGTTGCTTGGGAGAGTTCGGATACGGATATTTTATCACTTATCGCGAAAGTGACTGCTACAGCTGTGTCCTCTATGGTATCAGGTACAGGTGTATTACCAACGAGTATATTTGCGTCCAGGACTTCAACGACATCAACACCTACGCATACGCCCATCTCGGCAGCAGGTTCATCTTCTCCAAATACAGGAGTGAAAGTGGGGATTGGAGTTGGAGTTTCAATAGGCGTCTTAGCAATCCTCGGGATTCTGAGCTGGTTCCTGTGGCGCAGAAGAAGAATTAGCACTACTCCACAGATTGTTGAATTGGAAGGCTCGACAGATGCGCAGAAATACGCCGCAGGATGGGCAGACAATATCCCGAAACCTAGGTTGCCACCTCAAGAAATGGCCGGGTATAGAGAGGAGAGAGTAGAGTTATCAGCGGAGGCTCATCGCTGATTTTGGGGAGAACAATGCCGTGGCTGGTGTACTGTAGGTTTTAATTTCACAAAGCGTCATGGACAGAAGGTTTTCTACTACTTTTGGCACGTGTTCAAGGAGGTTTTAAGACAATATCTTTGGTTACGCAAGCACTCGGACGTCCATAGGGATTTGCCTCTTCAGTGTTCTACGAATTTATGCGAACTCGTGGTTAATGCTCCCGATTCTTTTGCCATCTACCTAATAGTACATGTGCTCTCTCTGTACTTGACTAACACCCGCATTCCTTAAAGCATGTTCTCTAAACTCAGGCGCCATAGATTTTAAAAGTGTGTAAAGCGACCACAAACAGCATTCACTCAAGCCCACAGAGGCACCAAGAAGTTCAAAAAGAAGGCAGAATGCCGCATTCACCCAGGGTCGAACTGCGGTCCAAAGAGCAAAAAGGGAACCGGCGCTAGATATGGGGAAATCTAGTCCGTAAACCCTATACAACTGCGACAACTGACATAAGAAAATGTATTGACGTACCTTCTAAGTCCCGAAGGACGAAGGGACGTGAAATTTTTAGGTTTATATAGACTACAAAAAGTGAGGCGAAAGTGGTAATTGGGGGTGAAGTGACGGTGCCGGTTGAAAATGTGCCGGGTTGCCTAGGAAGCAACGTCACGTTGTGCTAGGAGAAGACGGGGCAGGGTCGTGAACAACCCTCTACTGCCGAGGGCACGACTTCAGAGCGTCTTAGAATACTCGAGTTCAACGGGAGCTCAGTATTTCCCCATAAACCATGCTGGGTTGGCTTAGGTGCCTCCATATCTTGCGACTTTTGCCGCCGAAAATGGAGGCGTGTAAGCCAACAACTTCGGAACATACTGGATCCGCCCAGTCCCTTTTTCTTTTCCGAGTGAATAATTTTGTAAATTTAGCAAATATAGATGTAGCAGTACTCCCACCAGCTCTACCTTGGGAGAAATGATACCCTTAAAGAAAACGCAGAAGCGAATGCTATATGACGATTGCTAGGCAAATAGAACTTGGATTAAGAGTACTTGTTTTTTTTTTCTTTTTGATCTGCCGCTCTAAAAGCACTCAATCTCTCTGTATCCGGTAATTCACTAACTGGCGTTGGGCTTTCGTAGAGCTGGGAAAGAGTCCTCTTCCGTTCGGCTAACACTAAGGTAGGAAAGTACTGTGCCTGTTTTTGGTTTGGCGTTAAGACAACGGGTGAGTAACGGGGACTAGCATGTCTTTGTTAAGCATCAAGGTTGAATTTGCTATGAATAGACCGATAGGCGTAGGCGCCGGGCATGCCGTGGCGGCTATTATGTAGACGTGATTATGTTCAAGGCAGCTCATCGCAAAGGCAACAAGTCAGACGCCTAACAACAGGTACAGCCTATGGGAGTCTGAGGAATACTTGAAGCTATCATGCATTGCCAAATGGACATGTGCAGGGCGATGTTCGATGGGTTGGAGTTTCGGTCAGGCCTGTCGTTAATTCGTTGTTAGTTGGGTGTCTCGCTTTGAGTGAACAAAAAAATGGAGCGCGGCGTGGTCTTCTGCTCCAACTATGAGACTCCATCAGAGTGATAGTCTACGAGCACTTAAAAGTTAAGCTACTGCGCCTCTCTGGCGCGTAGGATGTCGGGACGTAGCTAGAATCGATGAAATCCAGCAGTATTAGCTGATTAGCTAAGATCTTAAAAAATAGAAGTGCTGTGCCGTACTACAGAACACTTGCCGGCCGATGCGTATAAATCTTGGCCCTGCCCGGTGCAGTTATTCCACCTTCCCTAGTGCACAAAACCCAATCGACATCTATACACCAATCTTTTGAACCCACCGTTCTGCCTTCTTTTGTCCAATAATCCTTTCTTGTTTTTCTCTGTTCTATCTGCTCAACGAAGTATATTGTCTCTTATAAAATGTCTAAAGTCTGGAAATCATTCAAGGGCTTTATCCTGGGTCGGACCATTTTTTGAAATTATTCATGAGCCACAAGGAAGGCCAACGCATTCTTCCAGCCAATACCGTAACGGAGAACACGAAGCACCAGCTTCGGATCGACGCTGGTGAGGTCAAGGACGGCAAAAAGAACATTTACCTCCAAGCAAACTCTCAGGCTTAGAACATTTCGATCAAGAATTTCATAAGCAAGAACGGAACCTACGCGAATATCGCTAGCGCCCAAATTGACATCAACACTTCAAAAGACAAGCAGAAGCAAGAAGCCGAGAGGGCCATGGCGGAGCTCCAAAAAGGGTTCAATAGCAAGATTGGATAAAAGTGCGTTGAAATGCCTCCAAAATGTTTAATTCATTCTCACAATCAGCTTTAGTGGTTTCATCGAACGTGTTCGCCGGACCGATCTAGTGTTAGTATAGCCTGTGTCTTGACAGATTGGTTTGAGAAGAATAGTACAATCCGCTATGCCTTCGCCGTTTGATATTTGAATCAAGCTGTGTTCACTCAGAATCGAGTGAATGGCGAAGCTGAACAGAACCTTTGTTGCTTTTTGAACAGGGCGCAATTATTTGAACGGTTTTTATCAGTATTGGGTAACTGTCTTCGTCGTGTTTTCAAAAAGAGCAGTTCCTCGGGTATCATGCTGTGTAGCGATATACATCGCGACACAAGTCGAATATAACTTTCCAATCTATATTGTACCACTGAATCCGATGTGTCACTAAATAGTGCCACCTTTGGCGAAGTGTTACCCTGCTGTAAAGGCTCCTCAATGGATAGCAAACGCGTAGGGGCTAAGCGACTTATCGATGGTAATGTGAAGCGTAATCCAAAATGACTAATGTTAAGTCTGTGAACGTTCCAGATATGGCCAAATTCTCCGAATCTCCTCTGGAGATTTGTTGTACTCAGCGCTTCTTCGCATGATCTCTTGGAGCAGCGCCTCGTTCTGCTGTTGTTTTGTCGCGAAGTCAACCTGGGGTGTAATCCAGCCCTCGAAATCGGTGCCAAGTATCTTCCTGGCCAGCTCGTGTATTTTGTGATAATCACGATATTCTTGGAACTGCCGCTCGTGCCTTTGCAAATCGTCCTCGCTGAAACTGACTGGGCACTGGTCGATGAAGCCTAGATCGGTCCACGTCTTGGAAATCTCAATAAGACAGGCCCGAAGTGGTACTATGCCTTCTTCTGAGACCTCTCCACACCTGATGAAGAGCTCTCGTACAAATGATGGTATGCGCAAGGCTTTGTATGCCTGGTTGTTTTCAGATGCGCTGCTAAGTTCATACACCTTTGCTAACTTAGCTTCCTTTAACTTATACTCCGCATATTCTTTATCGTCTGCGTCCATCTCGTCATAGTTTTGTGGTAGCTTTGGGAGCTCAGTAGTGCCAAGGGAGTAGTATTCTTCAATTGGCAAAAATCCTGGGAAGCGGGCTTGTAAAAATAAAGGCGAGACTACATTCGACTGCCAGTCAATAAGCGAGACGATGTTGGCTGGATTTTCTTCAGACACGTAAATATTGCCCATGTGGAGATCGGTATGCCACAAGACTGGCTCAGAGACCTTGTTGATGAATGTAGACTCGTTCAACCTAGACATAGCCTCTTTGGTCGATTTTAGAACGGCGATTTGTTCCTCGAAGGATCCACAGGGTGGGCCAGAGGTAGCAGTCGTCAAGTTCTGTCTTAGGAGCGCAATCTCCCGGTCAACAAGCGCAATACCGAAAGAAGACAAATCTGGCCCTGTTGAGGAGAGTCAGCTAGGAAGTTCAGTTCAAGATGTTCCACTCACAGGGTCCTTGGTTGAGACGAGAATGCACAGACGCTATCTTGGCTGGAGCATACCACCCTCGCTCGCAAGATGGCCCTATACAAAACTGCCCAGAAGGGTCTACTCCACGATCCAAAGCGACATATTTGTTGTCATCTACCATAGACTCGCGGAGGTAAAGACTTCCGCTGGCAGGGAAGCGAATTTCAGTCATCTCGCCCTCAAGCTTTGTTAATTGCTTCACGACGCACAATTGATCCCAATCACTCATTTCAGCCCATATCTTGAATAGCTGTATTCCAGGAGCCTTTTCCATCATGATATATTCAGCACTAACGGGGTTTGATGGATCAGAATTCCAAGCTAGAACTTTCGGAACCGGAACTTGAGTATGCGCATGAACTGCCGACAGCAATATCATTAATCTGAGTTATAACAACAATTATAGACATAGGGGCCTTACGATATTGAAGAACAGCCACTTCAGACGCTGTGGTATACTTCGGCGGCCCAGCGATGGAGAACGGTATTTTCGCAATAAGTTCGCTTCCATCCTCCTTACACAAAAGGAGTGCCTTGCTGAAGCCGCCTTCCAGCTTTTCAATTGCACAGACAGGCGAATGTTGGCCGCCAGTAGAGGCGGCTACCGCGCAGAGTCGATCGACATCGAAATTTACATATCTGCGATCAAGAGCCTTTTTCTCGTTGGCCAGGAAACGTCCATTCGTGTATTTAAATAACTCTTCGCGGTTAATGGGCTTGCCTGCTATGATTTAGCTTCGGTTGAAGGTTGGGTATGCGTAGGCATTACCTTGGCATGTAATGGTGAGCGCTCGAGAGGGCTGAGATGACACGGAACGTTCGTTGGTGCTCCAACACCTTCTATTGATAGCCCGGAGCGCATGAGCCAATAGCATGACTGCTTCGCCTCAGTATATGATCTTTGGGGCGGGACAGGCAAGTGAGTAGCGATAGCAGAGGCGCGGTTTCCAAGAAGACGATCAGAATAACGTTAGTGCGCACCTGAGGCGCCGCCTAGACTCAATTAAGCAACCAGCACAAACGCCTGCAGTTCACGCTTTCGAGTTCAACGGGAGCTTAATATTTCCTTACATGCGCTAATGAAACACTCCTGCCAGACATTCTAAGCATTCCAGCTTCTAGCCCTTCGAAATTCTGCTTGTAGACGCTGCCTCGTCAAGCTCAATATCCTGCCTTCATTTCTATACCTTCCTGCTCTGTAGTGGAGTGATCTCTTGGTCTATCACCATCCAATATGCCGGTGCGAACTTCCTTTCATCACCAAACTTTCCCCTCATTCCACACGGACCTTGCCAAGACACTGTTTGTTCCTAAGTTTACTTGTTCCTCTTGTCTCTCTACCCATGATATCTTTATGAAACCTCTACGCGCTAATATGGGCTTCCTCATTACTTCGGCCTCGAATCCCGCGACCCTCCCCCTTACGCGCTCTAGCCGCAAAAGACTTATTGTTTTTGGCACGGATAAAGAACACAATTGGGGGACACAAGTGCGATGTTCACGCATATATATATTCGATTTTACCGAATCAACCCTTCTTTCACCGCTATGTGGCCTATTATCAAGCCAGATATCGACCGCCCAATTGCATTTGATGCACCGCCGCCGAATCTCGAACACATCAAATCCAAATCGTGTTCCACTCTATCCCCTACCCGAGCAGTTCCAGAACTCCATCTGAGAGTCTGAACAGTCCGCTTGTTCAGACTCCCACAACCTGTCTTATACGTGGCACCGAGGACGCCGAGCATTGTCGTACATGAAACGGGAGGAGGTACGGCATGGAAAATTGTCTTCTCAACATAGGATGAAGACAGCAAAATACTAGTAGAGTCCTCTTCACACAACAGCGAAAACGTTCCCAAAAGCCCCCTTTGCAATCCTTACCACGAAATTCGAGCAAAATTCTCACCACACTCAACGACCTCTTTATTGACCATCGCCGTGTATATCGCATGGTAGAACTCTTAACAGGTGCGCTCTACGAAAGCTACCCCTTAATTACCAACTCTAGGGCTCAAACCTTAGCATCAAAGGCCTTCAAGATGGTCTCCATCACAAGAATCCCTTGTCTTATCTCCTAAAGACTCGCTCTATTTCATCCTCTGCACATTCACTAAATCATTCCTAGTGCAATTTCGCGTTCTCATGTCCAAATAACACTCACGAGAGCATCATTCTCCTCTGCGTCGATAAATCCGAACAGGACAACTTGGCTCTCGCGTATGCGCTTCCTATAACAATAAACGAACCTGCAGTTACCCTGCTTCCTAAACATCCCGAACCCCAATTAAACGTCTCGCTTCCGCGGGTCGTGGGAGAGGCAGTCTACCTTCTCCGCAATTTGGCGTTGGGAGAGCGGGGGCTTTGACAGCGACTGGGAATTCGTTAATGAGGACTGTGCTTTGGATTCTAGACTTCAAATGGGAGATATGAGATATGAGGGATCTGTTGCCGGTGATGATGGATTAGTTGATCTAGTTGCTACTGGAGACGACTGTTTGGATGGAGGAAGTGGAGCAATTTTAGTAGATGGGATGAATGAAACAGTTGCTATGGATGATTTAATATTAGGACCGGAAATTTAAAGACGGAGGAGTTTATTGTTATATAATGCTATATATTCAAGGCTTGATCGTCATGGTAGTTAAGAGCGCGATTTCCAACGCCCAGAGAGAACCACCAGCCTCATCATACTACAGATTAGTCAGTCCAAAGCCATCGCAAACCATCCGACAATCCGACCCTGTCCCTCGAGGGCTATTAAATATTCAGGGTAAGATGTTATAATCCTGTAACTATGGCATCAGCTGCATTCTGAGGGAAGGGCAGTTGGCATGAAAGAGAGAAAGTAGATATGATCAGACAACAGCCTGTTTTTAATGTCATAGCAACCTCGTGGAATTGCAAGATTGCGATGTCTAAAGACCTAGTCCAGGTTTTGCAGTCCGGTTACCAGAAGGGTACCTCGACGGTTACCTTTCTTGTTCATCATTAGAGGGCAAGAGAACGAAAAGAGAGTGGGCGTATCGTACGTGGAGTTCGGGTTGAAAGGAAGAGGCGTAGCTACGGTGAAAGTGCGTGGGCGTGGAGACGAGATATCTAAGTACAGTATTAGCTGATCTGTCGTTTCTGTTCGGGCAGAAACATCATACCTTTTCGAGAGGAGTGCCTTCAGGCTGGGACTGAGCACCTAGGTGTGCTGGGAAAGGGTTGCAGGATAGTTTTGGCTGTGGTTCGGCGACAGGTATTCGGCGGGATAGATCTGTGGCTCCTAGATGTTTGGATGGGAATTAAAAAGGGCATTTAATCCAAGGAGTGCGACAAAACTGCGAAGAAACTGCTTTTTGAAGGACCGAAGGAGGAAATGTTTCACTTGAAGTAATGAAAGATGGTGTGGGTGTGTTGTTGCGGAAACAATTCAACCTTGGGAAGTGAATGACAATTGGCGTTAGGACGCAGTTTGGTTGACATCACCGCGGGCCAAGGATCAGACTTTGTCCACATAAGTGCCTGGATTGAGCCTTTCATGGAAGAAAAAAAAACGTAGATAGGCAATAGAAGTAATAACGAACAAAGCTCATGTCAAGAAAGGGGGAATTAGTGGCACCGAGACTGACTGTGAGCGCTGAACGCGAATTGGCTATCTGCTCAGCTATGCTACGTATATACTCCTTCGCTACGGCGGAATTTTCGATGCTTAACGCGAAGGTCATATTCCAGCTTTATTGTCACCCAGTTGACCATTGGATCCAGAGTTGTCAATTCGGGTGAGAATGAGGAGTGCGAAAGGGGGTCGGGAATAATGCATGGAACAAAGTTTTCCCGTTACCCTAAGGGTCATCCTTGCCCCTTGCGCAGATCATGAGCAACGTCTTCGGAACTCTAAACCCCACGCAACACGTTTGTATGACCAGCTCATTTCTTAATGCGCCAATATTAGCACACGAGAGACTTTGGCCATGGCTTGTATACCTACTATAACTGCCTTCCCGCGAAAACTTCACGAATCCTCCTCCGCCACATTCCCCTAAACGTCAAGCCATCCTCTATTGTCCCTAGAGCAGCGCAGCATCACGTCTTCTACTACGCCAGCGTGTGATTTGATGATATACAAGGCTTCACATGCATAGGCTGGCTGGACCTTAAACATATTCAGAAAAAGCGGGACTTTAAACGGCGCATGACGGGTTTTAGGTGCAATGTTGCTAATAAAGGCTTAGACTAGCGAAAAGGCTGCGATATAGCATCGATAGAAAAGAGCTCGGAATCCTAGCAGCGCTGCTTGTGCAGAGTAACGGAAGCCATGTAGTGGTGCTAAAAGTTAGATCCTCCATTTCTGTGCAGCTAACGCCTCGTAGCGATTGATCATAGTACCCCCTTTGATCACTAAACGATTCACTTAATCCATGTCTCTTTCTGGTCTCCATTTCCTTTGTGGGATCATACCCGAAATACACGGTGCTGGCCCTGGCCCTCGCCCACACCTATCTGGCGGACACCAAAATACCTTGGTGCTGTCTCGACACTGGCTCAAAAATCTGGCTCATTATATTCAAGCTGGAGGAGTATCCTTGGTCCAATTTTGAAAGCCCCGGCAATTCTGGAGTGTCTGCTCTCCTTTAAAGCCTGTGGTGGTTGTTGAGGCTTTCATTACTGGTACACTGTCCTTAGCCGGGATAGCGCACCATCTCAGTCCCTTCCCACATGGCCTCCACATGTCCTTCTTCATTACACTTGTCATCAAAAATTCTTCTCTACTGAGCAAATTAATGACTTTATATCTCGGTCTCATCATATACAAGCTTTTGATTCACAATGAACTCTGCCATCCCCTTGAACGACTTGACACCTGCTAGGTGCAGCTTTGAGGGGCAATTATCGAGATCTAACACCAGAGCTGCCCAGCGCCAGGATGATGGGGAAGGAAATGAGCAGCGGAGATCAACTTCTGAGGTATGCGGCCGCTCTTTCCGCTGTCTAGTTGTCTCGATGCTAGAGTCCTTTGCGACTTTGTTGCTAATTGTCAATGCCCACAGTCTCCTGCGATGGGAGGTGGAGGGCCAATTCAGCGAAGGAGATCTGGGCCTTCGAGCCTCGAAGCCAGAATAGCGCGGACTCGCAACTCAACATCGAGCATCCACCCCTCGAGAACACGAACTACCACGCCACCGATTCCTACGGTTCCTGGTGCTGCTCATCAACCCAATGATCCTCAGTGTAGAACAACCGCCAGCCCGAACCTCCCAGAAGACGGAGGGCTCATTGATCGGCAACCGACACCAATACCGCCACAAATGTTGAATGAAGGTAGAAGAGCATTGCCAGCACGATACCGCCACCAGCGCCAATCTGCGACCCACGACGTTACTCCAGAATGGCAGGCCGACAGCGACCCGTATCGCTATCAAACTCTAGCTCGCGTTCGGTCTAGCTCTTCGACGTCTGAACAGTTCCGAGACGGTAGACCGACTCCAGGAGTAAATAGTCAAGCACCCGCCATCCAGACTACCTTTGAATATAACCTCGTAACCAAGGAGTATGAGGCAGTCACGACGGCAAACCATGCAGTGATTGAACGAGCAGCGCGGAATGCAGAGAGACGGAAACAGCAGCTCCAGAACATGGAAGAGATGCAAAATTTTAACAATGCTCGTCGAGCTACGTCACCCAATAACATAGCCAGCACCAACATGTCTTTTTCTCAACGCTCTCACTCGTCATCAGTAAGCGCCTCCGTACGGAGAGTTCATTTCGACGACCAGGACAATCAGGAGCAGCAATCCTACAGACCCCAACGTCACCCAGCTTTTGAAGGCCGGTCTGTCATGCGGGAAGGGATGCTAATACCTAGGCCTTACGATCCTGACAATGAAGAGCCTCTTGACGCAGAGCTCTACGATGATGCAGAGCACCCCATTATTCAGCCCGAAAGTGATCTTATGTCACCACCTGGCACCTCTCAAGAGCCACCAACTGCTTACACACGGTCCAAAGGTAAACAGCCCGCAATCCCTCAAATTTGGCTTGATACTCCGAACCGCGACGCCATACCTCCCAACGCGCCAGTCCCTCATAACTCCTCAGAAGGGTCGCATCGTCAACGAGCGCCCAGTCCACATCCCCACTCTATTCTCCGTCGACCACACCGCCAGCGCATCGATCATATTCCATGTTATAAACGGGCATACCGAGCCATCCGCGAACAACCAGAAATCCACCCCGATGACCTCGATCCGCCCATTCCATGGTACAAGCGTGCCTACCGCGCTATCCGCGAACAACCACAGGAGCATGGTCCAAACATCACCGGAGCAGCCTTCATCATGCAGCTCGAGCACGACATTGCTCCCACGAATTGGGCTCTCCATATCTTCCAATTCATTTCTTGGCTCACGTTCATAGTGCTATTCCACTTTTGGACAACCAAGAGCAACAAGAAAGTGGCAGTAGACTGCTTCGAGCTGAAAACAATGATGTATGCTCTCGCACTAAACCCCGGATCCAAATCTTTGAACAGCCCCGGCAACTTCAACAACAGAAGCTTGTCAATCCCATCTAGCGTTGAAATCCCTGCGAAATTCTTCAAGAATGGTAGATTGGACTCTTCAGTCTGCGTACTCTCTCCTCTTGATAAAAGGCTCACTCTATTCGACAAATTCCATGGCCAGTTTATTATCGGCATGGTATGCGTGATGATGGCGAATCTCTCTGAGTTTCTCATATTCAAGGCGTTGTCCTTGGTGATGCAGAAAAGTGGTGCGTATGGGACGAGAACGCTCTTGATTAGGGTTGTGACGGGGCTTGTGTCAGCGGCTATTGGGAGCGCATTTATAATGTGGTGGGCTGGTACCGCTCAGGGGCTTTTTAATTAGTTATTGATAGATGGAAGCTGTTTCTGACGCTATTTGTGCAGGCTTTTTCTCAAGTTGACATATTTCCCTATCTTTGCGTTTGACAGCAGATGGCTCGAAATGTTTACGTCTGAGTAGGGAACGGCTGTAGCAAAATTGGTAAGTCTCTTGCTAAAACTCTAGAATAGCACTCTCCTTCTAATTCGCCTCCTGATTCTACGTTTGTAGTAAGCTGGCTATTGTCTTCTGCAGTAAATTTCGAAGACTAAAATGTAAAGAAACGCGGATTTCACGATGAAAGCTGTGGTGGCCTCCCTTGCTTGTTCGATATCTTAATTGTTTGAGTTCTACCTGTTTGACACTCACGTATACTTAGATCCAGGACATTTCCTGCTTATAATATCGTCGCACAACCTCGTTCCGAGGTCATTTAGTCTTTTATCTTCATTGGTTTTTGGATAGGTTGTGCATTGGGGTTTTGGGAATTCAATATTGGAAGGGGATAGAAGAGAATGCACATTGAACGTGGCTTGAGCCTCGAAATATACATTTCCAGTTCGGTAGGCTGGCAGGTGAATTTATCCACATGCTTGACTACCTATCGTTCTGAGAAGATAAGCTTTGAAGAGAAGAGTCACGTGAATCCCTCCTGAATACACGCAAGCTAAGTGAGTAGGTCATTTACAACCTCCCAGATTAGTCAACTTAGCACTGAGGTGAATCAAAGAGATACATCAAATACCCGAACAAAGGGTCATGTACTCATATGCCACCACCAATATTCTCGAACATTTCAAGCACACTACGCTGCTAGTAAACATGAACGGGATAACCTTTTCCAACTCTGTACGAGAGAGTTTTAGAAATCAGAGCCTTACAGATGAAATCCTGAATAAGTGGTTCAATTTATTAATTGACATCCTTTTCATTCATTCCTCATCCAGCTACTCTACCAAGAGTGCTCTCCAATTGTAGCTCTACCATTCGGTCGGCTTGCACTTCCAGGAGTCCTTTTGCGTGCATGGTTTCTCTGACGGGTTTGGCTTCTTCGTAGTCGATGGCGCAGGTGTAGTTGCTGCCGTAATGGTCGCTGGCCCTGGAGGGCACAAGGATTCTGGAGGGTGCACGGTTGGTTGCGTGCAGGTGTCGAAGCAGCTAAACGGAATTTATTAATTACTGGAGAGACCTGGAACGAGGCAGATTGGGTTTACCCTCCGTAGCCCTTAGTCTCACCGTTAGCGCAGACTGTAATTGCATCAATGCAAATGCTGAGCACAGAGCATGACGGGGTAGGAGTTGGAGTCCAGGAGGGCGGTTTAGTAGGGTGAGCTGAAGGTGGACAGTGGGGCTTGGTGAATGTTTGGAGGCGCTCGGCTGGAGAGTCGCATTCATCCCAGCAACTGGAACGGATTAGCTCGTAAGCTTTAATTGGGTTTTACGAGGGTCACTGAGTGTAGGCAAGTTGCTATGAGTACGAACAGGATGCTAAGTGGGAATTTATTGCGGCGCTGGGACGTATGAGATAGATAGATACATACCCACCGTATGGCATGTTGCACTCATTGGTTGCTGTGTAACAATGTTCTTTTGGGCAACCTCTCGGAGCGGGATTAGCGGCAGCGAGGAAGGCGAAACCCAGTAAATTAAAGTAGGTGGCTTTCATGGCGTGGGAGTGCACGGAAATTGCTGATGTCGTGTTCGTTCTTTAGGCGAGAATGTGGTCCAAAGCAGCTTCGAAATGGGATCCTGAAGTTGGAGGATGCAGATCAGGTGGCAAGTTAAGGTAAAAAGTAAGCCCCGAAGTCAATGATTGACACAGCTGAAGCCGCTGATTATATAGATCGACTTCGGTGGTGATCCGCCGCGAGATTGAAGCACGGCCCTTGAGCTCAATAAATCGTTCATCTAAAACATCTCCTCCCCGGAAGTCACTCGTAGCGAGCACGAAACTACCATCATTCTCAATTTTCCTGTGTTTGAGGCCTCTTCCATAAGTATTGATATCTTGTACGCCCGGTGGTGAAAAATGATTGATTACTGCCGAGGTGTTGGCCAGATACATCTCTCATGTGGTGGAAACGCCTCTAATAACATTCCTAAGAAGAGAAGCGAGGTAAATGAGTGGAAGAGGGAAGCCTGGCAGCTAGCAGGCGGAGAGGGAGCATTCCAATCTTTATTGTGGCGTATGCAAGGTAATATGTCTCGTTTTTTTACGTTACGAACAAGACTAGCTGAGATGGGACAGGTTTTGTATGAGGTGAGGATTAACAGCGTGATGTGAGTGCAGCTATTTGATCTAGAAGCTATACCAGTTTTCTTACCGTATTTGCAATCTTATCAGCACACATCTCCTCACGAGGTTTCTTCTCACGCGTTCGGGAGAACAACAGGTTTTGATGCTTCGCGTGAGATGGGAAGACTCGAGGATAAATTTTAGATTATCCGCACACGTGCCTGGGCGAGGGACAGTAGATCCCCGGGTCCACAATACTCAAAATCCGAGAATATTTTGCATTCCGCAGCATTCGCGGGGATGTTACGTGGCGGCAAGGGGGTCGTACCGGTAATCGGGAAGGCAATGAAGTGGGTTCATCTATCAGTCTTGGCATCGGACCATAAGAGAGTGATTAGGCTATAGCGAGATATCAGCATGCGGATATGACTCAAATAACACAGCTATGATGATTGCAGAATATGTTTCCTCGAGGTGCGGTGTAATGGCTTCTCCAACATGGCGAATTGATACCCAGGCAGCGCCGAGGTAGAGATGAGGTCTTAGAGAATGGGAGACTAATATTGCATGGAACATAACTTTACTAGAAGCGGAGTCCAGTACTCTCTTCCTTATAGGAATAAAGGACTTTTGACAAGTGTTGAACGTAATGGCACGGATCTCATACATATCCACGGAGCGCGCGATAGAGAGTTCTTCAGAAATATGATCTTATCGTAATTTCTTCTGAACCATCTACATATGCTTCCGGATACCTGGAGCAATGTCAGTAGCCGCGCCAATGACCAGGTACAGCGAATATTGACGAAAAGGCGAGTGCCATCGGGTGCTCCACATCTAAACGAAACTGGAAGCAACTCTCCCCTTTAAATGAAATGTATGTCGTATATTGATAAGGCATACTCAGTCTTGTTGACGGATCGGCCCTGGTTTTGGAGGCAATCCTGAGTCTTGATTACTGAAGTTGTACCATAGCATTAGCGCGGTGATGGTTGACCGGTAGATCCTGAATGTAGTAATCTCATCAGAAAGCGGAGCTTGAAAATGGTTGTCAGGAAGAAATGGGCGACGATTCGTCGATATTACTCTACTATATCGTCCGGCGGTAAGGACCAATAGGATTTCCAGTCGTTGCGTTTGGGGTAGAAGCGTAGAAGTCACATCGAGATAAGCTGCAGATTTTAGACAGGAAATCTTAGCATGAGAAATCTAGACATTGATAGAGTCGAACCATAGAAGGGTTGATGGTGGGAGATGCAAAGACGCATAGTACGTCAATATTGTGTAGCGTAGTTTACACGAAACCTAGTCGCTAGGTATTTTTTTCTCTTCCGGGATGGGGAGTCCCATTTCTTCCAGCACGACACCACCACCCTAAGCCAAGGATCTGGGAAGAGGCCTCTGATACCAGCTCTCCATGGTGAAGTCCTTCTTCGGCCCACTGACATCGTACGTGATTCCAAAGCAATCCAAAGCTGCGCCCCTGAACCTGAATTCGCTGCTGCTCTTATACGTATCTGGATCGCACCAATGGCTTCCATTGGCAATCCAGCCCTTCCCGCTATCGGTTGACTCTTGGAATTCCATCTGATTAAAAAACCTCTCGACGCTTTCACCATCTTCTTTAACGAACCAAGCAGTGATCTTATCTGAGGCTTCATTGTAACGGTAAACGTATCGCCGCGTCGCTGGGAATGAGTAACCGTTATCCGTAGTAAAAGTGCCCTGCTCTATATATAGGTATTCCGCCGCAAACTCTGGGGAACTTGGGATTCTGGGGTGAAACGCTGCGGTACCCTTAAGCGTTCCTCCTGGGGCAGCTGGCGACTTTGAGTCAATTTTCCGTCGGAGCGTCCAGTTTCCCTGCATCCCTCGAAACGCTGCGACTGCTACGAATCTCGCATTTTTTTCTGAGTCGTCAAGCACTATCTGTAGCTCTTGGATAATATTTCCAGCTTCGCCTCCTTCAGTAGCATACCTAGCCGCAAAACAAGGTCCTTCCTGTCTGCCAAACACCGAGTCATTGCGCTGGATCCCCAGCATACGAGAAAATTCTTCCATAAATCCCATGTAATCGCCCATCCAGAATTGCTGAATGTTATTTATCCGAGACTTGATCATCTTCCTTATATCTTCCATCTCTTGGACGTCAGTGATGGATGACCCCGAACCTTCCTCTCCATGGGTTATACCACTCCATCTCGAGGTTACCATCCGCGCCTGCATTTCCATAAAACCCCAATAGGGACCTTGGTAAAACCCGACAAACGCCATTTCTGGTATGGAGGGATTGAATACCGAACCGCGGGAAAAGAGCGTAGGAACTTGTCGACACTTGGCGTCGTACCCGAGAGCTTCCTTGATCGATTCAGGCAAGTAATCAAGGTTCGCTTGGAAACCTGTCGCTTCGATGATGCCAACGACGTTGTCGATTTTTGACTCCTTCAAGAGATCAGCATCTGTAAATAGGGGAACAAGGGGTGAAACACCCACGCGCTGATCCGATACACCCCAAGGCTCTTCTGAACGAACCTCCACTCGGGCGGTCCCACTACGCCCTCCATCCTGAACGATCGTACCGCGGCCTCGAACAGGAACAATTAGGCCACTCCTTGCAAACTCAGTATAAGTATCGGTGATACCATTGAAAGCGGGAAATTGCATCTCCTCTGGTTTGTGTACAAGTTCGGGATATCCAACGTCTCGCTGATCGCCCCCTACTATCGATCTAAGGTAACTGTGGCCCTTCCTTGCGTTCTCTGGTGGAACACGGCCAAGAGGTGCAGATATCGGACCTTCACCCCTCCTACTCAGATTGTACAACACAATGTCTATCGGGAGAAACTTCGGGGCCAGTTTGAAGTTTTGAACGGACGGTTCGTATGGATCTTGAGGTAGGTATCGGGGTAGACAGTAGAAAGGACGGTTGAGGACATGGTAGACTTTGCACTCTGACCAAGCAGGCTTGGGCTGACCCGGGGCATATTTTGCATCCGAAATTTGGAAAGCGGCAGTTGCTGCAGCTTCTGAGCCACTGATTCCGCCTCCAATGACCACAATATTGCCGGGCTTGTTGGTCAACGACGAAACATCACGGAACTCCGACGAATGAAGGACTTTTGTAGCTGCAGTAGAGGTTGAGGCGGAATAAGCTGCCGGGATTTCAGGTCGATCGTAAAACCCACTGGCCACGAGCAGGTAGTCGAATTCGTCGTTTCTAGTTTTCTGAGAGGTCTTATCGATTGAGGAAACGCTCCACCTCCGGGTCCCTGCAACAAGTTCTGCCTTGGTGACAGCTCGATTGCAATTAATGATGGCGTTGGGAATGAACTTTCTAGCGTATTCCTGAAGATATCTCCCAACTTGCCAAGCGTATGGAAACATTGGCGGAGGAGCACTAGACTGCTGTCCATCCTGGGCATCTGTGAGATTGACGGAGTTCCAAGAGAGATCTGAGAAGGCCACCGTAAATCTGCTCAAGTTGGTTCTCATATCTGGACTGCACTTTGCACCCTCTTCACCTCTCCTGGCCCTCCACATGCCACCAACACGTTCTGCAGACTCGAAAACCGTGACTGTGAACTTGCCGGGTGCGCTTTGTAACAGGGTCTTGGCGGTCACAAGCCCGGCTGGCCCTGCCCCAACGATAAGGACCGATTTCATGACTGCCGGTGAGCTTGAAACACAGAATGGGGGGATCAAGTGTAACGCTGCTCTAGAGATAGATGGCGTCCGAGCCTTGCTTCTGGGGTTGAAACAGGGATAAGCGGATCGGATCGCCGTCCGCGAGATAAACGTCGGTTAATGACGTCGAGTAAGGGCCTCTCTTTGCATTAAGGCAATCGGAGAGGCGCCAATTCCGCCTTGAAGGCTCAGTGGGCCAAGTGGGATGAAGAGTGAGGGTGCTGATGCCGTACCCCTCCAGCCAGGAAGTTCAAGTGTGCGAGTCAGTCGTGCCCCCCGCTGACCGAACACGCGAGTCGCATACCGAATATCCACATGGTGCACTTAAGACAGAAAAGAACAGAAGCAAGTCTAGAGTTATAGTCTGGGATCAAAGATGCTTATACAGGCTTCAGGTCAATAATCCCGCATTAATCAGAGAGTTCTTCATGGTGTCGAACTGCGTCTTTCCAGTCTGCAGCATTCAAGTCAGCGCATTAGAGGCAACTAGAGGCTGAGCAGCATACCGATATTAGATAGCGAATATGACTCTGCATCAACGTCAGTGCATTCACTCGCTTTCGTCATGTAAGATGGAGCGGGGTAGGATGCGAAATAGAACAATGGTGAGCATCATCCTGCTGGTCTTATATAATCCAACAAGAGACATAGCAGATCAAACCACCTTCATCAATGTTCCGTAGTAGGTTTCAATGTGCGGAAGGTAGTCGGGAGAGACTTACAAGATCAGTGACATTTCTATGCCGCTCAAATTCAGCTCTAGCAAACTGCTGCATGTCTCTCTTGGTTGCTGCATCTGAGATACCAGCTGTGCTTCTCATAATGTCCCTCCACAACGCAAGTGCACGTTGTCGTTGAAGGAACTTTGCAATAATTAGCATCAAATATCGTTATTGTAGCTATGGAAGACACACATGGTCAAGCCCAAGGGGGCTTTTGCCTCTCTGTTGAAGGAGCGAGGGGTTTCTTGCCGCTACAGTGGCATATTTCCGCATCATCCTATCCACTGTGCTGCCTCACGTTCGAGGCTATTGCTTAAAGCTATTGTATAAGAATAAAGAGCATGCAAAGCTAAAAAGAGATGAATGAAAGTTGCTATTTTTGAATAGCTTTGCTTATGTCGCCGGCATAAAGCACTTTTGTAGCATGGCGCGTTTTCGCTTCACCGCCCGGCAGAACGCGTCTTCCACCTCTTCACAGTCCGCCTTCCTGGCATCACCTTTCCAACAGCCAATAGCCAACAGCCTCTCCAAAAATGGCACCCAAGCACAAGGCAAGCGGGGAGCCACTTCGCAAGAGGAAGAAGGTCTCTACGGACCGTTCCGCATCGTGGGTAAGAAAGACAGTCGAGCCCACAGCCTACGAAATTCCCCCAAAGATGCAGTCCGAATGCATCAACCTGCTGAGCAGGAACCACTTCGTGCGCCTCTTTCTAGGGCCTTTCTGGGAAAATTTGCTCTCGCCTCCTAAGGCACTTCACATCTCGATCCGAGTTGAGCTCGCTAGAGATATGACGCAAGAAGAGTTCGAGGCCTGCTTCCACCTGGTCGAGTCTACATCCTCCTCCTCCTACAAGTCCTCTAGCATAGGATGGAACCCGGCCGGTAAGAAAAAGGAAATGTGTCACAGAGACATGAAATACATCCTCGTTCGAGCCGCCGCTCCCAGCAAGCACATCGTCGGTTTCCTCTCATTCATGTACACCTACGACGATCCCCCAAACGATTGGCTATCAGTTCTCTATATCTATGAAGTCCACCTCGAGGAGGAGCTGAGAGGCTCCGGCCTCGGCTCACAGCTGCTCGGCATTGCAGAGTTCCTGGCGAAACGAGCTGGAATCACAAAGACGATGCTCACGGTCTTCACGAGCAATACACGGGCGATGGCGTTGTACCAGAAGCGTGGATATAAGAAGGATGAATGCTCACCAGCAGATAGGCAGATCCGGAACAAAGTTGTTGTCGCCGATTATCGCATCATGTCCAAGGCCACCCATACCGACGATTGCTCGCAATACGAACTAGATAAGATCAAGCAGACCAAAGACAATTTTGATGAGATGGTGGCGGAAACGTCGGGAGATAATGAGCACGAGGATACCGGGCAGCGTGTTTCCCCTTATCCTTAAACCAGTACTCTTCTCGGGCCACCGAGAAAGAAGAATGACAAAAATCATCAGCAAGCATTTTTGGAGTTTGGATACGCATCAGATACCCTGGAAGCATCTGGTGGAGGCAATGGTTCACATTGGGTGCACTTCTTGGCGTTTCTATTTTTTCCAAGCACAGTCGATATAAGACTTATCAAAGATTTGGTATTCCTACCGCAGATCACCATTCCATACAATTCCCCTCCCGCGCAAGGACGAAACGCGTTGTCGTCGTTGGTGGCAGCAACATCGGGAGCGATTTCCTCAGCACCAGTATTCTTCATGAACCCTTTGACCTGTTAGATTCGATGGCTTCTGCTCCGACGAAAGGAATTAGAGAATATGATATTACAGACCTTCACTAGTAGCATGAGAGACATTGATCTTCACGTCCCATGGCTTTGGAAGCACCTCCATATCTAGAGACACCCATTTCGTGTGACTACTATTGCATCCCTCTCGCCCCGGGTAAGGCCCTCTGGATCCCAGACCAATTGTCCTCGGGCACGTGTACCAAGTCAAGACTCAAGGCGGTCAGCGGGATCTCTGCTATTGCTCATGCTCTGTCTAGTATACCCCATTCCCAGGCATTATACGGCCAAGAAAGAATGTTCAGACCCAGGTGTACCAATTCGGCCAGGCGATAGACAACAGCTACATCACTCCCAGTCAAGCTGTATTATGGTCCGAGCACGTACTAGAATTCTCGAGAGCAAAGCGCGTCTTTGTAAATTATCTATCTACTATATAGTTAAACTTTATTCGACACGAGCCAAATTCCATACGAATTAGCGAGCGTTGCTCAAGTTTTCTCGTCACGGTTATTCCTCTTACTTGATCACAGTATCTCTACCTCTTAAACTAACACATCCACAGAACTTAAGGGTTTCTGTGATCAATCCTAACCCATAAAACGTATTTCACATGCCAGATAAAATTATAGTCCGTCCAGAGTAGCGAGGGTCCCTATAGAGCTAGAGTTAGAAAACAGTCTTCAGGAATATCTGCGTTCATCATAGGTTTAGCTATACACGAAGTATCTCACGAGTATATACAATACGCAGACAAGAAGGCAATATTTATCTTATCCCTACTTTCCTTTATGATCAATATATTCTTTACCTATGCTAGTGATCTTATTGGGACGACTACTACAACCTCCATTTAGACGTAGATCAGTTAAAGTAAAAGATAAGAATCTTAGAGCAGGAAAGGGAATTGTAAATACAATCCATTCCAATCCTTCAGTTTAAATTATCGTAGGGCCTCTAGATTTTAGGAAGCACCTGGTTCTCAAAGCCTCCAGTTTATTGTTCGTTCAAGAGTGGCGTTGAGTACAGGCTGATCTTGCGACCACCGGAAGCCTTGGTTTTGTCTAACTTGCTAAAGGAGCATTTCATATCTTTCACATTTCAGACCCACGCAAAGGATTTATCTATAAACGTATTCCGTTAGCTATCGTCCTATATCCCAGGGTATCTCTACGTTATCTCCCTGAACGCCAAATTAGGTATGAAAAGCCCGATTACGCTACAAAAGCTGGTTGGAAGTGGGTGGTGGAGACCGGAACCTCAGGGTGGTGCTGAGGCTACAATGATTAGGTAATTCTCGCAAGTATGAAGACGAGGAATTGCTTGCTTACTAGTTGCTGATCGGAAGTGGGTTGCTGGTAGAACTAGGTTGTCTTCTCCATCTTTCAACCACGCGAGAACCACTTCTGATAATCCCAGCTCCAGGCCGTTGGTGGCCAACTCGCTGTCGAGGCACAGAGAGTGGCGGTCCGTGTCCGGATCTTCGACATAATCAAAATGCTCCACTCCTACTACACCCACTGCCCAGTTGATCCGAAGTGTCACCGTCGCACCGTCTGGACTGTACAGCCACTGAGGGGGGTTCATCAAACGATGAACGATATTCTGCAAACTATCATCCTGGGAGATGATCTGCTGCACAAGAGATGGGGCGTACAAGCCGGGCGCTGGCCCAATCTCTGGAGCGGATTCGCTAGAAGAATACCCCGTGTCTTGGGCATCAACACCTCGCTGACTCTAATATAAAACGTTAGACAAAGGATCGAAATTGTAGAATAAGCTATAGAGAAACTCGCTAGATCGGGTTCTTGATGCTCGCCCTCCGATGGAGACTCAAAAGACGATTGAGAGGAGCTCTCCGACATCTTGAATTATACTGTCGGTGGATAAGATCTGAGTAGGGTGAAATTAGTAGGGAGAGGTCGTATAAAAGCTTGTGAAGTTTTGAATAAGGGAATGGGAGATAGAGAGGGTTGCCGACGGGGGCACAGAGAGCTACTCACGTGCGTTCACTTGTGGCAGCCGTCTCGCGCCATGGAGGGATTCACCCCTGCGCCGTCGTTACCCGAGAATGGGAATCACTCTGCCTTGTGATGGGCTTAAATACGCGAAGAATATAGTTTGATATTCAGGCCCGGAATGTCGGTCGGGAGCGACGCAATCACTGCAATATAGTTCGTGCTTTCTTAATTAATCCAGCAGTTGCACATAATTAATAACAAACTAAATTGCTACAATGATCTTTCTGATTGAAAGATCTACGAAAGGTGTTGTTTTCAACAATTAATAATCACGTGCGAAACAATTCACTACCCTTCAATGGCAATGAAATTAAGGAAGTGAAAGCTACAGTTCAGAGAGCCAAAACTAAAATTTTACATAAACTAATCATTTAAATGCAGAGCCAACAAAAGGCATCCTATACACAGTGAAACACCCTCATTCCTTTGTAGCTAGTCACTCTTCCGTTCGTAGATTGTTTGATGGAAAATATCGCAAGTTCACGGATAGAACCCTTTTGATTGTCAGGATCCGTAGCCGCTCCTCTGTGTTTCCTTTGGCCCACTCCTTGCTATCACTACCATCTTCCACATCAGCCTTGCCGTCTTGTTCCCGCTGTGCTTCTCTTGCCTCTTCGCCTGCTTATTTGCCTTCGCTTTTTTTCAGGACTTCGGCTTCTTGGGCGTATCCTTCCGCAGAAGTACCAGTAGTCCTGTATCCCCACCCAAACTGCGCATCCAATTGTAGGGCATCTTCAGTAAACCAAGCGCCAGGCTATGAGTTCAGATTTCGAAGCCTTTCCAAAGAACACCGCGTCCATTGACCAGTGAATGCTCCACATCTTTCTAACCTAATTATCTCGACAGCGCACTAGATGTCAAGGGGGGCAGCGTCATCCTTTTGCCAAGGTTCGTCGTTCGGATCTTGCAAGTGGCAATCCAGTTCTGAAAAGTACAGCGGATATCTATGGGTGTAGATAGCGTTGGCAAATGCTGCAGAACGGTTTCATTTAGTCTTGGAATTGGGACAGCATTTTTTGGTTACTGTGGAGGTACTCCAGACCCCGCAGAAATGGACCGGGTGGCGGTAGGATTGAGAGACGTTTGGCGCGGGTTAGGGATTAGTCGGGGTGCCTGCAAATTACCAACATACCGTACCCCGACGACGAAAAGGTGGAGCCTCTTGGAAACCAACACCAGTGAAGCATCTAAGGGTGGCAGAGGGTTGTGGTGAGCAATCTTGCCATATGCACAATCACAGCTTGACGATGTAGCTTGAGAGTGTTGCTCCTTCTCACAAAGATTACCAGTTGCTGAAGTTCAGTGCTATGTTGAGGTATTATATCTTGTTATATTTTTCAAACTCGTACTGGGACCAACGTCTTCTTATGAGGAAGAATGGCCTGTTGTATTTCTAGGAGGGGATCATGGGCACCAAATTCTCGTAGCGCTGTCCGAGCTCTAAGTGGGGCGGAGCTGCTAGGGGCGTAAATGACTGCGTATCGGAGCTTTCTCTTGCAGGAACCAAGCCTCACCGTTTGCTAGTCCTGCTGGAAGTGCACTAAGGTCGGGACTTTCCAAGGCAAAGAAACTACATGCGGAAACATGTCTCTTCTGTCTAGCCAGTGGGCGAGAAAGGTGTTCGGAAATCTGTTTGCCAATTTCGCTCCTAAACCGATCGAAGGTCGGTCTGCTCCTTGCTATCTATTTTTCGAAGTCTAGATCCTTATTACCTCTTCCGTAGGCCACTGATCGAACACGTGCACTCAATATCCTTCTCTATAGACGTTCCAACTTTGTACAAACTTAGGTGGGCGGGGTGTGGTCGGTCACAGCAATCGGTTGTGTGGAGAGTATAAGAATACTTCGATTTAGATCAAGAGTTGTGGAAACCTGCACGTTCGCATCTGGTCCGTTTACTCGACCATCAAATGCTTTATTCTGGCTTCTTCGAGCAGTTTCAGGTAAAGAATGCTGGTGGCCTATGCCGTGGCATAGATTACTGGATACAAACAGATCAGGGGGGGGACGTTTGACAAGACAGGAGTTTGAATCCTTCAAGATTGTGATCTCAACGTACGGCACTTCTAAATTTGTATTCTGCGTGGCGTTGGAATATGAAATTAAATCACCCTCGTCGATGCTTTTAACCTCTCGCTTTACGCCGATCACGTGCAGCTTGCACTAACAACCCACCATACCGCCACAAGGGGGTTTCGTTCCCGCAATATGCTGTGTCTTACGACAGCACCTCCTCAACTACCCGTGCTATTCTGTGGCCTTCATGAACATGTTGCAACTTTAATTATTCAAGTTTCATGCAAAGTACTGAGACCTACATCTTCAAGTCATTCGACCACATTTCATCCATAGCTGCATTAAAGTTAGGATGCATTTCATTATATTGCAAGCTACCTTTAAGCCCAAGTATTAGAATAAACTCCCAACACCAATTCCAACAAGGCGGCTTTCATACCTCCGAACCCTTACTTCGTGCCACTCTTAAACTTCGTTAACGGAACTCGCAAAACGTTAGTCCGATGACCTTCATCCCCACACAACCAGAGAACATACTCTGGCAACAACCCAAATTCAGCTCCACGAGTCCGCAGCTCAGAATCCTTCTTCAAGATGATACGATGGATTTTCTGGCTGAATTCTAGGTGTTTCGAACCCACAACTTCCACTACCCATGGCAGGCTGATTTGGACAGTCCTCTGTGGAGATATAAAATGCGATGGTGGAGTCATCAATTTAGCTGCAATCTGCTCCGCAGTCGCTGTGGAGGGGTTGAATGGCCTATCTAGAGTGAGAGCGGGTGCCGATGCGATCAGAGATTGAGGAAGACAGGTTTTGAATGTCTTGAAACCTGGTGGTGGTGGGAAAGATTGTGGATAACTAGCCCCTGTGCTCATATATGGAAAAGGAACCGCGGGGCTGACGTAGTGTCCTGTTGCAGCGAGACTCTGAGAAGGATTATTGAACCGTCCTCCATCACTAAAAGGCGGGTACCTTAACGGGTTGATATTGTGGCCATAATCTGTAATGCAGCCCACGGTATTCAAGCATTCCACATTCGGAGAATAGATATCCTGAGACTCTTGTGGAGTCAGGGTTGGGAATTCAACACCCTGAGAATGTGTGTCTGCGTGAGAGGATTGGAATGCATCCCCATCAGCCTTCTTCGCTTCCTTTGGTGGTTTATAATCATAGTGCCATTTTGGTGGTCCATGTAGTGAAGCGATCTTATTGTGCGGAGATGGTATGAACTCGAATGAAGAGATTGAGCATGTGGGCGACGTCGGAACTTGATCAATGTAACGTTCAGACATGGCGATCATTTAAAGTATTCTCAAGGTAAGTATGTAGTTCAAGATGCTATTTATAGTATTGCGACGAAAAGGCAAGAGGTATTTAAGAAAACGATATATTTCCCGCTCCGATGTAGAATCGTGAAAGTACATTTTCACCATCAAATAACTTCATTTCGGGTGCTCACTAAGGCCATTGTGCAGCTTCGTATCTCCAACTCGTTCCGTGATCGAATACATGAGATTACCGTTAGCTTAAACAATGTATTATTAGTCCGTTCCCATATGCCAAGCATAAGTAAACTATAAAACATCTCTTATTTCCAGCATTGTAATTCCACATCCCCTTCTTGCTGTGGGCATGACTTCCCTTATGTCAGGTTCCCAATTACTAACCTAACGTTACATAACATTCTAGGAGGAAATCAGCCGCTCTGTAGACGAACACTTTCGTGCGGGGATAGGATAAACGTTGTACTGCTTGTCGTTAGCCAGAGGTGGCGAGTCCATATAGTTCGCGCTGCACTAGACGGAACAACCATGACGTTATGTCATTTTTACAGGGAGCTTAGTCGCAAAATAAGCTACTTTATAACCCGTTGGATGAAGCATAGAGATAATTGATATATGGGCGGGGTGGGCGTTGGGTTTGAGTGAGGCTGGAAGAGTACTCAGTGGATGGGAGAGTGCTATGTTATAGCTAACGTCTAACCCTTTTGCGGATTTGCCTGCGCTAGTGGAAGACAATATAGTGCTTGATAGCCGCTGAGATGTTTTGTAGGGCTCAGTAAGCCTAAATTGCTACTCGAGTTCCTTTCGGCGCCTCCAGCCACTGCTCTCTATTTTTACTCTCCCACCAGGCATCAGAATCCTCTAAAACAACAAAGATACACCCGAGAAGCACGCTAACTCTAGGATAGGGCTAGCTGTAGCGCACGTGATAGATGGCTCGAGCGCTTCACGCCCTCCATAAAAAGCTCCCCTTCCCCGCCAACCCCATCTCTTCTTCCTCAGCTTTCTGTGAGTTCCTTCCTCTCCCCTCTGCACTTGATGCCTTGCTAAAGTTTCCTAGCTGCCTTTTGGCTCAGAGCTTAAGTGAAATAAGTTCTAGGTTGGAGTGATGCCCACCAGGTAGTCGATAGGCTATCATAATCAGAATCCCTTATTTTTGACCCTGTCCGCAACTCACTGGGCTTGCTCAAAGTTAGTGGGAACAGTGACGCTGGCCCCAGCACCACCGCCGGCTGTCGCGAATGGGATTTTCCTCTTCTTTGAACATCACTCAGCGCTAAGTACTTCCCTCCCCTTCTTTGTCGAACGTCTAACTGCATGGGCCATTTATAGGGCTTAAGGAACTTGCGAGGAGTGTGTGAAAGACCACACTGGGCATGAGGTGGGCCTCGCGTCAATTTTTTTTTTCATTATGCTCTCTGGCATTTGCTTAGAGGCTTGAAGAAGAAAACAAGTCATTGAAAATTCAAAGTTCGGCCTTAGTGTTTTAGTGTGAAGTACCTTTACCAAAGCTGTTCGCGACGCTGGAAATCTGTCAAGCGTGTAAATCACTCGACTGCCATTTATCCATGTGACTCTTACCTTCTTGTTGGGATGGTTCTTGAAATTTCAGAAGGAATCTGCATTATCCCTAGACTCTACATATTGGCTCTGCTCCCAGTTTTATCTGCTGAATAAAGTTTCGGGGCCTCTAGCAAAATCCCGTTCTCAGACTAGGGCTCATTTAATAGGAATTTCAATACCTAGTAAACCTTACTGGTTACGAAGCCATTTATGACCTCCAAGCTGATAGTCATGCCGTCTTCATCTTTAGAATAGCACACCCTTCACACGCACACGCCATCCTTTAGAAACCCACATGAACAATTCTCGTGAGTCTCCGGCCAGGTTCCACCCTGAAAGCGGGTGATTTATTTCTCTAAACTCATGAGCGGTGACCAAATGCATCCAAATACCACCACAACCTCGCCATCGGCCCTCTCGTGGCTGCCGTGAACTCACTTCCCGCCTACCTGCATACTCTCCATCCCCCATCACAACCCACCAAACCGCTACCCGCCCTCAAGCCAAAATGTCGCCGCATCTGAAATTCATTCTCCACCGTTTTTTTTTGCACTATCACCGCTATGTATTCCCACCCTACATCCAAGGCAAGCATTCCGCCACATACTACGCCGCTATGGTCGGGTCAATCTACACTCTCCATACATTCAACTGGGTTAGTCGGACTTGGCACATTACATCAGCAAAATTTCACTCGGCTCAATCTCGGCTCAACACTGCTCACGATTGCACCGCCTCTGCTCACGGCCTGCTCAGTCGTGCTCAGTCTCAATCAACCTTGAATCATGCGCGCCTCAGCTCGCTCAAGGTTCGCTCAGTCACGTTCAGAGTCCCGATTATGGGCCATCCCTGGAACAAGCATCGGCCATGAATATAAGTTGTCAAGTTTACACGAACGCTTTGGGGTCCCAGTTTCGGGACCGTCAAGACTCCCTGTGAGAGGCACACGCCATGCTGCATCAGCAATGCCTCGTCTTGTTCGATGGGACATATATTTGCATCTTTCAACGCGTCCATGTGGTTTTTCTTCAAGGTGTATAAATGCCGCCCTCGCCTTTGAGTGTCTCTGCTTCCTCTTCCATTGTGCATAGAGTTGTGCATCTACGCTTATTTCCATTCTTTAACAGACACTGTTCACTCTTACAGAATCGCCACTTTTCGTCTCCGACCAGAACTTCCCGGCTCTCTCCTTCAGTCCATTCAAGATGGCTCCTTCGGGGACCATTCTATATCATGGCATGGAAATATCCGAGCGCGAGCGAGATTTTCTCGAGCGTAGTATCGCGGGAATATCAAATGTTGATGGATCCAAAGTTAAGGAGAAACAAGGACAGTACAAGCCGTCCAAAGGCGTGAAAGGTAACCAAACCAGGATGGGACGTCGTTGGATGCTGTATGTTGTGGCATTTTTCCCAACTCGGTGCCAAGTCCAGCTGACTTGAGTAGTTATGTAGCAACGCATCCCGGGGCATCGGTGAACTCTCTATCGAGCCTTGAAGGATTTATGCTTGGGGTTGGAACCGCAACTGTTGGCAGGAAGGGTGATGACTACTACTTCAAACAACTCAGCGAAGAGGAAAAGTGACAACTACAACAAGCTGGCTACTAAACTATTAGAAACAGTTGGAACAATTTCTGCGGTTGGTGCAAAAGGATGAATCACCCAATCTCTGTGGAGCATAGAGAGCATATGACCCAAGTGAGATCCACATCCATATCTTCCAAAGCAGACTGCTGACAGATCTCAAGTACAACAAGCAATTTCTACGCGTTGTCGCAAATTTAAGAGACTCTGTAAGGGAATCCAAGTTTGCTAGTAATTTTCATTATGGAATCCTAGCAGTATACACTTTCTAACAAAACAATACCCAATATAACAAGCTTAAGGCGATGATAATTCATTGGACACTGTCTTTGATCTCCTTCTTTGGCTCCCATAGAATTGGTGATCTAGCCAAATCGTCTGCACGAGAGGATTCCGAGAGAGAAAAAAGAGGCTCACATTTCAAGGTAAGAGGATAATTCGATCTGATAGCATTCTTCTAATGAAGGTATATAGGTCTTGCATGGGCTCAGGAGGGGGCATATGGCAAACGACTCGACAAGGGAGCAAGATCCAAACAAAGTGGAATGAGTGTATTGTAAGGTCTGAGGAGCTCGATAGAGCTCTGAGCTGACTATATTTATCTCAGCTAGCTCAGACGTGAGGAGAGAACCGAGGACGCACAAACCATGCATATTGCTACTCCAAATAGAGTATGGCCTGGGGGTTAGCGGTTTCTGACCCCTGTCGGTAGCGTTTCTCTCCTCAGCCGTCTGAGGGACTTTTGTAATTTTTTCTATAAATAGGCCTATTTTAAGAGCATCACAATAAAATTAGATTTACAATATCTCTACTACTATATGTCTAAATAGGCTTAGAATTTAATAGAATGTAGAGACAAGCTGTAGCTATAAAATAGTATATTTTTTACTAAATTCTAATTATTATTAGTAGAGAAAAATCTAAACGCGCGCAGAACTTTAACCTATCTATACCCTAATTTTAGATTTATAGTATTGCCCTCCTAACTAGAACTTAACAACTAGTAGACTAAATTCCCTAGGATTTTGCAGGATCCCTAACAGAGCTAGTCTAAGACAGCTCCTAGATCCTCAGAGTCCTCAGACAACAGCTGGTTAAGCTGCAGACATGAGGGCGATCGCGACGTCCCTAGACTACCATCCACTGGACTACAGCTTAGCAACTAGCAGACCAAATCTCCTAGAATTTTGCAGGCTCCCTGACAGAGCTAGTCTGAGACAGTGTTACAATCCTTGCTTCGGGGAAGCACTCGGGCCGGTGTTATTCCTTTGAAAGGACGGAGGTAAGGGGCCGGTGGTAGGGTGTACAGTCCTACGTAAGGGCTAATGGGCTTATTGGAGACGGGAAGAGTGGCCGGATCGTGGTTTGCCCTGATGGCGGCAATATGGAGGCCGGGTCAAACGGTCCAGTTGGACAGGGTTGGAGGTATATATGTTGCAAGATATACAAATAGTATTAAAGCTCTTCGTAAAGCTAGAATGCTACTCAGTCTATGTAAAGAGATAAACTAAACGTTGAACACGCCTCCTAAGAGTTGTTCAAGGTTGAAACTATATACATGTCTAAAGGTGCCAAGAACGAGTTGGACAAGTTCCTCGAGTTGGCAGCACAGCCAACTCGCTTGACTCGCTCAACTCGTCGGGACTCGCGGCCTTCTGTCTTACTGGACGATGTATTCTCCCATAACCGCAGGCGGCTGCGCTGCTTCTGCACCTTCCGATTGGTCCATAAGCGAGCCCTGCCCCAACCTAGCTAGATTGTGGAGTACCAGTGGTGGAGTTACGTCGGTCCAACCATAGACCGTAACAGACAGCTCCTAGATCCTCAGAGTCCTCAGAGTCCTCAGACAACAGCTAGTTAAGCTGCAGACATGAGAGCAATCGCAATGTCCCTAGCCTACTATCCAGCTTAACAACTAGCGGCCTAGATCTCCTAAAATTTTGCAGGCTCTCTAATAGAGCCTGTCTTAGACAGGTCTTAAATTCTAAAGATAATATATTATGTAGTTAGGAAGTTACAATAAGGTGTAGTTATAAGGTTATTAAAATGTCCTACGCAGGACTTAATAGCGCAATACTCTACTAAATCTTGTTAAAATTAGGTTACAAAAATGTTAGAATATAGCTAGAGACTGTCTCTATTACCTATTAAAATCTAACCTAGTTTAGACAAAAAGTAGTAGAGCTACAGTAATTCTTAGTTAAGCTAGTGCATAGTAGAGGAGGTTTAGAACTACAATATCACCTAAAAAATCACAAAAGTCTCTTAGACAGCTAGGGAGAGAAAGCCTTTCTTACACCCTTATTAGCTAGAGAGATGGGGCTTGCGCCACTAAGGCTACCAGCAGGGGCTTGCCCCTGTCGAGGCTCTCTCCCCATCCCGTCTAAGCTTGCTGAGATAAGACTATATACTGTACGAGATAGGAGCTATGCCTAATGAGTGAATAGTGCAGTACATGGGTATGATATCGCGTGAGACACGTGCGACAATAGGATGTGGATATGTTCGCGATGTTCAATGAGAGGACTAGAAAAACACAGCTTTGCATTCGGTTCACTAAAGATGAGAAAGGGAAGGAAGATAATCCTTAAGACAGGTATGTCAATCAGATTAACTTCTTAGTGCATCCATGGACTGGCTCCTCGCGTAGAGGCCAAACGACATTTTACGAAGACATGACAGGGCCGCTCTATGAAAATTGTTTCACGTTTTGTCTTGTAATACTACTTGCAAGAACACCATTTTGAGATTACCAGTCCTCGAGCAGGCGCCAGCTGCTACAAAAACTTCTGGACATCAAGGTAACAAAGGAGCAGCGATTTGCTCGGATCTATTGGAGGCACGAATTTCTCGATAAGCCGTTCTTCGAATGCTCAACGAAAAATTCGGAAAGCATTGAGACCGCGTCATCTTTGCACCGAAGGCATAAGGATTGGTGCTATCGTGCTGGTCTTCCTAATGCTCCAAACTTTCACGACTTTAGGCGTAAAGGACTCACTAATGCTGGTAAGGACATCAATTATGTACTAGCTTCTTCCTACTGGCCAACATGTCGAATAGACGAAAAACACTCCGAGGCATCTCGCATGCGACTTGGAGGCCATGTGAAAGCCGGCATTTTACGCAGGCACTACCAACCCCGAGAAACGATTGATGGCGCGGCAAATTTCCTGGGTCGAGAGCAAAGAAAGGACGTTCTGGAGGTCAGCCAGGAGTTGAACATTCCCTATGTCCCAAATCTACTGCAATCCCTACCTGCGCGTGAGCTTTATGATCTTCAAGACAGCAAGGAATATCAAGAGATAGAGAGCCAGATAGATCGAGAAACGTGTCCTCGAGAAGTTGGCAAGCTTAAGCTCAAGCTTGAATCGCTAAAGACGGACAGACTGAAATGGTTGCGAGCTGGCCAGGCGTTCGACGATCCGCTACAGCGGACTGTTAGCTAGTAAAGGGAAAAAACTAATTGCTAATTTAAAAATTCTTTACCCTGCACATAATTATAGCCTTTAGCTACTTATAACTTTATAATTATTTTATACATGTTTATATATGTGAATTTTATAATGCCTAGTAAGCATCTTCTAAATAGTTACATTATACAAGTGCTTACTAGTATAGTGGCAATATAAAAGGACGTTCTAAGATTAACCTTAAACTGTACTAACTCTATCTACTTAGGCTTTTTTATAAAGGTGTTATATATGTGTAAATAGCTACTTACTTTTTTAAAAAGTTTTAAGTTTATGTTACTTCTTATATAATTAAGCAGCAGTTTTAAATATAAAATATAAAGTAATACTTTTTTACTAAAGTTAAAAATAAAGTTAAGAATTAAATCTAAGTGCTATTTTTTAAAGTTAGGCTTAAAAATTTAGATATGCTTTATGTACTATATAATAAAGGCTTTTAAATTAAAAAATATATACTTATATAACTTTAATTTAAGCTTAAATTATATAAAAAAGTATAAAGTATTAAATAAAGCTAGTAAGTAGATAAGCTTATATAACAACTTATTAGTTAAAAGCTAAAAAAGGTGTTATTAATAAGTATAAGTAAAAGTATTTTTATACACACTTTTATTAATGTAGCTATATTATTATATAAGACTAACGTACCTAACAGGTTAGCTGGCCACACAGGTTAGTGTAAAGATGGGATGGTAAGTAGCACGGATAGCACTGAGAGCAAGCTTTCGGAGAAAGATAGGAGTGTATTGTAAGAGAGACGAATCGCTGCCAAGCTTCGCTTGTCAGGATTCATGCTTATATACGAAGCACAGGTCATACGACCTCCAAACAGGTCAGGTGAGGCCATACTGGCCCGTTCTGGGACATCCGGCCTTACATTATCCCCCCTCATAGTAGTCCTACGACTCGGAGGATAGAACAGATAACAATAGGCCCAAGTGGCACAAGAGAGTGTCACATGATGCCCCGAAGACTTGCTCCTGCCCATTTCAGTCGATTCCATGCGAGTTCATTTGAAAATGAC